ATTAAAAAAAAAAAAAATATATAGAAATTTCAATGCATCAAGTTTTAACTTATCTATTTTATATCGAAGTAGGTAATTTTAAATTATTCAAATGATTTTTGTCATTATGTGAAAATGATTTAACTTAAAAGAGTTAATTACTTTTAAGAACTTCAATTCAGTCATGATTTGTAAATTATTCAGGGATGTTTATTAAATTTTTTAGAATTAATTTCTTTTGGGTAATTTTTTTTGCATTTTGAAAAATTTTAAGTGCACTTTTATAAATTTAAATCAGAGCTGCATCGAAAGTTCACTCATCAAGTTTTACTTACACGCTTACGTAGAATGAAATATTGCAAGTATGTCAAATTAAAACTCTGATTTAAATCCTTACTCAAAAGATTCATCCAAAACGCGTGTGATCTGATGAACGGAGTGCTGAAATAATGGTGACGTTCATAGTCGATTTGTCAGAACCATCATAATAAAAAAGTTTCATTCGATAATCTCCTCTTGGTAATATTTCCGGCACATAACTTACTGGGATTATTGCATTCTTAAATTCGATTGAAATAACAGGACATCCTACATACATGTTGCTTGATGCATATCGTAATACTTCGAAAAGAGCTTTCATTGCTGGATTAGAGTTGTTTTCCATGCTGCACCACTCAAACTTGGGAGATCGAAAAACTTCTCGGTACATGACACTGTAGCGATATTCCAATGTGAAAAATTCCTTTTTAAAGTTCAAATTTTATAATTTTTTTAACAAGAAATAAATTGAGTTTGAAACAAAACTTACGAATGCCCTCATAATTGGTTTGATAAACTTCACGTACAAATTAAATGTGTATGTTGTTCTATTAACAGGCTTTACAAAACACGAATTATTTGGATAAACGTAATTTTCAGGAAAATCACATTGAAATTTTTTAAGTTCGAATATTTGATATGGTTTCCCATCGTATTCATTCGATGAACAAAGATGCAAAAGTAACAAAATTGAGAAAAAGGAAATAAAATTTTTCATAGGACTTATACACACAAGACTTAATATGAAAATATTAAGAAAATCAACCACACTCAATGATTTATAAAAGTTTTATGGACAGTAAACTCTCGTTAAATTTTTTTCAAAGGGACCGAGAAAAAAGTAATTATAACGAGAGAAAAATTATAACAAGAGGGCATTATATCGAGAGTTCACAGTATTAAATTAACTAATCTATTCTATACCAAAAGTAATGATTAGCTATTCAAATAATTATTGTCATTATATGAAAATGAGCGAACTTCAAAGAGGTAATGAATAATTTGGATAAAAGTAATTTTCACGAAAATTGCAATGAAATCACTTAAAATAAATTTATGACATCGCGTTCATCCATTGAACATGGATTTGAAAATGAAGCAAATGTCAAATTTATTGAATAATTTATTTAAAACGTTCTGAATTTGGTGATTTGTTCAATATTTTTAAAATGGTTTCGAGTAAATTTTAAATTGTTTGAATGATTCTCAAAGTTAATTATTTGCAGGAGTTTTTCATTAACTCATTTTCAATGTGTGAAGCTTTTTGTAATAATTCTGTGGATTGACTAAAGTATAATTTATGTTTATTAACGACGAGTTAGCTCATACTTTAAGTGATCAAAAATTAATCCGATTGTGTTCCCAATTCAGTTATCCAAATTAAGTTAAGAATTCAGTCAATCATTCAAAGCAAAATAATTCTTCAAAATGTTTTCCATGTATCGAAATTGAACACAAATTCAAACCAGAAACGAATATTTTAAAAGTTATTTCTTTCAAATCATATTTAAGCAGTGATTTAAGTAAACATGAAACAATTATTTGGAGAAAAACTTGAAGTTTGATTTCAATTACTTATGTAATGCTTCGCACATGTTCAACTGCCGCCACAAGTATTTATTTTCTTCCCAAACACAATTTAAAGCATCAGATGGAAGAACAACAATTGAATTTCATTTCAACTCAATAATTTCTTTATCACAGTGAATTTGAATAAATCTTTCAATAGCGATTACATTTATTTCTCTTTCTTTTGATTACGTATGCAGAGATGAGTCTCACAATTAATTTCACCTCTTAGCGCTCATCACGTAATATTTGAGACTTGAAAGGCTTTCGCTGCAACACAACAACTAAAAATTGTTATCTTCAATTGTTTGGGAATCTTTCTTCTTATTACAAAAGTACTTTATGTGAGTCGCTTCGCCACCACACACGAAATACGACGACTCAAGAGCGCAAAACGATGAATGAATAATTAAAAGCAATGATTTTATGCTTTCCCAGGTGTTGAAAGTTAGGTCGTTAAGTGAAGACGAACATTGCCATTACGCAACATCAACAAAAAAACAAGCAAATGAAATTGAAAGGGGAACTGACCGAGTTAAATCATTTGTTTACAACTATTAATTACGCTTTCTTCCTTATAAAATTTACATTCATTTTTCATATCATGAAACTATTTGATCGTCAAGAGTTCATCAAAATTTTCAAATCAAATGGAAAGCCGCAAAGTATAAAAGAAGGCAAAGAAAAATTCAATTAAATCTTTGGCATATTACTCATCATAATTTGATATGCAACACGTTGAAATTAATCGCGATAAATAAATATTTTTTCGTTTATTCAAGATTATTGCGAGAGAAGTAAAATGAACGAATCATGGCAGGCAAAACAAACCAAACCGATTTTCATTAACGATTACAAAAAGAATAAAAGCATAATTATTATTGTTACATTTTCATTCTCTCTTCTCAAATAAAATAAAAATATTTCGTCCGGGACGATAGAAATTAAAATTAACTCTTTCTGCATTAATTAAACTTTTTCTTTGTTAATTCGCAAACAAATTTACGCGCTGATCTTTATCAAAACAGCAAATTGTAGTTATAAACAAGAAATGACGGGAAAGAATTGGAAGTTGAAGTCGTTGGTGGTTTTTCACATTGGAATTACGAGGCTTAATGATTGTTAACAAAACTTCTCTCTCTCAACCCGCATCAACAAGATGATCGCATCAATGCGTGAAAAGTAAAGCAATTGAAAGTTGGAAGATTCAAATAAATTACAAGGCGAAAAGTGATTGAATAATTGTGTGGAAAATAGAAATTTAAATGTTTTGATCGTCGAATGAAATCTATTTCAATTAAATTTCAATAATTTAACAGCATCACTTGAAAGGAAAATTGATCGGTAATGATTGAAATTAGCTTGAAAATATTTCAACAACTTCAAGCGTTCGTGATGAATGAAAAGTTGCATGAATTTCATGTTCGTACATATGAATTCATGTTCTGAGCATGAAATGAATTGAATAACATTGCTATAAGTCGTTGTTCAAATATTAATCATAATTTATGAACTCTCTTAGAGTCAATGAATGCTGATCATGAAAACATCTTTAAAGACATGAAAGAGGCATGATTAGAGATTTCTAATAACTCATGACTCTCCCGGAATCTGAGATTAAAATCAAGACACATTTTCCACTTGTTCTCTACGCTTAGCTGCCTTTTTAGTTTGACCACATGAGGCTTTTGTTACAAGCCTTCACCTCATCAAGGTGCTTGCTTTCTTTATGAGAGTTCATCTGATGATGATGAAGCTAATGATCGTTCACCTGAAATCTTTCTGACTGCTGAATGCCGAAACATTCACTGATCGCTAACAGACTTTTGTTCATCAACAACATGATCTTGTCAATTTCGAAATTCCTCATAAAACTTTATTCGAAACATTCATGAACAGATTTTTTTCGGTATAATGAAAAATTTCATTTTTATTGCATTTCATTGCGCTGAAATCGAAAGTTTCCCTTACATTAAATTTTTCTTTTACGTGCTATGAAGCGCCATAGTTTCTCGTCAACTTACGACCGTTTCTTATGGTTGAGAGTGGCACGTAATATTTCATCTGACAACATAAAAAAATCTCTCCACGAGTGCATCAAAAATTAATGAAAAGCGAAAACTTCTTCAGTTTCATAACGTCGAAAAGCATCGATATGAGCATCAGTAGGGACGGAGAATGTTCAGAGAAGTTTCTTTGATGAAAGCGTTTGTTTTCATTTCTTTTCGCGTTTCATCTTCTCACTTGTCGACTTCTTCTTCCACCGACACAACAGAGTTGGCCGTAAACTTCCACTCACAAATAATTTATTATCATCTACGACGAAAAGTTTTCAAAAACCGAAAAAAGAGAGACTTTCGACAAAAGTATTTAGGTTACAACATCGCGAGCCTGTTTGCTGATAAAATATGATGATGCGGATGAGGATTTTTTTAGCATTTTTAATGTTGAACATTTCTGATGTGAAGATGTTAATCTCGGACTGTTATTTTGATGGCCCCAAGGCTGATCTCACCTTATGCACCAGACACTAAGACCTCAGATTAAATGAATTGTTAACCCCAAGCCGAAACCATTTGAAGTGTAATAAATCATTTGCTGTGTGAAAATTTCTTTCTTAAATATAACCAACAACCGCTCGTTGTGTGGTTTATGGTTCTTTCTTTATGTCTTTGATTGACCACAATGAGCTGTGAAAATCACGTTTCTAATTTTCGGTGATTAATTACAAACTTGTCTGTTGTACAGTGGAAAATCAAAGTTGTAAACAAATTAAAAAAATGAAAATTTTTGTTTAATCACTTCCGACTTTTCTTAATGCTTTCAAAAATTTTACGCTTTTCATATTTATTTGATGCAGTTTTAAGTGAAATCTAAATAATAAATTGAGTCATATTATATAACTTCAAGACAATACCAAATATGCGAACAAAATTCACATTTTGAAACGGATATCTTTAAATTTAGATAATCCAAACTCATATGAAAGCCTCAAGCGTGTGGCAATGAATAAAAGTTCAGAGTTAGGTCAAAAGCTTCGCTTTATTCATCTTCAATGAGATTAAGTTCGTTGCGGTAATTAAATAACAAATTTTCTTCCGCTTGACTCTTGCGAATGCCAACTGATTGCCTCCTCGAAAGTCAAATGAAAGGAAAAGTTTTTCTTTTTATTTTGCGGTTTCTTTTACCTTCTGTCATGTCATCTGCCGCTTCTTTTGTTAATCGAGTGATGATTACACTAATGTCTTATCCACAAAACTTAACTCAAACCCATGATTTAATGTAAACAATTTCGCTAAATATCTCGAATAGGAATGGAATTTTATTGTTATGCAAATAAAGCAAATTTTTTTAAAAAATTTCTCGAAGCTTTCTTTCTTAAAAAAAAAATGTTGAAGACTTGAGAAGGTGAAAAATCAGTCGAAAAATTATCGCCTCATATAGTGGGACGAAATTTGAATTTCATACTAACATGGCAAGTGGAATGAGAATCCGTTGTGTCGGATGAAAGTAAACTGATGCTTAACCCACATTATCACCAACAGCAGGTGATTTACTTCAATTGGTGATCAACAGCGATGAACCTTTTTATTGTATACTCAGGTGGAAATTGATTTAATTACGTCGAGGTTAAAGTGGTAAAGATTGTGGGAAAAGGTTAATAAGATTCATCACAAGTCGTGTATGTTGTCATAAGAACATCGACTGATTTCACCAACAACTTTTTGCAGACGATAAAGAAAGATGAATCGAATTAATTTTAATGACAAACGCAATTTCTTAAACATGTTCATGTCTTGAATTATCTTTGAATGTCATGCACATGAGTTGGATAATTAACTTGACTGTTAAATAAAAGAAAATTATTAATTTTTCCATGATGAATCTTCGCTTTTTCGTGTATGTTTGTGCACTGGCCGTGTAGGTATTTTGACAAATGAGAAAGCTCTGATAAAGCCTGCCATTGAGTGACGAAGCATTTGGTTGTAATCCGCATATGAAAGATTCTTTTTTTTCTCTATCTCCTAATGATTTCAAAACTTCGTGATTGATCATGTAATGGAAAAGAAACAAGCCATCAATGATGCTTCTGAATCCACAATTGTCTTCGCATTGGCATAAAAGTGGAGAAACATGTTCGGCATATGATCGTGACCCGTCTTTCAACCAACTCTTTCACCAAGGCCAACGACAATCTTTTTTCCCAAGCTCAATATGGAAATCTTTTTACTTTTCAAACATTTCTTTCATGCACTTTATTGCATTTGCCATCTCCATATCAACAAGCATGCTTTATTAGAAATTAATATGGAAAATACCTTCGAGTAGGTCATCAAAAAAAATTAAATTAAAATTGAAGATTGTAGATTTTACGATACCCCATAATCAAATGACTCTGTGGAGAAGCGAAATGGGAAGGGAAATTAACATAACTTTTAAAATATGCAATTTTCCTATTGACTGGGATGACTAGGCAGGAAGTTTTGTTTAGGAACATCAGACTTAATTAAATTATATAATTTTAATCCGAAAGCTTTAAATTTTTACGTGTTTAAATTTTAAATTAAAAAAGAAATAAAATCTGGTCAGCTTTATCGGTTTTTAACATTTTTTATCGTTCGTAGATGTGAACGACAATTTTTTTTTGTTTGCATGAAAGAAAGTGAAAAAGCACACAAGACGAAGAGACGAGTTGAATAAAATCATTTGTTGGGAAAGAAATACGAAGAAGGAGGAACAGAGATGAGACTTTAGTTGAATTTTTATTTGCCGCAGATGAAAATAGCAAAAAGAATTGCTTGCATTATAAATGGTTACGTTAAAGACACTTTTTGCATTTTTTATGCTACGCTAAGACGATCTTTACTTTTCTTTTCATTGCCGAGAAGAAGATATGAAGAAAATAAATAAAACTGGCATTCAAGTCTTCTCAGTTGCACTTTGGAAAGAGAAATTTCTTACCTCACTTCAATTCAATGATTTAAGTAAACAAAAAGATTTTTTTATGTGCTATAAAATATTTTTTCTTTAATTCGAGAATGCAAAAGTTTTGCTTTTTATTGATGCAACAATGCGAGAGTCTTTACTTGTTATTATAGACCATCAATTCAATAATCATTCGCATTCAAATTTCATTTAAAAGAAGAAGAGAAAATATCAAGTTGAACCCTAAAGGTCTGAGATCTTTCACTTTTTATGCGCATAAGTACATTCATATATGCTCAACATGTTTCTTCTTCTTTCATCATCATTCATTTGAATCGATTGTTTGAAATTATGGCGAACTTGGCTTGACTTTTCTCTCTTGTTCGATCGTTTCCAAAGTTTGTTGATTTAAGCATAAGTTTTCACGGTTGTTTGAAAGCTAATTGTACGAGATATTTTTCGTGATTTCCATTTAATTATTGCTGTAAGTAGCTTACGGAGATTTCTTATACTTTTTATGAGCCATAAAAATTATTTCAACTGTCACCAAAATAACTTCGGCTTAAAAATATTTTTTTCTTCTTTTGATTTTCTACTCACTTGTCGGTAAGGAGAAAATCCTTGACATGAGACACTTGACACTATAGCGCCTAAAATAAGCGCAAAAAACACTTTCATTGTTCCGGCTTTAATCTGATACTTCTTTCTGAATCTTTTTCTCTTGTTTCTTGAACTCTTCTTGTCTCGAAAACTGTAAGTTTAATTTATTTTTGTTGGACAAATTAAAAATTCCTTTCAGTTTCAATATTTTAACAAGAAGATGAAAATCTCATTTATTTCTTTCTTTCTTTTTATTTTTTTCTTAATTTTTCTTCCACGTCTCTTTAATATGCGGTTTTTATTCGGTAGAAGTTGAAAAATCGCGACTGAGCAGCTTCGAAGACAAAATAAAACTGAAATGAAACTGAAAAATTTCTTTTGAAAGCATTTCTTTTGGCGTTTTCAGCTTCTTCGGTGCGAGCGGCAGCGAAAACAATAATTAATGAAGAAGTATTTAATGCTGAACTGTGAATGTATGCGACTGTGAGTGAGAGACTACCAAGCTCGTTCTCTGATGAGATTTCTTTCCGTGTTGACTTTGATGGTGAATATTTTGTTGTTGTTTTGTTCGATAAGATTCAGACATGAAAACAAAAACGAACGAAAATCTTTCTCTTTTTTATCTTCATTTGTGGTTTGAGCTTTTGTGTAATTGAAGCTTTTGCACGCTCAAAACTTTATTTACCTGAAGCAAATTGAATAATAAAAAACATGTTTTAACGGTTTCTTTTGTAGAGTCTTTTTCTGACAGAAGTTTCAGAAGGAACAACTCTTTCATGTCTTTAATTAAGACATTAAATTATTCGCAATTTTATTATCTCATATTGCACAACAACTGTGCATGTTTCCATTTGATTTGAAAAGTTCAAAATTAATAACAAATGTTTATTTCATAACTTCTAATCCAGTTCTTCAAGTGTTAGTTTCACAAGCCATCACTCTTTTAAAAATTAACGTGATGTGCTTAATGAAACGTCTTTGACGTTCAATTTAAAAACAATTTGATGTGCTTGAATCCTACGCAGATTATTTACCTTTCGCTTTTAAGGTGCACATGTTTTCTTAGTTTAACAGCTATTTCATCGAGAGATAATTGAGTTCACTCCAAGTCACTTAATGCGTGCATAACTCAAAGCATACCACAAATTCATCTTTACCTCTTCTTCTCTTTCTTCTTTTATAAGTTTATAAAAAATGCATTGTAAATTGATCGGAAGCATTCCTCACCACAAGTCAAGGAAATTGAGTTTTCATGATTAATTTATGTTCTTCACTTTGACGTAAAGACATCAGCAACATAAACATAGTTTGCATTTAATTTGATTATGCAAATTAACGCATAAAATCAACCTTTCACTTGCTTGTTGCTTGATACAATAGTGAAAAAATTTAATTAAAATAATTTCCGATTTATCGATTCGCTCCAGGATATCAAGTTAGATCTTCTTCGTCGCAATAATTATCATTGAACCAAAAGAGAAATGAGAGTCGCATGCTTCTCAGATTTCCAAAAAAAAGATTTGGAAAGTTTTCATCAAACTGTCTCCAATACTGACTGATATTTAACTTGTCGTACAACATAGCAGTTGTTTGACTAAAGATGATAAAAGGCAACAAAAGTCTCATCTTTTATCATCAATTCATTGCCCGAAGGTGATCTTTTTTCTTAAAAAAAAATTGCGATATTTCCTTACACTTTCTTCTCGCCGTTTTGAAATTTCATTCGAATCGTTTTATGTACAATCAGATCTCATACGAGATCTTTCTCTTGAGATATATGATTGAACAATCTCAAACATCTGAGAAATGATTCAATTTTTATTTACGTCAATCTAAGTATTATGCTTCTGCGCGATCTGAATAAAATTTTTGAAATGTTTTTCCTGCGGATGAGTGTTTCATTATGAGATTTACATTATATGAGAACGACACTCGTGTATCCCATCGACACAAATATGTTTTGCTAAGCATTTTTTTTTATGGATTGATTATGTTGAAAGAAAAATCTTCAAAAATGACATGTTAATATTCAGACCAATGAGAAAAAACGAAGAAAACTCAAATTAAACTTATAACTTGTTGGGTTTTATTTATTTATCAAACCTACATGAAAATGTAATTTCAATGAAATTTATGCTTGCAGAGTAAAAATCGGTTAATTCAAAATTAAAGCGGCGCTTTAAACTTTTTTGAAAATTAAAAGTCGGTTAAATTTTGTTAAGGATATTCGACTATTTAAAAATATATTTTGGAAATTTTAATAAAAATCCAAATCACGTCAGCTGTTGTTTTTTCTCATTAATCTCTTGAAAGCTCTCTTGATTTTTTGTCGATAGGAATTCAGTTATTATTTATGCTTTGACAATGGCAGACGTGCTTACATCAATTTTCCACAGGGTTGAAATTCTGGTTTTAATTTTATGCACAACAAATGCACTACGTGAGTTCAAAATTCATGTCATCAAGAAATTGTGTTGATTAATATAATTTTATCTCAAGAAAATTGTACAACGCTAGACGGACGACTAGGTCAATGTGTTGAAGTGGGTTCATGTACATCCTTTCGTGGATATTCCTTACGAAAGTCTTTGACGTCAAATCGAGCTTTGTACTACGAACGTAGTCAGTGCGACGACAGTAACAACACTTTATGGGTATGTTGTGCCGACAGTAAAGCTAATGTAAGACGATGGAACACTAGAACAAGTAGAAAGAATAGAAAACCAACTGGATACTCAAAACCATCGTCAACAACTTCTGACGAAAATTTAATAAAAACTTCTGACAGTATTTGCGGACGGTCATTCAAGCATCTCGGGAATAGAATTTTTGGAGGTAGAGAAACATACATCGGTGAATTCCCATGGTAGATATCAAACTTACGAAAGATTTTGCAAAAGCAAATAAAAGTAAATGTCTTGTCTTTAAGGATGGCGCTTCTGGCGTACGAAAAACGTGAGAAATTTCACAACTTGATAAACTTTGTCAACAAACATTTATTTTGAGTAGCAAATGCGCGTTTTGTGTTTGGTTGTGCTGGGGCTTTGATAACAAATAAACATGTTTTAACTGCGGCTCATTGTGTTGTTGAAGAATTGCTTCCGACTGGATGGAAATTGAAAAAAGTGAGGCTAGGTGAGTGGGACCGACGAACAAATCCCGATTGTCAAGAAATTGATGATGTCAGCGTTTGTGCACTTGACGCAATAGATATTGACATATCGAGAATTATTCCACATGAACAATATGATTCACGAAGTTCAGGGAAATTACACGACATTGCCATCTTAGATCTTGAATATTCAGTTGCATTCACCGATTTTGTTCGACCAATTTGTTTACCAATCAACATCAGCATATCAACAGATTATGGTTCAGCAAGTGTTGTAGGATTTGGAAAGACAGAAAACAACACGTCTAGTCCAAGAATGATTACAGGCGATCTCGATATAGTGAATCATGAAGAATGCAAACGAACATATCGCATTCAAGGTCGAATAATTTCTGATAAACAATTTTGTGGTATGAGAAGTGATGTCGACACTTGGTAAGCGAAATAATTTACAATAAAAAAAAACCATAAAGAAAGAGAAGAAAAAATATTTCACGATCCAAACTATTTATAGCAACGGCGATTCCGGTTCACCAATGATGAGGCTCAGTGAAACTTACCCGCCTCTCTGGTATCTTATTGGTGTGACGTCATTTGGGCCTTTAAAATGTGCAAATTCCAATATTCCGGGTGTCTATACAAATGTTTTGAAGTATTTGAACTGGATTGAAAATAAATTAACGTTTTGAGAATATTATATGAAGCAAAAAAAATTATTGAGATGTTTCTTATTTAAAATGATGTCAAAAGCTGGTTTAGAATGAATGTGTTGAGGGATTTCCATTAGCAGCTGCTTCCGCAGGGTAGCGAACTGAACTTTACTGTTGTTTGTTTTCTAAGGATGAATTCGTTTCTCATCTGTTTACTTACTCCCCTGACTGGCATCTGAGTGTTTATTTTGATGATATTTTTGTTCGGTCAGCTTAGTCTCGAATAATTCGTTCACTATGGCAAACTCGTTTGTAATGGCAAACAGAAAACTTCGAGTTTTATTAGCACTTTTTGCTCTTGTGTCACAGCTAAATGGTGTTTTAACGCGTGAGTTTATTGCTAAATGAAGACTTAATTAAACATTCAATTTAATAAGAATAATTCTATTGAAGAGACAAGTTGTAGTTCTCCCGATGAATACCCAGGAATATGTGTTGAACTTGAAAGATGCGAAAATATGTTCAGATTAAGACATAAATCGCCACAATTGCATACAGAACGATTATACGTCACACTTAGCCTTTGTGCTTTGGAAGGAGATAAACCGATGGTTTGTTGCACTTCAAGTCCATATCCTTTGAAAGCTTTATGGACGAACTCAACAGTACAAACTTCAACACAGAAACTTGAAGCTTTTTACACTCCTCCAACTACAACAAGCTTACCAATAAATCTTGGGGTAACTCAAGAGTTAACAATAGAAGCAAATGAAGAATGTAGCATGATTTTTGATAATCGAATTTATGGCGGACGAATGACAGGAATCAAAGAGTTTCCATTTACAGCGTTGATAGCTTACGAATCAGGTGAAGAATATTTCAATTCATCAGATTGTTTAATTCATTTTGTAAACTTATTTATAGCAAGTTCTAATGGTGGGATTGGATATTTTTGTGGGGGTGCGTTAATCAGTCGGAAAGCAGTGATAACAGCAGCACATTGTGTTCACGATGAAGTTCTCGCTTATAAGCAATTTAAGATTCGTGATGTTCGATTAGGCGAATGGAATATGAGAACAAATCCAGATTGTAGTGGACCGAAAGGTCGAAGAATTTGTGCGCCACCAGCAATTGATAAGAAAGTGAAAGAGAAAATCGTTCATGAGAAGTTTGTGCCGTTCGATAAAAACCAAAATTATGATATTGCGCTTTTGAAGTTTCATGAACCGATTGAAATCAATGACTTTGTTCGACCGATTTGCTTGCCCAAATTATCGACTTTAATTGAAGAATACGACGACAATGTGCTTACAATTGCGGGTTTTGGTAGAACAGAAAGCAGTGGGAGTAGTGTTATGAAACTTAAAACTGAGGTTCGTGGCATTACTAATGTTGCATGTCAGAATGTTTACACGCTTGAAGAGTTGACAATTTATCCAACGCAGTTGTGCGCGCTTGGAGATGATGGCAATGATTCTTGGTAAGAAATCAAGTAGCGTTTGTTATTTTCACAGTTTGATGCTAAATTTTTATTTCGTTTATTTATTTCTTTAGCACCGGTGACAGTGGACAAGCTTTGATTCATATTAATACAAACACAACACCGGCTCGATTAGAATTAGCTGGAATCGTGAGCTATGGGCCTTCCCCATGTGCACAGCTTAATAAACCAGGAGTTTACACAAGAATAAGTTCATTCATCAAATCAAATTGGATTCATAACAATATGCAATGAAAGCTCGCATGAGTTGGAAGAAGTTTCAACCTTGAAAACGAGTCTAATCCCTTCGATGTCAAAGTTCTTCCAACAAAACATTAATTAAGCTCTTAAATTATTAAGAAAAGCCTTCTAAACGTTCATTAAACCTTAATGAGTTTAAAAGCAACGTAATTTTTTAAATAACAACGAATGCCTTCTGAAATGTTCCTTCTCTGTAAATTGTTAATGAATTACGATGTTTATGCTCAAAGATAATAAAAAAACGAATTTCATTATTTTTGAAATATTATTTTTATTGTTTTCTCGTTTTTCTTTTAAATCCTTCAAATATTTATTTGTAATTTACACAAAACTTTTTTTATTATCAATATGATTACAAAGACAACGCTCTTTCGAAAACATCGCTACAAACATTCATTCAATTTTTTGTTTTGATTAATGAATTTATTTTTCCTTTTATTTCCTTTAAATTTATTGACTTTTTTATTTTACAATTTGGTCGCAATAATATTTTTATTTATAGATATCAATTCAACTACGACATTACTAATTCTGGTTTTCTTTTCTGAGAGGGAGGCCACGAAGATTGAACGAATTTATTTTTTAATTCATTGATTCTGATTATAAATTTCTAATTTACAAAAAAATAAATGACGAAAACATTTGAGGCTTTTTATCTAAAATTCTCTGGAGCTTTTTTCTTCACAATTTACAGCATCGATCTACAAACTATTTTTAATTATCTTTATATCTTCATGATGATCTGACGTAATCAGCCATTGTTGCTTTTATTCTTTTGTGTCAGATAACGTCACATTATTTGGGCATTTTTATTTATTGATTATTGGAAGTTTTCATCATGAATTCTATTCGTAAGTATGACAAATATGCTTTAAAAAATAATGGCAGAATTACATAAATTTCTTCTATAATTCAATAAAAGTTCAATGTTTAGTAAAATAAGAGAGAAAATGTTTTTGTTTTATAAATTGTGAGTTAATTGATGGGAAAATTGAACGACAAAAACATCTTAAAAAAATGATAAGATTGAATAAATTTTTATGAGAAGCTTAAAAAATTATCATGAAACATCTTTTCCTATTTCTCTGCATTCCTTTCGAGATTCTTCTCAGATTCGAGACACTCAGAAAAGATCAAAGGAAAGAGAGTTGGTATGATTATTAAATTTACTATCTAAATTATCACTTTTTGTTTTCTTCTTTTTTTTCACTTCATAAATTTCTCGCATTTTTCTCGAGAAACTCAAAAAAAAATTCTTTCTTCATATTTTGTTTAATTAATAATTTAATTCTTTATGTAGTTTAGTTAGATATATAAAAAATTGAACTAAAGAAAATCAATGAAAATGACTTATTATGGAGCAATTACAGTTAAAACAAAAGAAAATTTCTACGATGAATGGAGCGAGTAAAAATCTGCTTCTAATGATCTTAAAATCTTATGAAACGCAGTCTCATGAAATGTTTCTTTCAGAGTGAAAAATATTTAAAAAATTGATCTTGACAGCTTACAAAAGAGAGAGAGGGAAAGAAATTTGTGTGTTTAATTTACATCAGTTCCTTAAAAAGATTGACGAGTTTACCGGTTCAGTTACAATAGCTAACGTCTCCTTTCAATTCTACTTAAAAGCTTTACATTTGATAAGAAAATTCCATCAATTATTGTATATCAGCACACGAATAGCAATTTCTTAAGAATTCCATTTGATTGATCAATCTTTTGAAAGTCTAAGACCTTCAATACCTTTTCAAGTTGTAATTTAATTGAAAGTTTACTGAATATATTTAAAGAATCAAAAATACTTCAAAAGAAAGCTTAGAATTAAGCTATTTAAATATATTAAAAAGCTTTCTGGAGAAAATTTAATGGAAAGCTTTGTAGCAACTAGAAATTCATCATTTCCCTTTTTGGTTTCATCAGTTCGACGTCCTAGAGAGGCTCACGCCTTAAACACTAAATTAAGTTGTCCATTCGTAAGATTTTCTGTTGATGTTCCTTATTCTTGAGGCTTCCATTGCTTTTACTCACTGACAATGTGACAGTATTTGACCCATTGACGTGTCATGCTCTCCCGAAAATTGCCGACACATCTCCAGTGCTTTGTGAATGTGACATTCCGTACTTGCCCGAGCCACCAGTCAAAGAAGATGACGATGATGAAGACGTATTCGAGATGGTTGAGTGATGCATTGTGTTGCTGTTGTTGTTATTATTATTAATGTTGTTGATATTGTTGTTGTTATTGTTAGAAGTTGTTGAAATTTTTCGGATGTTCTGCTGTTGATATACTTGATACTGCTTTTGTTGTTGCTGTTGTGCTGCATCAATTTCACTTGCTGATGATGCCAATACTGGAATAATTTCAAATGATTTGAATGTCTCATTTATGAATTAAATTTAATTAATTTTACCTTTAACTCTGCTTGTATCTTTGGTGCCATTAATAGTGTTGGTTCCGTTGTATCTCTGACTAACACGATTCGACGGAGTTTTTATTTGTGGTAAAATCGTTAATGGTGTTATAGGCTGAGATCTCTGATATTTCTGCATCATTAGTTGCTGATTCTGATCATTTTCTTTCAACTGATCGCGATTATGTTTCATCAAAGATGAAGCGGATGTTGATGACGTAATGATGAATGTTGATGATGAGCTGCTTGGTTGAAGCCATTCATGATGCACAGCTTCTTCTGGAGTCATTCGTTTCTTGGGATCCCATCTGGAAAGAAATTCATTATCAGACCAATTTAAATTTTTATCTTTTCAATGACTCACTCTAAACATTTGCTAACAAAATCGATGAACAATGTGTCGTTGCATCTTAAAGCTTGTGACAAAGTCTTCGATGCTGGTTTACGCTTACGTCCTTTTGAGTTCGTAATGCATCTGGGAACGCCACGTGAATCTGAAATATTCATTAAAATGTTAATAAGATTAAAGAGAAAAGTGTGAAAGAAGAACTAACCGAAGAATAGACGACGACGTGTCGCCTGATTTATTAAGTCATCGGATGGTGTGCCCAATAATTCCATTATGCAAGCTAATTGTTCCACTTCGTTTTCTCCAGGAAATAAGGGATATCCGGTGTATAGTTCAGCGAGAATACAACCTGTTAGCAACATAAAAGTTAACTTCATTAGCATAATAATAATGAAATCGAATATTTAAAGTCACATTTTGTGCCCTGACGCGACAGCAAAGTCAAGAAGTTCAAGTGGAATAAAATTCCCTTAAGATACAAAATCAATAAGAAATGAATTTCCCATCAATTTTCATTTCATTTTTATTTTCTTTGCTTCTCTTAGTAAATCAAAACTACGCCGCAAAATTCTTTTCCCCCTTTTTTATTATGAAAGTGAATGAAAGAAATTTGTAGCATTTTTGATAGGCGTAATTCATCATCTGCCGCGTAGAAAAATTTCCATGGCGCCAAATCGTTTGATGCTTCGCCATCGATTTTATTGCTCATCATTTCGTAGATATTTAGGTGAAAGCATTTAATCAACATTTTGCATGTTGTTGAGTGGCATTTGAGAGTTGAAATTAAAATCTCATCAATTTCAACTGACAACAATGAATCGAACTTTCAATTCAGTTGTTAAAAAAAGATGAAAATGAAAATACCTGCTTGAGAAGCAAATTAATTCTCATTAGAGATTCATGGAACTTCAGTGCTTTGCAAATCAGCCTCTTTGGTTATTATCTATTCATGTTGAAATAAGTTGAATTATTGAGTTGAGAGAGTTCTTAGTAGGAAGTCAGAAAGGTTGCTTCTTCATAGCAATAAGCAGTAAACAATTCAACAGAATCAGACGTCATTCGATTGCGACAAAGCTTTAAATCTCTTCATTCAAAGAGTTGTAAATCATTCTAATCGAATTAAGTCAAAAGGAGCAACGACACGCAACATCGTCGGCTAAATAAAATAAAAACCACAAAAGAAAATCTTTTTCGGCGTAGTTAATCTCTAAGCGCTATTATTCGATAGCTTATGCGAACGATGGTCAACAAATAGCAACCCCTTGACGTTGAGCTTTGGTACGCACGAATTTTTATTGATTTTTTATTTTCACGCGTTGAACATAAATAACAAAAATTTGGTTAGTCCAAGGTGTATGATTTTGCAATGCAAAGTGTGACCCTCAAAATGATTCAATTATGACTTGAGGTGCCTTAATGAAAGGTTTTCGTTTCCCCTCAACGATAATTCAATTTTTTTAGGGGGAAAAGTGGGAAAGTGACTTGAAGTCTTGCCCTTGATGATGAAATACAATATTAAAGAGATCAGAATGTGGAAATTGAACAAGAATAAGATTCAATCACACCAAAGCTTTTTGTTAGAACAATTTTGTTCTTAGGGCACGTTTTAAGGATTAAACATTTACAATGTTGCTTGAAAATTTGTTTCCCACGTGCAGAAAGCCTCCGCAAATTTTACAAAACGTGATCAAAAGGTAATCGTCGTTATGTTGACGTATGTTTCATTAATTAATATGATGAATCCAAACATCGTAATTCGAAATGATTTAATGATTCGGTTGTTAAATGCTTCGAGGCGTTTTTCAAATGAAATTTATTTGAGATGATTTGAAAAGTGATTCAGCTTTAATTATTTCAAATATTTTTGTGTCTCTTGAATGCTTTGAAAATTGTCGCTCATCAAAATGCTTTTTGAAATTGCCAGCTTAATGATACTCGTTATGGGTAATTAAATCAAAACAATTAAGATATTTATTATTCCACTTTCAATGATCATCACTTAAAGGTTTTGAGAACAATGCTGGCGTTTATAGCTACGACTTTGGCTTTAGCCATCTATTGAAAGGTGCTGAGATTAGTTAAATTAGAAAGTTACAGGTGAGAGGATTTTTTTAGTTATCAACCCAAGCTGAATTATTCATTCACCTAGAAAACTTTTTTTTCTTGTAAAGAATTTTCCATTTCGTGGATTTTTGTAAATCTCGATAAAGGTTCAATTTGGTTCTTATGACAAGTGCTTTGTCCTGAAAACACGCAATAAACTTCTCCAGCCAACTAAATAAAGTAAGAAGGAAAAAATGCGAAACGACTTTGTGCAATTAAATATTTAGCTTAGGACACAAATTTCATTTCCTTAAGCTGTCATTATATAAGGCAAAGCAAATGAGGGTGAAGCATTCTTGTTTCCTCTGCCACAAACATGGAAAGTAAAAGCTGTCGTAGAATCAACTTGTTCAATTTAATAGAGATTTATGTTCTTTATAAAACTGGAACAAGAAAAAGTTTTCTTCTTGGTCCATTTTTATTTTTTACAAGATTAAAATGAATTATAAATCATGAAAAGTTCCAAATAAATACTCTTGGAGGCAAATCTAATTACTTTACCGTAGAGTATTTGACTAGATCCTCAGTTCGATGAGATTTTCTATTACTTTCAAGGGTAGGATAAAAGAAAATCTATAAAATGTGACCTGAAGATGATTTAAGGATTGGGTTTCGTAGATTGATGTACTTAGCAAACTTTATTCAACCTTTAAACATTTAATTAAGCTTTCTTAACCCCTTTGAGAGTTTGAAGCATTGATTTAATTTCTTTTAGATTGTAATCAATTCGATATTATTTTTCCATAATTATTGAAATTTTCTTTTCAAGACTTCAGTCCAATTAAAGCAAAACTAATTAGAATTGGAACAAGCTGGTAAGTTACGAAGTTTAATCTAAAAGTTATCGAGGTAAATGTTCGTTCGTGGTTGGAAAGAATAATTTCGGATCAAGTTCGATGACTTGACGTGAACAATTTTTCTTTTACGCTCTTCAAGTGATTACACTCATAATTTTATTTCGATGAAAAAGTTTTTCTTTTAACCGAGACGAAAAACACAATTGTCACAAACGAATCTGTTTGATGAACTTGAAAATAAATTTGTTCTTTACACTGGAAGCTCTCGTCTGCAGAACTTTTTTCTTTTCTTTCTTTTTATTTTAAATAAGTTTTCTCACCCACGCATAAATCTACTTGAACTTCAAAGCGACAGTTAAAAAGTTTTTAAAACACAAAAAAGTTTAATAAACTCACCGAGACTCCACATGTCGATTGGTGTGCCGTATGAGAGACCAAGAATAACTTCAGGCGACCGATAAAAACGTGACTGAATGTAAGTGTAAACTTTGCGATGTGAGTAGCATGAGCTACCAAAATCTATGACTTTGATCGAGCTACTGCCGCGTTGCTTCAACAGCACATTTTCCTGGAGATGAAAAATGTTTTTATTATTTTTGGGTGAAAGTTCGTTCAACTTTTTCCTCTTAAATTAAGTTCGCCGACGTTTTCCACACCTCGGTTAATAAACATTAAGAAGGGGTGTGTGTAGGAATGATGAACTTACCGGCTTTAAATCACAATGAATGATGTTCTCGTGGTACAAGAGACGCAAGCATTTAACAATCGAATTGCAGAAGCGTCTTATCAGACTTAAACTGAATCCCTGGTAATTATTCTTCTTGATAAGTTCATAAAGGTTTAAGCTGAAAGAAAAAAAAGAAAAGAATAATTAGGTAAGTAATTTGATTATTTAAAATATTTTGATAGTTACAACGCAAATTGCTTTTCCCTAATTCAAAAGATTGTTCATGTCGCTGCTTTTTCATTCAACAACAATTGCGTCAGCTTTCGTGTCTCGGGACTATTTACATTCAATGTTATGTCCCCTTTCCATGCAAAGTTACTTCGCATTTAATTTACTTTTTTGTTCCTTTCTTTAATCAACTTTTCATTTCAGTTTGCCACGACGTAAAAAACAATAAAAGAACAGCTGAGGTAAAGTACAAAGTTATGAAACTTATTTTTCATTTAATTTAAAAACTTTTTCCTTTTTTATTATCATCTTGAGACACATGAAACGGCTAAAAGATTTCTTTGATTGAAAATTAAATTTACATAGATTGTCGTTCCCAAAAAGTTAAATTCACAAGATTTTGTTAATTCAATAATTTGCTGGTTTATTAATTGGATCTAAAATAGATTCACGTTAAGAAGCTACAAAAGTTTTTCTTTATTTTTAGCAACATTGTTAAAATTTCTTTTGCATTGTTAAACAGCGACATGAACAACGTCATTGCAAAAACATCAAGAAAAAGTCTAATTAAAACGACATCGCAAAAAAATTTTTTAATGAAACTAATTTTCCTTCAAAGTTTGCCTTTTCGATTCTGTTTTCTTCTCTTCACTCTTGTTACACGATGGCACGATTCCGAAGCGAAGTTTGATTTCAAAGACTTCTACTATTTGATTATGTTAATGCTTCTTCTTTTCTTGTAAAAGATTTTCCTTCTATTATAATTTTTATTATCAGTGAAGTTTTTTTTATTCCGTTAGAAAATTATTTCGTTAATAAATATCTATAACAATGTTACCAGTGACAAAGTTGTTTGCGTGGGAGGTATTTATAAGAAAACTTTTTTTTTCTACTACAAGTAGCTCGCCTTTCAAGCAATGCATGACCTTCTCGGTTTCATTTATGGGAAAAGAAACAAGAAAAACATTCTGAGATGTTGAGTAAATGAGTTTTCCTCAACCGAAGGTTATGTCTTTAAGTCTAGATGCTTAAGTAATTCCATTATAATTCTTATTCATAAATTAATGGGCAAGAACGAGCACAGCTGAATGAATAGAAAACCTTTTATAAATGTATTTAATTCCCCATTGATATTTAAGTCTTCCGTAAAGAATCTTTTGTGAATGATAGAAAAGTATACAAAAATAGCTTCAAATTCATTGGTAGAGACAACATAAATGTAAATTTCTGTGAATGTCACTTAAATGTGATATTGAATTTCTTTTATTTATTCAACAAACAAACGATTTAATTTTGTATATTGAAAGGATACGACAAGCAATCTAATTTTATATTAAAGAACTTCTCAAGGATAGAAGTTTATTAATGATCAAAGGATAATAAATAAATGAAACAATTTTTTAATGATTTTCCTTATTTTCAATTACACACGAACAAACATTTAATAAAATCAAGTAGTAAATTCACATTTTGCTTTTTCCTGATAAAATCTTCACATTTTCATTTCCCTCAAATTGGATAAGTCGTCAAAAAGTAATTTGAGATAAAATTTCTTCCAAGAGTATTTAAAGCACGCATTTGATCATTAACGTTTTTGAAGTGGTTTGATGTGGCATGTTTTGTGATAAACGAAACCTATTAATGTTCTCAAGAACGAAGAACTTTTATAAAATGAGAGGAAAATGTCAATTGACAAATTGAATTTAAGAATGTTAATACATAGTCAAGTGAAATGATAAAAAAAGGAAAAAGCGATAAATGTATTTAAATCTATGAAATGGTGAGTAATGAAAGTGGATTGCGCTAGACGATATGTGTTGTGGACGTGGATGCACGATTTGATTAATCAATTATTTTATTTCATTTGATAACCAAATTATATGTTTAATAACATTTTCATTTAAGAATTCATATCTTGAATGTTGGTTTTGGGATATGATGGAGACCTTATAGCGTTATAAGCCTTAAAAGCCGTCAATACTTCCTACTACTTCAGTAGCAGCATTTAAAAGTGTTAAAAATGTGGACTCCATAAAATCATTCAACCCAATTAATAATTCAGCAATGCAAGAAATTGGGAAATCGACAGGATCAACCTGTTGTGTCGCAACGTCATTTAAGTATTCAAGAGAAGAATTAATTTCAGTTGCGATTTGACCAAGAATTGTTTGTAAAACTTGGAGTAAAACGAAGCTTGTTACATATATTGATGCTGTGATTTCATCAATTTTCTTCTGTTCTCTAGTTGATTGTGTATTAAAAATTATTTCATCAATTGCTGGCAATAGACCTTGTTGTAGAGGAAATGATATTCCGTTGTTCAAAAGAACAGCTTCAAAGTCATTCAGAAGGGCAGCAACACTATCCGATTTTTCTTGGTTTGTGCCATCGAAACCGCTGACATCAGCGCCTTCGAAAAATGGTAAAACTTGCGTTGCAAGATTATTGATGTAGTCTTTGATGTTGTCCAATCTATTTGCAATGTCACTTCGACTGAACGGCAAAGGTGTAGTTGAGCAAGAATTGCCATCACCCGAGAAAACTTCTTCAGCAATAATCACAACAAGGAATAAATGTAAAAGCTTCATAGTTAATGTTGAAGTGAATAGTCAAAACTGAACTGACTTTTCGCTTATCCTTTCAGTTTATTTATACTTGAAAACGCCCCAAATTTCAAATTATTATTACAAATATTTAAAACTTTTCACGAAATTTTCATTTCAAGTTTATTGAAATCGTGGACAAAATGTTCAAGGAAAATTAAAAGATAATTAAATGATGAACGTTCTTACTACAATGGTGAGTACTAAAACTTGTTTGCTTTTAAGTAGATTGCATGAGTCGATATAGAAAATTTATTGAATCGAGCGATGGCAAATCGTCAAAGCATTCTACGAGTTTTTGGAAGATTGAACTGTTTGTTGATTTCAAAAAAGTTTTAAATGTCAATTGACAATGATGAAGATAAATACACGACATGACCATAAAGTTTGCAACTTTGTATCGTTGATTTGACAGCCCAATTATCTCGGATATGAATGTTTACACGATGTTCAAAATTTATCAGGTCATTTAATTTTATTAAGTTACAAATTGTCAGTGATAATCGTCAAATGTTAAACTTTTGTAATCGCTTGACATGTCACGAGACAAAATAATTAAAAAACTATGAAAATTTAATAACTAAAATTCACATTCATGCTTGTTGGAATGTTTAACATTCGAAAACTATTATGAAATATTCAATGCCAAAACTTTCCATTAACATACTTAAATGCACATGCAAACAAAGTTTCCTTCGTTTAGTTTTAAAAAGAAATATCTATTGAAGTAGCACTTTAATATTTAACTTAAATGTTTATTGATTTTCATTCATGTCTGTCTGGAGATTTCATGCATGCAATGTCTATTCAATGTCTCATGGGGAAGTGAGATTTGTTAAAGCTCAAACACAAAACAAAATATCATTTCATGTGGAAATCAATGAAAGACATAAAAAAGCATTTCCGTCTATCAATAAATCAAAAGAATTTTCTTCCTTCTTCCCTCACTTACTCTTGCAAGTAATTTAATTTATAGAGCTGAATGTCTTTTTATTTTATCCATACCGACATTGCAAGGGACTCTTTCTAAAAATACCGCAACATTCAAAACATTTTTGTTTATAAATAGCTTTTGTTCGTTTTATTTTTACTTCACCCCCGCACTTCAAAAAAATAAATGAAACAAGGGAACGCAAATTATGAACATAAAAAAGCTTGAAAACATAAAAAGTTTTCGCACGATTTCAACTATCGCGAATGAAATTTGATGAAATTAAATATGAACTTGTTTATTAAATCACATCAAAGTCATAATGTTTTATGATTAGATGTAGTTTAAAATAAATACTCAGCCCAATGAATATTCAACTCGTGAAGAGAGTTTAAAAAATGTACAAAGAAAGGGAAGAAAGTTTTATCAGTGAATTTATGAAGCATTGATGAATAAAGAAAATCATAAATAAAAGTTGAAAGAAACCATTGAAGTCACTTTAATTCTCTGCTTCTGAAAAATGAAATTGGAAAATATAATTTATGGAAATTTTTCATCTTTGTTATATTTTTTAATAAGAATTTTTCGCTTTTCTATTTTAAGCAGAGAAAGAGAAGTTGCGAACCTTCATTTTATTGCCTTTCTTTGTATAATAATAAATAAAGATTTAGATGTTTTGATAAATAACTCATGAAGCGCGCGGGTAAATGAGAAAGATTTCTTCTCGTCTAGTAGAATTTATGGGTTCTAGTTACAAAGAAATGAAGCGCAATTTTTGAAATTGATTGCTTCATCTGATTGATCAGTCAATTCCGTTCAATTACATGTAAAGATTATTCCCTCATGTATGTCGAGAATGAAAAAGAGGAAAATGTTTTCCGCTAGATTTAAGTTGATAAAGAAAATGTATCAAGGTTTCTAAATATAGCCTCGAATTCTTTTTCTTTTTATTTTTGATTACCATACGAAGCAATTTTACTTCGATTTTCTCTTTTGCCTCACGAATGTTCATTATGCAATGTCATTGATGACGTAATAAGTAGAACGCCAATTTCATCGCTTAAACACATGTTTAAAGGTGGAAATATTGATTTACCAGAAGAAGGAGAAGACGAAGGAACTTGCAAAATTAAGTTCAAACATGCTTTTCGTTGTTTTCAATGCCAAAGGTGAATATAATCGATTGGTTTGGTCCTGTCTCAAAAACTTACCTCATCAATTCGAAACTGATACACAAATGATTCCTAAAATAGAAGTAATCCAACATGTGAATGATGTTGTGAGATCCATCAGCGTCTTTCTTGCGAAGCTCATCAAGAATGCGAACTTCAACGAGCGCTTGATGATGGAAGCGCTTTTTGTTTCGAATTATTTTGATTGCGACATATTGATTTGTTTTATGGTCCAATGCACGAATCACTTGTCCGAAACTACCTTTTCCGATAACTTCCAGGATCTCATATCGATAGCAGATGTGATCGTGAATAACCTGTGTGGGTGGAAGAGATAATAAACATAAAATATTAATGGAATTGTTTAGTTTATGACATTCGTTCTTCGTATCTCATATTGATAGAGTCAAAAATGAGGGCGAACTGATAACAAATTAATTCCCAATGAGAAATTGCTTCTTATTCCAAAGTAAATGATGCCATTTTCTCAACAAATCTGTTGACATTATCTAACACAATTCATCTTATCCCTTCATTTCCTTTCCCATCCTTTCTCAAATAAAAAACAGATAATCGTATTCATACAAACTTTGTTCATTACTAAAAAGCTCAGTTTTATGGCCCACAACAAAATAAGCAGCCTAAAGGGAAACATTTTTGAACGACGTCAAAATTTAATGTCGCCGCATTTTCCGACTCGAAGCGACAAAAACCATAAACTCCCTTGCTATATTATTTAATGCGGACTGAACATATCAGACGAGTATAAGCACAGGAAAAAGATATCAAAGTTTCATTGGAAAAAGGCAAACGATGTGTGGCTGTAAATTGAGTAATAAATTTCTCCTCGAATCAACATTCATCATGACACATTCACGTGAACGATATTTTCAGTCTCGAGAGCTTTTTATCGACCTCGAAAAGCTTTCAACTTGTATTGCCATGAATACCAATCATTTCTAACCGCAGAATGGGAACTACTAGATATTTATTATTGCTGTTCTTTTGAAAGACGGAAATCAAGGATGCAAAGGAAAGCAATAAAGAAAAGTTTTGTTGAGTTGCAAGCGTGTTGGAATTTTCTCTGTCATGTTCACAGAATTTCCTTTTCGGAAACAGTCACTCGTTATTATGAGAAATTATTTTGTTGCTTTATCATATTTCAACACTTGCATGTCTTCGTCACTTTCACAACCTCCTGTTGCTAAAATATTCTATAGTTAGTTAAGCTTACCTTATTATAGCTTCCATTTTCATCGTCATAACCACAATTCAATGGCGTTCCAGGTTTGGCGTTTATCTTGCACGATTCCATGCCTAAATACCAAATTTCCGGATATTTTTCAATCTCTTGACGCTCGTAGTCACTCAAGCGACTGCTATACTGTTTAAGCACTTCTGAAAAGAGAGAAAACAGTTGTAAAAATGTGTCATTATCTAAACAATATGAATAGTTAAGTGAATTAAAGAAATAAGCTTTTTTAATACATCTTAATCTGCACACCATCAAAGTTAAATAAAATAAATTATTAAAAAGTATTGCCATGATTCAATTACGATCCAATGCTTCTTATTTAGATATTTTGTTTTCCCTTAAAAATGAAATCAGACAATCCTTGCAGAATTCATGAGAGATATTGCGGAGAATACTTTTGTGCATTTATTACTTTGGTAGCTCACGTTTGAAGTGCTTTTAACTCTCATCAGAATGCTTAATTTTCTTGACATGCTCGAACTAAAGTCCAAATGTAAATTATTTTTAATTGATCTTCAAAGATCAACGCAAAAATTGTATCAGAAACATAAAAATTATAATTAACCTGAATATCATAATCTTTGCTTTCATGATTTCCAATTAAATTTATAAAAAGTAAAAATATTTCTTTCAATTTTTATATTTATTTGTACTTTCGGAGATTGTCAATTCAATTGCATTCATTTAAATTAATATTTTCATTAGCCAATTTTTGAGATTATTTGATAACCAAATTATGTAGTTAATTACATTTCCATTTAACATTCCATATCTTGAATGATATTTTTGGGATATGATGAAGGCCTTATGGCATTGCTTCAAGACTTGCTTTGGCTGCAATAGCAGCGTTTTCAATCGATCTATATGTGTTAATCATAAATTGATACAGTTGAATTAATGCTTCAGCGATGCAAGAAATTGGATAATCGGCAAGATCAACCCTTTGTCTCGCAACGTTTAACAAGTAGATAGGAGAAAAATTAGTTTCAGTTGCGATTTGACCAAGAATTGATTCCAAAACCGAGTATAGAATTTCGCTTGCAGCATCTACTGATGCTGTGATTTCATCAATTTTCTTCTGTTCTCCAGTTGATTGTGTATTGAAAATTATATCATCAATAAGTGGCAAGAAATCTTCAGCAGAAAATGGTATTCCGTTGTTCGAAAGAACAACTTTGAGGATAAACAGGATGCCACTTGCATTATCCGATTTTTCTTGATTTGTGCCAATGAAATCAGCGATATCAGCCCCTTCGAAAAATGGTAAAACTTCTGCTACAGCACCATTGATGAAGTCTTTGATGCTTTCTAATAATGCCACTTGGGCTGAACGGCAAAGGTGGACTTGAGCAAGAATTTCCATCACCCGAGAAAACTTCTTCAGCAATAATCACAACAAGGAACAAATGTAAAAGCTTCATAGTTAATGTTAAACTGAAGAGTCAAAACTGAACTGACTTTTCACTGATCCTTTCAGTTTATTTATACTAAAAAACTGCAAAATTTAGGTAATTAGAAATATTTAAAACTTTTCACGAAATTTTCGTTTCAAGTTTATTGAAATCGTGGAAAATCGTTTAAAGAACATTAAAAGATAATTAAATGATGAACGTTATTACTAAGCTGGGTGTGACAAAAGTCGTGATTATGAAACTATTTGAGGAATAAATTTTAAAGTTCTGATTATGTAACTTTTATCGCGATAAAAATTTGTTTTAAGGATTATTAAATTTAATATGATGTCTCACTAATCCCAAACCTTACTTGCTTTACTTTATTTCTGTCCTTTTCTAGCTGTTAAATATTTCTTTTAACTTTTGAAATAAAAACGAAACTAAATAAAATTTCAGCTTTTTAATTCATTTCAATTTGTGATCTATTGCAACTGTGTTGGGTAAAACTTTGAGGTTTCATAATCAACATTACAGAATTTATCCTCACTTCAATATTTATAATAAAATTATAAAATCTATCACATGATGTTTTCTATAACCGAGAAATGTTTTTAATTAGATTATAATCGACATTAACTGTTATTTATCTGAGGACTTTCGTTCGTGTTTTACGCCCACGCTTAGAAGAAAGCGAAGGAGAGTGGACTGAAATTGCTTTCCCTGACCTCTTGATTATAATTAATGAAACAATTGCAAGAATTTCATTATGCAAACGCCACAAACCTCAGTTGTCGTTTGCATTTTTATATCAATAGAATGTTGGAAGATTTGGTAGCAAAAAAAAGTCAAAATTCCTTTCAAGAATATTCTGACCTTGCGAATTTTATGAATGTTTTATGAGGCAGAATTTTTACCCTCGAACACCAAAGAATTTTATAAAAATGAATGAACTGAGTAAAAATGTGTTGTTGTTCATGGAAACATGAAACGTGAACTTTCAGGCTTTTATTTTCCCATAAAGCACCTAAAAACATGAAAATGTTCTCGACGGTCCTTGGCATAAATTTCAAATTTTTCTTTAACTTATTTAAGTGGAAATTCTAATATTTCAATAGCAGTTTGAGAGTGTAAAGTTTTAAGTTTATGGTTTTCATTTCATTTTCTAATGAAACCATCAGTGAAATCTGCCAAAGAAATAGCAACACAAAAGTTTGATATAAAAGGAAAGCAATCACCCGAAAACCATTCTATGATGCGATGGGAGCAAAAACTTCCTTTTTGTCAACATTGCGCAAGCCACTGAACTGATTTTCTTGAAGAATGAATTTCTTATGAAGCATTTGCCCTTAAATCACTTCTTTCGCTTCCCATCTCATGTCTGATGTAGGGAAAAGTTGTCGATATTTTCTCATTCTTCTGCCTCAAGCATAGACTCAATTTTCACTCAATTCTTAAATCCTCTTTCTTTTTTCATCTAATAAAGCATATAAAATTGAATCAGAAATTGTGCTCAATGAATTTGAGCTTGTCGTTTATGGAGGTTCATCTATGTAGGTCTGTTTTTATTTACTATAAATAAATAAATCAAAAGCTCAAGTGTCGTTGCAAAAGACATAAAGTTACGTCGAAAGTCAGTCAATCAAAATTTCTTGTCTTGCGAAATGTACAAAAAAAATTAATTTACAAAATTGTCAAAAGTTTTCAGAAACAGGTGACGTTAAAATGTCACAGAAATATTTTTGAAAGAAACATGACTTGTAGTGTATGTTATGTCGATTAACATTTTTTTCTGTGATTAAACAACAAGTGAAACTCGCTGATTGTCCTTAAATAAACCCAAGCTTCCCTTAAACAGACAAAATTTCTTTTATCAAAGTCAACAATGAAAAACCGACAATGGCTAGACAAAAACGACTTTTGTGGGGCTTCAAATGCCTTCCACAGAAATTGTTCAGGGGAAAAACTTTTATATTTTAAGAGACAAAGAGAAATGACGAAGCGAGAAAAATTAACAAGAATTGTGCTAAGTAGAAGCGCAGAAAAACGAACGTGTTAAATTATCGTAATCATATAATCCTCATCAATCATGGTAGTTAATAATTGATCGCATTATTAATAGTTAATAGAGAGTTTCGAAAACTTTTCTCTTGATTAGCGGGATAAGAAACTTCTATTTGTGATTAATTAATTACTTAACTAATGGAGAAATGAAGGAACTTACCAGATGGTGTCATTGGAACTGGCTTGTGTTGTTCCACGTTATCGCTGCCTGAAGATGTGTTGCTGCTAACTGGGCTAAGTGGAATACTGTTGCCTTGCGAGTCAATTATGAGAGCATTACTGTTGCGAATTCGCGACGATGGCGTTCTCTGTTCTGTATGTTGTCTCATCGTGGCAATTGATTTTGTCGTTGTGTTTGATGACACACATAAACCTGATAAATCGATTCTTGAGACGAGCGTTCCACGATCACGACAAATTTTTTCGTTTTCAATTTGAACCTGAAAAGTGAAGAAGGAAAATTAAAAATTTAGTATTTATTTGTGTTGATAAACATCAGAAATTGTTGATGGTAAGAAGCGCAAATTAATCAACATCACTTCGAAATTAACGACTGATTGGATCAAATATAAATGGGAAGAATGAAAAACTTTTGAAAGGGGAAAATATTTAATGGAAAAGTTATTGAAAGAAAAGTTTTCTCTCAAATCTTGCGAAAAAATCGACACGAGAAAGAATTTTTCATTCGGTTGCATAAGTTTGAGGGGCAAAACGAATCGTTTTACAATGCTGGGTTACAATGCTTACTCAGTTTTTTAGTTCATTAACTAAATTACAACTCTCTATAAAGTTTCTTCGTCAATAATTCGAAGTGATATTTATTACAAAACGTAGTCAGCAATTATTGCTTTATCTGCTTCAGCAATTGTGACGCGGTTCGAAACGTATTATTTGCGCAAATGAATTTATTTAAGAAGTTTTCTTGCAATTTTTTCTCCTCTTGTCTATTTTATTGCAAAAAATATGAGCTTTAATCTAATGAAGTGTTGTTTATGATCATCTATGAATGAAAGTGAAATCCCACATGTAAACAAGCTAACAACAGCTACAGTGTTCGTTATGTAAAGGAGAAAACATTGAACTGGATCTCCCAAGAGAAATTTAAGTTAAAGCTTCAAAGCAATTTTCGCTCATTAATTTTTATGCAAAGTTTTCAGCGAATCAAATAGGCAATATATCAAAAGATATAGTCGGACACAAAACAAGCCGTTTACACGCGCCGTTAATATGAAAAATATTAAAATATTTAAGCGCATGTTTCGTAATGATTGCTGCTTTATTCTTGTTTCAATTTTGTCCAAGAACGGGCTTCACAAATCAATGACCTTTTCAAACAATTATTATTCATTCCCTTGCTAGTTTTCTTGCATAGTTAAATAGTAATCGTGATTTGTTATCATACCAATTGGATGCTATTTATATATGTAAATGCGGAAAGTTCATCGTTAGAGTTCATAATCCATTAAACACGACGATTCTAACTTGAAATAACGAGTGCGGCGATTATAACGATAAGCATACAACAGAAAGTTGCGTTGATAAATCAGTTTTATGAATTACAATTGTATTCCGACTAATAATCCGGTGTACATATGATTCAGTCTGTTGGTCGTGTGTTCACTGTTTCATTACTGTTTTAGATGTCTGAATGTGCTTATTGTAATGCCTTTACTTATGGGCGTACTGCTGTTGTTTCCTTATAGAGTCTTTAATTCATTGCGTAGTCAAGAAACTCTAACCGTTCGTTAATGGACATGGACAATAATAAATCGAACTTGCAAGTTTTCCTTGAGACAAGGATTTAAATACAAAATGAAGTTATTTATTTAAATCTTTGAAGGAGTTTTATGGCCTATTAGTTATTTTTTGATTTTATTTAATGTTCAGACACAACAATTGAACAGAGAAAAAATTGTACAAATAAATAATTCTTAGACTTAAGTGCTTTACTAAAAGCACTAAAATATTATTTTTGTCGATATTTTTAGAATGTCTCACGAGAGAAGAAAAACAAAACTTACGTTACAACTTGATTTCACGACTTAATGTTGATAGTATCTTGTTGAAGTCGAAATGTAATAAAAAAGACTTTCTAACGTTTAATGTCGTTCGGTTTTACAACCATCAAGAAAGATATTTCACTATTTTGTATTTTGCCAAAAGGAAAACAGAAAAATGAAAATTCATTCGATTATTGAAGAGAATGAAACGCGATCGAAATGTTATTAAATGAGAATTTATTTCTATCTGAATGGAAACAACAAATTTATGCTAATCACATTAAGTCGAATTTGTTTGATTTTCATTTACGTTTTATTGGAATTTTCATGCGAAAAGCTGATTAGCTTCAAAGTAAATATTCACACAGAGAAGCATATGAAAATTGTGTTGCAAATATCAACAGAAACAAAATTATGGAAAATTTTATTTGAATCGCCTGTGGCACGAGCTCAACAGACAGAAATTTAATGCTTTGGAGATTACACGCGGAGCTTCAAAATGAAGAATTGTTTGCAACTGGAATTAACTGACGTGATCGTGAATGATGTAAAACAAAACAGTGACGAGCTACAAAGGTGCGATAATTTATGTCTTCTCTCGCCTTCTTACAATTCAACGCTGCAAGCCATAAAAGGTTAATTTCAACGTGATGAACTTTATGGGCTGAAGAAAATTATGTTTTACTTTTTTTTTCATCCATCCAGCCCATTGTTTATTTGAAACCTTTAAAGTGTTCAATTACATTGCTGCAACAAAGTGATAATCGACTTTTCTCATTTAATAATTGCATTAATTTTTCATTCAAATCTCTTTAAATGTTGAAAAGTAACCTGTTGCACTTTAATTACTTCCGGATTTCCCCTCGATGTTTTCAAATGTTGTTTTCACATCGATTTACAACTTAATACTGTTTTCCAATTTAATTATTAACATCATGACTGACAGCTGACTTTGGCTTCTCGCATTATTTATCGATACAAAGAATTCAATATTAACAAGATTGGATGAAATTTTTTTCTGACGAATTTTTCTGTTCATTTATTAAAGCATTTTATGAATATTTATTTAAAATGTTAACCTTTCAAAGTCAATTTGAAACTATGTGATAACTTGGCCCTTCAAAATATTCTGAAGCATTCAAATAGAAACATGAATCAACTCAGATCGATATTAATGACTTGCTGACTGAGACATTAAGCGATGTGTGACTGCGCAATTCGAAACAATTCAAATTCGTAGTTTTGTGGTCATTACGAAAGCCACTGGTGTATGAAGGCAGCAGCAATTTTATGAGTTTCAGACTATGAACATCTTTCGCGACTTCATTAATCATTCAATGATATTGAAGGAAGCCAGAAGAGGGAAGAAAAGTCGAAAAGGTTTACCTAATTAATGACTCGGCCCAAAGTTTTACTACACCTGCCGCTCTATTTCTTTTTATTACCAAGTGATCGCTTAACTACAGCTTTTCGCTAGTTTTCACTGAAAAGATAATTTAAAAATGTTATAAATTTGCGCTAGGCCACTTTTCACTTTTTTTTCGTCTCATTTTTTTACTTTTCATATCCCAAAGTCCATTTCGAATTGAGATAAAATGTTTCGAAGCTTGTTTAAGAGTCTGACTCGCAAATAAATTTCATGTGGCGTTGCAAACATGAACCGTTTGATAAATATTTATTTGAACAATTAAAATATAAAGCAGACATAAATATCTGAAATAAGTTGCGGCAACTTGCGGTGGTTCGTATAATAAATAAAGATTTTCTCAGAAAGCTTTGTCGAGGTTTCTTTCGAATTGTTTAATTGTCTTTAAATTGACGGGAAAAGAGTTTGGAGACATGTTAAGCTCACATAATACTTTTTGCCTTGCGTGATGAATTGAATTACATGTTGGTCGATCTTTGACGCGGCACACGAATCAATTAACTAAAATATTTAACACAATTCTCATCAGTTTCAAAGAACAAAATAGAAATTTCAAATTTCGTTACAAACAAACGATGACCACTTGATAATGATGTTGAAATTTCGTGTGTCCGACATAGGATGAGAAAGAAAAAAAAAGTTAAAAACATGATGAAAGAGAAAATTAAACGAGAACAGAAATTCTTGAGTGATTTGATCCACAGCTGTTTCCTTGTCGTGTTCCAGATCAAAGACAGACAAAACAGAGAAAAAAGAAGCTTTTCGCATTTGGGAGCAGCAGTGTGTTGAACGAAAGCAATCAACTCGACAATTAATTTGCGATTTTTATTATAATGCGATCGTTTACTTTATATTTCTTCTTCACGATTATTTCTTGTCTTAAAATAGCATTCAATAAAAGTAAAAAACCTCGTTTAGACATTTATATCAAAACTTGAACTTGAAGTGAATGATTTCGTAACACTCAACTCCAACTTAACTCGCCCTGCTGTCTCGAACGCAACATGTGTCGTTGGCCAACATCTTAATTGCTGCTTATCAAAATGGACGAGAGAAACGAAGCAACAAAAAGTACATAAAATAAGAGCTGTCGATATTTAACTATCGTTCTGGTAATTGGTAACAAACTGTTATCATGACATGCGATAACGCGCTAATTGGGTTAACAAATACTCGTTTTACTCTTTTTCATTTCGATAATAAAATCACCTTCATACTTACTGGTCCCACATCCAGCATTGTCGCTCGTTATTTAGTTTACAACTTGAATCGATTAACTCTACTTTTTCACTATTTTTAGATTTTTTGCTTTATGTAGCATCGATAAACTAAGTATAAGGCAAAAGTAATTTTTTTTTCTCTTCTCTAATGTATCCAAAAATAATCAGAAATGTTTACTTCAAATAATTTTTTCCCTTTTTTTTCTCTCCTTTCACTTGCTTTTATGATTATTTGAACGTTTTATTCCTTAAATATTCTTTGCGATAGCAGCAGCAGAACTATGTGTAAACAATAACTTTTCTCTATCGGTAGTAGCAACAGAATAAAGAAACGTTTTGTTACGATGTGTTTCGATGCGAGAAAGAGTTTAGAAGAAGAAAAAATGACTACCGAGATGAGAGTGAGAAAGAGAAGACGAAAAGAAGAAATTGAAGATGCTTGTAAGCGTCTTGTGTCAGTTCAGTAATCAAGCAAATTGGGGTCATTTAAAAGAAGCGATTAATTGTTCACGAAGTGGAGAAAATCAAGCACAAACATTTCCGCATTGACCCGCAACTTGAGCCTGGTTGCATTACAATCAATTCCCATTCTATTGTCGACATAACTACGCTTCTTATCATCTTATTAAAAGAGAAAAAGAATAGAATTAAAAGAATTAGTTCACTCTTCTTGATTGTGCAATTGATGGTTATTATGCTCATGTATGTGAGTGCATTTTTAATTAAACATTTAATGCTTGCGCAATTTAAACTATTTGAGACCAAACCAATAGAAGTTCTCGTTACATCAATGATGGATGACGTCTCATGAACTCAAAAACTTCGAATTACATGTTTATGTAAGGAAATGTGTTGCATATAAACAAAATAAAAACTCTTTTCATAACTTTAAATGTAAACAAAGATGGAAAGTTTTTAAGTCTACATACATATGTACAGTAGACTTGATAACAATCATCATCAGCTGCTAATGCTTTGAATGCTTTCGAAAGAATTGCTCAAAGGAGAGAAATGTTGAATTGTCCTCCCCCACAATAGCATAAAGCATAATATTTAATATCGAATAAAAGAATTCATCATAGGGAGTGCCTTTGGTTGAGTCAAGACATCAAATTTTTATTCATCATTCTTTGAAACAACGTGGAAGCAGCTGGTGGTGCATTAGTCATCACAATGAAATTAGAATTTATGTGTTTCATAAGTAGAGTCAATCACCCGATGTTTTACTTTTGCTTTTTTCACTTTGTTGTTTATTTCCAGCATCGAAGCGAACACTTCCTTCAAAAAATATAAATAAATTTAGCTCGACGGCTAGCAGCGCATTTTAAGAGTGTGAAAACCGCAGTCTTATGTAATCCATGAAACAATCAACTCTTATTGATGACTTTTTTTCTGTTTTTGGTTTAGATCGTGTAAACAATGCTTTGAAAATCACTAACAAGCAAGCATGTACCTACGATTTTGATATTTATATGAAACTTAATCATCAAGTGCCATTGAAGTGATCGATTATTATTCGATTGCACAACGCTTGAGCGAAGTGAAACATTAAATTGGTTGATTAACGTGAATGCTCAGACGAGATAAATCGATTCTTCTTTTTTTGTAGGCGGTAGCCAAATGGAAAATATTCTCACTTCAGATAAAATTTCATCCTTCAGTCTGTCTTCGTCATTAATCGCTTGGGGATGAAGCAGCTCCATTAAGATTAGAAATTGTGTAGATTTTCTTCTTCAATGTCATTCATATTTTATGTCGTGGCCCTGAGAATGATATTGAGCTCATATCCCGTTTCTTTACATCGAATCATCATCGTTTTAATGATATTTTAAGACGCGCACAATCCCAAACTTTTCTCTTTTTCTTTGGACCATTTTCAGTAAATTACCCGACATCAATTTCAATGAGATCAAATACTCTGGAATTTGTTGATATTTGCCGAACGATGAACATTGCGGAGTAAGTTTTCGAACTTTTATCCAAGTTTAAGATAAAAAGGTTAACAACAATTCGACTCGGCGAGAGTTCAAAATATTTGAAAGCAACGACACACGCGATGATGCTGATGACGATGACAACGACACTATGATGATGATTTTAGATCAATGAACTCTCAACATCGATGTCAGTGATTTTTCTTGTGTTTTAAGTTCAAATGAAATTAATCAGAGTCATCATATCATTTCCCACAAAACAGAGACATTCGTGATGAACAGTTTAAGATTCATCGCAAAGGATTCAGTGGGAAATTTCTCCTTTCAACATTATAAACGACATTTTGCAGTCATCTGTCTTAAGTTTTAAAAGATTTAATTTTAAATGTCACGATTTTCTTTCATAAGTTACGAGATTTTGATCGTAATTTTCTGTGAAATCTTCATCTCATCTATGTAAATAGAATTTATTTAACTCTATTAGACGGCAGAAGTGTATTGTAGTCGCTTATTTATTTCGATCACGAACGTGCCAAATGATAAACAAGGCAAATAAACTCGCATCATCAAACTCACAGAGATAAATTTTAAATTTCCACAAGATGAAAAATTACTAAGCGGTAATTTCCGCGAATATTCATTCACGCGACTTTGTTCTGAAAATATTTTAATAGCTTTTTACGAGAATTTCTCTACGATATCAGTAGGAATCATCGTTGAATAAATAACAATAGAAATCACCATATGGGATGTTTATATGTAGAACATGTCAACGTTTTTTTTCCGTTCAGACTCGTCAAATGTAATTACAAGGGCGATCGTGCTCTTGAGTTGTTCTCTGAAAGTGCTTTCTGTCAAGTGCCTAAAGAAAATAAAGATGATCTGCGATCTGCTTATAAATGGATAGACCGAGTGGAAAATTCTTGTTCCGTCTTTAAATAAAAGCAAATCTTTTTTCGCTTCTTCAATGTTTTGTTTGTTTTATTTTTTTTTCTCTCACATTTCAATGCCTGTACGATGAGCTCTGGTGATGTCTTAAGGTCATCGTGGCCTTTACTTATCATCGTAATCATGATTTTCTTCTTATTTATTCTTCATTTAATTCCATAGATTAATGTAACGTTTAATTAAATTGTGTGTTGCATGGAAACGTCACTGCATTTAAGTGTAGAGATAGAACGGGGAAGATAAATAAATATATGGTGATAGTGAAGAGGGTGGGATCGATGTCGACACAAAAGCTTGAAGGTTTAAGTTCTCAACAGCCCATCAAGATTCATCTGATATCAAGAAATGATGATTTATCATCGCGTTTTATTACAGAGGAAAAAACTTATTCATTCTTAACTGTGTAGAATGAAGCATGAAGGACGTTTCAGGTCTCGGGCTTATTTATTTATGCTTTTGCTTGAAATCTGCTAACTAACAATCGTGCATATGGTTAACGTGCTTAGGGAGAAAAATGAAAAATAAATTAAATTTATCTTCACGGTCTTTGGAAAGTGTAACAACGATTTATAAACACAGAGTCCAACTCAAGGCAATTAAATCGATCTACATTAGCATATGTTACAAAGTTAAATGAGAATCTTGAAAGAAAGTGAGTAAATATAAAGTCAATGATGATGATAAACGCAAGTGAGAAAAAAAGTATGTTGGGTTGCGTTCGCAAAGGGGAATTTTGAGTGAAAGAAGGTTATTTTGATTGATGATACTCGTCGCTGTTTTTAACTTTTACAGAAAAGAAAAGTTTTCTTAACCCAATTTTTTGCATATTTCGTTTTCATGCTTGCTTACATAGTTAGTAAATATCTTCAGAAATCATTGAATCGAGAAATCTGGGCTGTTTAAATTTATTTAATAACGAATCGAGAGCGTTCGTCTTGATACGGCTTCATGTTCGTATGTTGTTCAGATTGATTGATTTAATCAGATGAGTGATTTTGATTTGAAAATGACTGAATGTGTTGTTTGTAGACTTTAATTCATTTCTGGGTGTCTTAATTGGGATTAATGGACTTCCTTTCTTGATCATAATTTGTGGCACAAAGCACAAGAAGCGAGAATCGCAAACTTGTAATTAAACTTTAACTTGTGAGAAATATTTAACATTGAATGTTCTGACTTTTCTTTTATTTCTTTTCCTTACTCACGTCATGGGCATATTTAAGACAATTCAGAGCATGCAACTTGATTAATTAACTAAACATTAATTTCAATTAAAAAAATTTAAAATGAAAATTGCAAAGCAAAACTGAATTCGCATGAACAAAGAAACAAAGCAACTTCAGTGACTGCAAATGCAGATTGATTGCAATTATGTAAGTGGAGGGAGGTAAAAGAAGTCGATTTCATTCAGCTCTCACTTGCGTCTATTTATAGAGCGAAAAATAAGCAACAAATTATGTTTAATTGCCAATAATTGCGCAATTATTTTGTGGCGAATGCAGGGATCGCTCGCTTCAACAGGTAGCTTACGATCAGCATATGATTAATTCTCACACTCTCCAATCTCTGCAAATGCAAAGAAATTGTGCTTGAACTGCATTCAACACGCAATGAATTATTTTTAGAAAATATCTCAAAGGTTTAAGAAAGAAAGCAAAACACACAAATTAATGAAGAAAAAGCCGTCAAGATATCCACTCAGATATGTTGTGTTGTGTTTAAAGTTTAAACTGAATGCAACAACCAAAATCTCTTGTCTCGATCAGACTTTTAATTTATGGCTTAAAAATATCCAAAGCAGACAGCATGTTGCGGGTTAATGTTCAATTTATCTCACATTAGCGCATTAAGGAAAACGTTGAATGTCATGAACAATTGAGACTAATTTTCTTTCACCCATGGAGTGAAGGGCAAAGCGAGATAAGAAAAATCTGACTTTGCAGTCTGTGAAATTTCTTTAGAACAAAATAAATTTAAACTTGACGTTAAGTTGATTTTAACTTCTCAAAACCGATACCGTAATCCATCACAATGACTTTGAATATTCATTAAGTTAATGAAATGTCGCTCGACAACAAAATCCCAATAATGGAAATGATGATGAGAAACTAAAACTTCTAAGGCGACACTCGGAATGTGACATGATTTAAAGACAAAAGCCAGACAAACGATTAGTATTTGGTCTTGAGAATCGTCATTTCTTCATTTCTTAAGCATCTTAAATAGTTTAAAGAACATAAAGACAAAACAACTCTGCTGATATTTAATTTATTATTTGTTGTCTTTCCCAAGAATCGTTTCTATTTATGATCCCCTTACGGCATCTTAAGTGCCTTCCAAGACATCAGCAATCGATTATGTTGATGTTCATTGAGGTATGCAATCAATTTAATAAAAAAAATGCATTTTAACTGCTCATGAATTTCATAATCGAACATCAGGGTGTGGATGGAGGGAGAAGCGATAGCCGGGAATCATTTTACATCGTTCCGCTTTACGCAACTCTAACGATTTGCACTTGAATATGCATAACAAGGCGTCGCGAAGTGACTGAGAATAAATTTTCTATTCCCGTTGAAACGATCGTTTGTCTATTCACAAGAACAAAACAAAACAGGAAATTGAACACGAATGAAGAATTTAAAAAGAGAAGAAGAGAAAAAAAGTTCTTTTACGGTCACTTGGGTTCGCAGAAAGCAGCAACGTCAAGAACCATTTATTCTTTACCCACTTTCGTGGAGAATGATTGGCAGCAAACAAAACGACTAAGCATTGCCTCAAGTCGTTACCCAAACGAACTTCTCTTCTCGTGAGCTGCGAATTGAGCACAAGAGCTTTTGTTTATTTTATTCTAAAATAGTTAAGTTTTTTTTTCTTCACTTCTCATCATACACGTTTCTCGCGCAAATTAATGTATAAATAAATCTTTGAATGATTGTTTTAATTACGTGAATAGAGTAATGTGTTGAGAGTTTACATTGCACGAAGAATGGAGAGCTAAACAAAAATGCTTAACCGGTCAAGCGAAGATAGAATCATTTTCCTGAAACAGACTTTGACCTTCGATTTCGGGCTTGTCTGCCAAATTATAATTTTTTATGAAAAAAAAAAATCTTAAATTGTTCTTTCCTTTGCCTGGGCCTGGTTATGATTTTTTTTCTTGTCGTTTTCTCTTTTATTTATTGTAAGACAAGAAACAAGAAACCAAACGACAAAAGAATTCTTGGTAGAAGAAACTTGTGATCCGTTTTTTACCTGTTGCTTCTTTTTCAGACACGAAAAATCAAGTTTCTCAAGCTCCTCGATGACTGTGAGAATTTTCTCTTTCCTACATTCAAACATTCAATCAATTGATTGCTTTTGCTTGTTCAATTTAGATTTAATGAGCCCGCCATTCTTCCTTACGTCATTGACTAATGATACTGCCTGGTTTGTTTTCATATTATTTGCTTTTTAAGTATTCTTGGTAGATAAAAGATATTAAAAATTTATTCGGCATTTCCTTTCCCAAGTGAAAGATTGAACAAGCGATACGGTTCATTCTTTTGTTCTTTTCCACTGTCATCAACGATGATTTATTTAGTCATTCTCATATGGTGGCCCGTCGTATTTGATTATAATTAAAAGAAATCAACGTGACTGAGACATTATTCATTAACCTCAATAAAACGGTCGAGTTCAAGGATCTTTTTCGTTGTGCTTCTGCATTTATAAAGACATAATAAACAGGCAAGCAGACAAAATGCATTCGTTGACGAAAAAACTTTCATGATATTTGACCCAATCTAACATTCACACGTACAAACATCGTCGCGTCTGATTTAAAGCAGGAAATTTCTTATTTGCGATGCTTTTTCTCCATTTATTGTTTCCATCATCATTCGTGTCAGTTGATGCAACTTGAGACGAGATGACTAAGTTCCATAAATGGACGAAGTCAATGTCAAATCTGATGATTAAGAGCAGTCATATCGTTAATGACTTGTTCAAACTGTGTCACCATTAAATCCACAAAACAGACATAAAATAAACTAAATTCATCAATCTGGATCATTGCGTCGTTTCGATTTCAAATTTATTGCTCGTAAGTCGCGACACTAAACAGCCAGACAAAGAATCGTGAAAAACAATGAAATTAGTACGTTTAATTAACACAATTTAATGAACTCATTCAAAGTATGTTAGTTACACATAAAGCAAAAGCAAGCGGGATGAAGGAAAGATAATCATAATTATCATCATCTAATGTAAGCTCCCATCCCATCTATAAACTCAGCTAAATGTATTATGTTTCACCACCTCTCAAAGTCCATTATGAGGCTATTATAAAATATATCTCATCACCACTAACATGATGGCCATTTCTGTCTGTTGTTGAGAAAACAACGCGTTATTTGATCTCCTTTTCTCCTTCGCTATATGAGAAATTAAAACCTTTTTTTTTTATTGAGTCAGAGGTAGCAGCTGTTGAACTCTTCAATGATGATGTTTAACATTTCAAGGTTTGGTTGAGACAAGTGGCAGAACAAATCTCATCACTCTCAATCTATCACAAAGGGCTGAAGTTGTAGATTCCAATTTTATTGTTAAACAGAATCTTAAAGATTTTTTAACGCAGAGATTCTCCAAGTTCAGTCTTAATGACCATGAACTGAGAACAGAATAGAAGAAGGAAAAAATCGTTCACGATGAACAATCATTGTTATTCCGAAGGCAAGCAATTGTTGCGAGGTTTTAACCTATTGCGAGTCGTGACTGTAATAGACCAACTGAGGATCAATTCTTCTCTTTGATTATCCATTTTGTTCAAAAAGAAATCGAGAAAAAAATTATTTCGTTCTTTAAAAGTTGGAATCTTGTCCTTTGTTCCGCTGGTTATGTATTTACAACATTCCATATGTGCTACGTGTTGCTTGTGCTGGCGATTCAAAATGGATTGTAAATTAGAATTCAATCGGCAAGTTATTCTCTGTTGCAGTCTTGTTTATTATTCAACTTTAAATTTTCCACCGGATAATTAGAAACTTCGTTGAAAAAAAATAAAATAAAACTCCATCTGATCACGTCGAATGCTTTTAAGAATTAAGTAAGCTTAGAGTTTATATGCTTCGAAGTCGGAAACTGCCGTAAGTTAGTCGACACAAAGTGGAATTGAAATATTGCACAATAGTTGCTTACAAAAACGTGTAGTGCATGCACGTAAAGACACAATAATTATGCAGATATCTTTAAATACATTCACAGTTTTATTAACTTTTGTTTTGCTTCGTTTTTTCCCCTTTTTTTCTTATACACTGCGATTTATTTAATTCAACAATGACATCGTCGTCGTCACACGAACTGAAATTGAGTAACGTTAGAAATGTGTCAGTGACACATGTGAATGTAGGTCTCATACACTTATTTAGTACATGGAATATCTAAGCGAGCATTTTACTCTCTTATCAGCTTAATTGTATTAATAATATGTTGCCTTCATTCATTTCTTTTTTAATTATTTTCTGTTCTCTCATAAAACATTTGATTGTCTCGATAGTGACGGGGAAATATTAAATTAATTGAGAGAAAAAGCTCGTTGAGTAATTGACACATTTTGCAATGCAAACAGAATGTTGAATGCGGAAAACAAAAGAAGGAAAAGTTTCATCGGCTTAAAGAGGTGCACTCAAAAGTGAATATGCATGTAAAGCACGGTCATTGAACATCAGCAATCACAAATAAATAAATTGAAGAGAAAAAAAGCGAATGACAAATAAATAAACAAACTCAGACATGTCCACACTTATCTCTCAACTCCACCTCGCTTGAAGTTTCATGTGATCCCCTATAAATTTTGATTCCGTTTTGAAACATTTCAGCTGTTCATTACGATCGCCGTTCTATGAGTCAATGGACATAAAAGTATTGCGCAAAATTCAAAGATAATTATTGCAGTCAACGTTCACTAAATGATTTGTTTATTTATTTTTCGAAAGCGAATCTCTTTCCTTGATTGACGATTTGTCATGCGAGTAATTTTTTTAATTAATTGCACATTTTTGTCGGCTGATTTTATTGAGATGATATGAAAATTTGAATTAATGAATTTTTTTTGGTCGAATGAGTGATTCGTTATGTATGAGGAAAGAAATATTATTTCAGTCAAAATTGTGTTTTCTTATCAGGTCGGGAATATCGAGCAAACTTCAACTCGATTTACAAATGTGTGCGAAGCGATAATAAAAAAAAAGTCGATAACGTTTCACTGCACTCCATTCTAAGCGCCGTTTATGAAAAACTCTTTAAAAATATTTTCAATTTCTGGCTGATTTTTCTATCGAAAGTCAATTAAATTTACGTTAAAGTTAACGATGACAAATTTATTGATCAAAGTTCTTTTACGATGACAAGACTTCGTTTTTTCTTCTCTTTATTTTGATTTCTCGTCCTCCGCGTTTTAAACTTTATTTTATTATTAGAAATAAAAAAATCAGAAACAAGCTCGTAAAAATTAAGTTTATTGATATGTACGCGAACGGAGATCATTTTCTACAAACACATTAAAGGGTTTATACTGCAACAAACATGATTACGTGATGTCTGGTGTAGATGATATTTCGTCAAGTGATAAATATTTCGGATGAACGTAAAAGATTCGTTTTTCTGAGAAGTTTGATTTGTTTTGATGTTCATCCGAAAGCGGTAGAATTAGCAGGAAATTTCATGGAATCCTTACATGTAAGACAAGAGTTGTTATCAAGACTTCTTATGAATTTTTATATTTCCTTTCAATCCACTTGTTCTTTGAATATTTAATTTTCATGTCTTTAGGCGCTTTGCCATGTTGAACAACGATACCATCTGCCTTGCCTTACATTGTACTCATGCAAAACTTCCTGCGTTCTCTGCGCAATTCAAAGTCAACACATAATCGAGGACAGAACATGCAGTTCAATAACATTTCTTTCCCTCCAACTAACTTCGAAACTTCAAAAAAAAAAAAGAACAGAGGAAACCATAAATCGACATTCTGAACTTTTGTTTATCGCGAGAGAGTTTTTTTTTCTTTTGTTATACTTCACTTATTGTGATTGAAGATATCGAATGTCGTTGGTTTAACCCTCTTTCAATGTCTCTTAAAAAAACATTCGAAAATGGCATCAAAAGCCCAAAAATGAAATAAAAATAAAGACTATCTAATGTCAACCCACAAAATAAAAACAAAACAGAAAGAAAACGAAAACCAAAGTCAATTAAGTTATTGGAAAACAATTTTCGGAAACATTTTGGGAATTTCTTTTCCCCTTGGTTTGTAGTTTAAAGCTCAACTTGCTATTTACTTGTTCCGACCTCTTTCCCAAACTTCAAATAATATTTGATATATTTTTTGGGAGGGAAAAGAAGAACTTTGTTGATTAATAGTTTTGTGTCGAAAAAGTATCGGCTTGGAATGAAGAATGTTACGCAATTAGAATTTCCAATGAAGCATCCACGATAGATTTATGCAAGATTTCCCAAAAGTATTTCCTTTCTGCAATAAATTTTATCGCCATTCCTGGTGTTTCTTTTGATTAAAATTGACAACGTTCGTTACATATTTCTAGATTGTAAGTTTAGGGAGTCATAAAACTCAGCTTTAGCTTCACAAACCTTCATGGCTTAGTAAAGTCTGATGATAAAATATGGAAAAGAAAAACAGCATCATGATGTTTTCCTTCTCGCCCGGTTAAATTGGATGCGAGGGAATTTAATATCGATTTTTGTCCTCCAACTATTTAGTTTTTCTTTTTTCATCTAAAAATATTTTTTCGTTATCGTGAAAAGATCTCAACATGTCTTGCTCAATACGAAGATGACATTCAACGTTTATGTTCCCAACAACAGATGGTTTTCTTTTCATTAATAAAAGCTCTCAGTAAAAATAATAAAAAAGGTTGACGTTAGTTTACAAAACAAACGAAATTCGCTGTCTAATGATGGGATGAAAGTTTCAACTCTTGAAATCATTTGAAAGTTTTTTTTTTGGGTTTGACTTTTATTGCCGTTTGTTTTCCTTTTATTTTTTTATTTATGTTGTTTTGGGTTGAAGTGAAGAAGAAAAGTTTAATTAATCGTTGGATTGATTGATTGCCATTAGCGATAGAGTCGCATGTACGATAAAAATCTGAAAAAAAGGTAAAATGTGTACGATTTGTGTCATCCAACGATTATTAATTGTTTCGTAAGAGAAAGAAGAAAAAAAACTAAGCGAAACACTGTCAAAAGTTTGTTGCTAATTTATCGCAAACAAACTCGATAACTTCTCAACACGAATCTATCGATGGATGAAGACACGAAAAATATTTTTCCGGTGTTACGATCAATTTCACATTCGCTTTTTGGGAGAGAAATCATTAATAAAAATTGATAGTTTGCGTTCGATAAAACATCAAAGTCCGCATTGTGGAAGGTAAAGAAAGCTTTGAATCAATGACATCATCATATCCACTACAAAATACTTTATTTGTGGATCAAATCATTCACATAAAAAAAGAAATTAATTGAAGGATTGAAGAAAGAGATAGAAAAACTCAACAAGTCACTTCATTCTGATCAATTTTCGAGACACAATCAATTCACGAAATAAAAAAAGAATGTAAGAAGAAGAAGAATGAAACTAATTTCAAGAATCGTAAAAATCATAACACTGACCTGCGTCAAGTTTAACGCTTTCGACTTATCCGATATCGAGCGTTGTCATATGTTCCCAAACGAACCCATAAATAATCGCATAAAAGCCAATTCAAATTTAGCGTTGTTAGCCCAATGAATTTCCATTTACGTTTAGTCATTTCAGTTCGCGGTTTTATCTATAAGCGGCTTGATGTGTGACATTAGCATGTAAGAACACGACAATAAATTATTAATTGAGGCTTATTATTCACTCTTCGGTCACACTTGAGCTTAAATAAACGCGCTGATTCAAACATGTAGCTTTTGGGTCGTTAAATTAAGTTCAATCAAGAATAACAGTGTTGGGTGCAAGTAGCTCGTAAACTATTTAAGCTGCTGAGTGCTGAGTGTGGGGCAAAGATGAAAACATAAAAAATTTCCGTATAATGATTTCAATCGACAAGAAAATAGCGCAAAGTTTCTTTAACCGTCTCGTCGGTTGTTGAATTGTTGAGTAGCTCGATTGCAACATATGATTTGTGTTCGTTTTTAATCGTTGAACTCCCCACTGAAGCGAATCGTTTTTGGCTCGCGTTTGAGAGCAATCGCGATGACCGATTTTTATGACTTGCGATGATGTGATGAGAACGAACGAATGCTTTAAACTTTTCATTCCTTCTTTCTTTCTTTTCTCTCACTCCTTCGATGTTCAATAATTTTTTCACATGCCAAAAATAAAAGCATCGGAAATATTGTGGCACAGCACCAGCAAAAAAAAATAAAACAAAATTAATCTATTCAAAATAAGCTTAGAGAAAATATAAAGAATCTTGCCACTCGACGTGATGATCTATTGTTGGGTAGAAGCAAGACTATGGGTGGAAAATTTGACCCAATTTTATCAATCAAAAAAAAAACACAAAATAATAATAAATTATAATTCAGAAAATGAATGAGAAACAAAGAAGAGAAAAAGCAAGAAAACAAAACAAAACCCGCGCGGTATATTGAAACGCTCCATTGCGGTTTGAAACACGCAAAATAATCTTTTCGTCTAAGACGCTGACGTGACTCGATCTTCTACCATTTTAAGTAATGAAAAGATTTTTAAAAAATGATTTCAAAGTCAAGTCTCGCCCAGAATCTCTCTTGAATCTCGTTAGACCTGTAAATTGTCTTGAAGCAAAGCAACACACAAAAAGATTTCTTCTTAACATATCCTCGTTTAAGATCTATGTCAATAGCACTAATAATCAACCGCAACTCTTGTTTTTCTCTTTTATTCTTCTTGTTTCGATCTGAGCCATCTATACATTCATATCTAAGATGGTATCAAATGAGTCTAATGAAGAGTTTTCATGGACAACTTTGTACAAGTATCGCAAGTTGAAAAGTGATTAATCAAGATTCAATCTGATTCCATGGCTCGTTTTCAATCTTAAACCTTCATATCTCGTCTATTAAATAAACACTAAGTTGAATCTTGATGCATTTATGCATTCGTAGTTGTTGTGATGCATGTTAAACTGCATAATCTCCATTTCCAAGAATATCAACTGAGAGCTGTAAAGAATTGGTAGACAAAAACGACAGAAAAGAAGAAAGAAAGCAAGTTTAAACAAGTTTTTTACTTTTGCCTTTTCATCTTGCGTTTAAAAACTTAAAGTGGAAGACAATAATTGGTTCACATGTGAAACACGAAATGCAAGAAAATGAGAAGAGTAGAAAATTAAATTATGGATAGAAAAATGGATATGTTGTCGTTCAGGTTCCTTTCTTGCCTGCATCAGGTTTCAACTGTACATTTAGAGACGAGTATAAAGCATCGACAATTGAAAGAAGGAAAAAACTTTTGTTTTCTTTTCTCTCCAAAAGCAAAAGTAAGGAATCTCGTGTACAAACAAGTGCATATAGTGATCTGATTCTGTATTCAATTCACGACTGCATATTTACTTAAAAGAAATCGAATTCAAATAAGCGAAATATTTGATTTGCTATTGTACTTATTTATGTTTAGCTTTTGACGCTCCTTCTTTCATTGCACATTGCACAAACATAAAGCGAGACAAACCAAACCAAATATTAGCGAAGAAAAGGAAAATACAAAAAAAATGAAGGTTTCATCTCTAAATGGAAATAATTTCATGAACGAAAAGAGTTTTTTTTATTTACTCGTTCAACTTCTTAAGGTGATGTCCATTTCCAAGCTTAAAATTTTATTTGGAAAATAAAAAATAAATTCACTGCCATTACAAGTTCATTGTACGACACCAAGGCTTTTAAAATTCATGTGAAATTGACTGCTGCTACGGTTGCTTGCTTTATTCTTCCACTCTGGCTACCAGCTTATGCATTATTTATCATTCAAAAAACTGTTCATTTCTTTTTATTTTTTTTTCGTTCGTGTTATGTGTTTGGGTGGAATGGCATAAGTGTGTATGCGATGATAATCAGAAACTTTAAGAACACGAAAAAGGTCAAGCCTCTCGTCTGACCTAGTCTCATTCTCATTCGTAAAACAAAACCATCTTAAGAACCTACAACAAGTCGTCATGTATATTTGGCGTGATAAATTAGTTGAAGAAAAGAAAAGAAGCGAAAATCAATCTCGCTAGTCATTTCTCTCACTCGATACGACGATGTGCTAAACGTGTCGAGTTATTCTTATTTTATTTCTTTTGGTTTGCTTTGAAAGCAACAATCCGAGGAGAATGAAACATTAAAGAACTTTTGAATCTTCCATAGATGGGTGGAGAGAGCAAGAGGTTCAATAAACTTCCATCGGCTTCTTTTTCATTCCAATAAAGCCTCCATCGTTGTCTCAGACGTTTTGTTCTTATATTTTGAATTTTAAATAAAAGAAACGGAACAAATTTCGAATGTGATTTTAATTTCTCGCTTAAAAGTATCTAAATCGATTCTTTTGCAACTTGCAACTTCAGAATAAAATAAATTCTTAATCGTTATGAAGCAATAACCATTCCCAAGTATCAACAGCGTCGATATTTCAAAAGAAAGGAAATAAACTGGACAAAAAATGTTTTTTCAAGCACCACTTGCTGTTTAAATTTGTTGTCAATGACTCCCGAGTTAAATTTTGAAAGGTTTCGTTGAAATTGTGATGAGAATTAAGAAAGTCACATCTGAGCAGAATTGTGACGGCATAAAAGTGAAGTGTTTGAAACTTTCAGTCACTGAACCATAAATTATAATGAGCGAGTGAGAAATGAAGAAGAAATGTGAATTTTATTTAATCTTAAATGACAACAGCCGTGATATTTTATAGCAAAAAAAAAAGTTTATAAACAAATTCGAGTGAAAATTTGTATCGACGCGCTTGCCTCATTAATTTCAACATCTTTAATTTTTAATAGACTTTGATGGCTTTTATCTCCCATTCGCTTGTGACCGAACACGAAACTACTTTTTTTTTGTGGATATCTACATTTAAAAATTAATTTCGTGTTTAATAGAGTGCGAGATCACAATGCGGAATTTTGATGATGAAGTTCTGCAAGCAATGTGTGACTGAGACACTTGAAAGCACTCATTCTATCACATCCTGCTTCTAAACTAACTGACAATCATCTGACTGACGTCCATGAAATTGTTAAGCAAATATCTGGTTTGAATGTGTTTCATGTTTATATCTAATTGAATTAAAACTTCTCTCTATACATTAAGCTAACGCTTTCGAGTTATAATAAGTGAAAACAACATTTCCATGTTTTGTGAATCATTTGACTACACGAGAATTTCATTGAAGCATCATTTCGTGATTTCCGCGAAAGTCAAATGTGCAAACAAGTGAACTTTGATTCGACTGCTTGATTCGCTTCATTAACAATTTTCTTGTGAAATATGACGCGACAAAGATGAAGGTGACTCTTCAAAAGTTTGATATTTGCATACGCGATGAACTTCATAATTAGGTTACTTAGCTGCGAGCCAAACGATGACAATATTTTGAGTTTCTTCTTTTGTAACATGTAGACAACTAATAGAGATTGAAAAGAAAGCATTAACGCAAAAGTTTTTATGTTTTTCTTTCAAATTATTTTTAAAGAAGCTTTGGCATGTCTTTCTGCTTTTTGCCAACTGTTAACGAAACATAAAAAGAATTTATTATCGTTATTTCGGATTATTTTCCTTTTGTGTGCCAATAAACAGCAGTAGCTGAAGTATTTAGAGAGTAAACTAGTAGTTTTTTCGGGTAAACGAGCTAAACGACTATTGAGCTGCTTAACTGTTCATTTACATTTTAAGACCTGAAAACGTCTTTGAAAAAAAAAAGTAAGAAGCAATAAAGAAGAATTATATTTTATTAAATTTCTATATTTCTCACACAAACACATTTCTAGACACTCACTTCATGTGTTAAGAAGAAATTGTATTGAAATAAATAATCCATTATTGTCCAACACAGAACAGCGACCGTAGAAAAAGTCATTAATCATTGAAAACACATTTTGTGTGTTCATTTCATGATGTACTCGATCTCGTAACAAAAAAAGCCTTCAATAGTTCTACTACAGTTCAGAGTTCTAAAAGTTCTTTTTTTCCTTTTTTATTTTCATCAGGTGAATGATCTATTTAGCATATTAGAGCGCAACACATTGTCGAGTACTTTTCGGAGGAGAAAAAAATTGTAATGAAAAATAAAAGCAGAAGTGAATAATTTCCCGTTTCTCGCTTGTTTGTTCGGAGTTTCCGTTTTTCCTCAACAATTTGTTTTTGTGGCATTAAATTGCCCATGAGAAAACATAACAACTAAATATGTAACTTCATACGACGTTGAACTGATAGTTTATGAAATATAATTTCAAATCGGTCGAAGACAATTGCAACTTCATTGTAGTTAAGCTTTGTGCAATAATTTCATTTGCGCAAATGCAAAATGCAATGTTGAGGTTTAAAAATGAGTTTATGAACGATAACTTGGTTACTTATGCTATACTTTAAATTTTATTGCGCAAATGAATTAGTATGACTTCAGTTGTTACCACTCAAACCAATTTTCTCTCACCATTAGTTGATCTTTTGATAACCTGCAATGGAAGACTCTTTGTCATGTTTAATAGGAATTTCACTTTTAATATTTATTTGACTTTTATTGCTTCGCCTTTTTATTCGTTAAGAGTTGAAATTTCATTTTCCAATTTCCTCGCGCTTTCAGTCGACATGATTTTAAGCCATGCTGACGCTTGCGGCTTGCTTCGTATTTCAAAAATCAACTCAGGAAAATTCATTTGACAGAATTAAGCTTAAAGCGAGAAACTTTTGCAGGCGTTGCTGCTGTGGCTTGACTTTGAATATCTAACTTGTTTTGCTTTTAACATTTTTTTTTTCTTTTTAAAACTATTAACAAATAAATCGCAAATCACGCCACAAACACGAGCCAACCAACCAAATACATCGAAATGCAATTCAATGAAGCATTGTGCAACCATTGGCCATTAAAATTAAAAAAAAGAAGCAAAAAAAATCTAAGCAAGATTGAAATTGTTAATTAAAAAAAAACTTTCATTACGCAATATTAGCAAAGCGATAATTTCGATTGATTTTTATATCAGCCGATTGCTTTCTCATCGATTTTAGTGTCTCGTTTTTTTATATTTAAGACAGTCATTCTCTTAGCAATTGTTTTCTCAGAGCTTTTATGTGATTTCCGCATTACGAATGACTTTTATTTTCTGCAATTTTGTGCTAAGTTACATCAAAACGTTTCTCTATTTAAACGAAGTGTTCAATTTGTCACTGTAGAGCGTTACATTCGATTAAGCTTCTTTATCCGATTTTATGTTGAAAGAATTGATGGGAATCACGAATGATGATTAAATAAACGAGAAGTGTAATCATCATCATGTTAATTTCTCCATCGATTGCCTGTTGCATTAGATTACGTTATTTGTAACTTTTAATAGCTTGCATTCTATTTAATACCAGATGTGGCCCGTCGATCTTCATTTTCGATAGCAAATGACTCATCGTCTTACTCTCAAGACGATCGTTCATCATAAAGCGCACCAGAGACATAGTTGCACATCATTCTCGAGAATTAAATCTCTGCAATTTACTACGAAATGGAAATCTTTGGTTGATGCAATTCACTTTATGTATAAATCATTGATTGGCAGTTGACTTGTGCAGTGCTTCTCAAAATGAGCTCGCTCATGTCAGCCATGAAGCTACTAATTTATATCTCGATTCTTGCATACATTGTAACTGTGCACAAAGCACAATCATTGGCGAACTTGCAGTGGAAAAGACATGAAATGAACTTCAACTATTTAGATGTTCATTATGAAATTACTGTTCGATGAATTCTTTTGCGGCAAGTTTTATGCGGTCAGCGGTCAATCCATTCGCAATATTTTTATGATTATTTGCTTGTGCTTCTTCCACATATCAATTGGTGGTAAAAAATTTATCATTGAAAATAAAAACTCCTTCCAGTATCAAAGAGAGAAACTCGCAAGTTAATTAAGATTAGTCTCGACCATCACAAAAGCACGCTTGAAAAGATTTACCAAAAAGAGTTGCTAAATGGAAGGAAAAATTATTCGATTTCGATGTATAAAAGCGTCGAGGTCAGTTAATGATAGAATTGATCAGCGGAAGAGCACGAAGTTATTTCATTCCGTCCGACATTTCATGCAATTTATTATTCATTACAAAAATGTAGACCTTTAACCGGGACATCAGTAGTGTTGTGTGCTTTCCTATGCTGACAATCAACAGCAGGTTCTATTGTTTGCTTTTATGGTAACCAGAAGGCTTTACGGCAATTAGACTGCGGCGCCATGATTTAATTACTTTTTATTTCTCTCGCTTTCGCACTGTTCATTCATTTCTCTAATCAAATATCAAAGCCCGTCACCGGCCTTTCACGCTTCACTCAATAAACTGCGCGAGTTTTTAGATTGGCGAAGGCATATAAAAGTCGAGTTTCTTGAAATAATAAATTAGCGAATGTTATCAGTCGAATTATTATTAAAAAAGAAGAAAGAAGACAATAATCAGAAATGATAACGTTCAGGTAATTAAGAATGGGAACACTGCATGCAATATCTGTTCATTAATTTATTTTCTTCAGACATTAGTCCGTTACATCCCACCATGACTCAAATTACCTTGCAAACATTTAACGTAATCTTCTTTGTTTTCATTTGAAAACATGTAGCACCTCGTAAATTTGAGTTTTTCTTTCAAGAAGATTCTCACATCATCGTCGATGAATATTTTCTTTCTTCAGTTATCATAGCGGCTTGCGCAATTTACAATTTTCTCATGAAACTTTTAAATTCAATTGAAGCGAAGGTTTTCAAAAGAAAAACTCGTCGAATGAGTTATGAGTCGTTTCGGAAAGTCTCTAATGAAAATAAACTGTTCGATAAAAGACATAAAAATAGATGAAAAAGAAACAATTTCACATTTGTTTTGTGGTTTTACCACTACATGAAAAAGAGAGAAAAATAAATGTTTGATAATTGTTAAGAATTCTTTTTTATCGCGAAATGTTCGACAGTGGAAAATATTTGGATTCTGTTGAATTTTATATTTTTATTCTTTAAGCTTTAATCCATTTAACACGGAAATTCGTCGATTCTTTGTATCGAATTTTTAAAGTCTGTTTATCAAGTTCCAACTCAACTCGTTTCGCAAGCTTTACAAAAAAAGAATTTTTCATCACGAAAATTGCCCAATTTCATGTATTTAAACTTGGAAAAGTTATCATATTACTGAACTACTAAGGAATGAGGTTAAAAATGTTTCTTCATGGAAATCAATTTAATCAGACAAATTTTGGGTTTTGAAGGGCATCAGGAAATCTAGAAGACGCCTAGAAGTGAAGTAAGAAGGGGGAAAAGAACAAAAAACATTAAAAGCCAATTTTGTGACTTTGCTGAGTCGACTGATAACGACGAGCTGTTTCAACTTAAAAGTTGTCCTTCTAAGCTTTGTGATTCACTTTCGCTTGTTATCGTTCAGCAAAAATTTTTTCTCTTCCGCATGAATTTTAAGAATATAACTGAATCAATGTCATGTCATACTTTTTTTGCGCATTTGTAAAAAGAAACTTACTTTTCCACATGTTTGCCATCTTTATCAGCTCGTTTAAATTTTATTTTCAACACGAAAGGCTTTAACATGAAGTAAAAATTGGATGTAAATTGATTCTCATTATTTCAAATTGATTTACTTATTTCTTCTTTTTTTAGAAGTCACACGCTTTGTAAAATGCTAATACGAATATTGAAGCTAAAAATGATCTAAATCAAGTCTAAAAAATATGTAAACAACCCTTCTTTAGCGACCCTTTACTAGTCGTTGTTATTGTGTTGTGCGATGGTTGTCAATGGTAGATTATTGTCAATTGTCAACCCTTATTTGCATAGATACACGTACAGGGAAAACTTTTCTCTCTTTCCTTGCCTTCGTTTTGTGATCCAATTTGCAGAGACTTGTTCCACCCATTATTGAATATCTCTTTTCTAAAATGTGACTATAATCAAACATAATTCGAGTATCCAGCATAGAATTTCGTCACACACATGCAAATGAAATGAGAAATTCTTCCCATATTATGGTGTAAATGGTAAGCATGAGGGAGAAATTTTCCAATTAAAATCACGTGCTTGTGTATGTAGACAGAAAGAGCGCTGCATGGGGGCTTAGGGATTGAATTGAAAATATTTTGTGTGTGAGTTGTTGCATCGTAGACTGAAACGTGAAAAACGACAACATCATAAAACATTTTGCTTTTATTTGTGCATGTCACATTCGCGTTTCGATAAGCACGTTTTTAGTTGACGGAATGGGAAAAGGAAAAAAGAAGCGAGGAAGTGACTCGATCGTGAGTTTTAACTTGAAACAAAGCGATGTGTTTGAGAGAAATGTTAGTGTAATTAATTTTCAAGGATATATGGAGTGATAAACTTTGCCCGTGAAGAAAGGGTTCGTCAATTTAATTGCTAGATTATTTATATACGATAAACTTTTCTCTATTTACATGTTGCTGACAACAGCATGTCATGGATGACAGAGAATTCTGAGCAGTGAAATCATTCATTTTGTACTCGTAAATGACCGTTTCAATTAAATGAAACAAAAGTAAAACTTGGTGGAAATAATTTTATTCACTTCTACTGTTACTGTTACGCAAAATAATAACAAACACAGCAATAATGAAACTTCTCGCGTTCACTATTAAACTTTTCAGCGATTTTCCTCGGAATCACTGACCTGGCGAGCATTGCGGCCGTTTTATTTCTCTTTCAGTTTTTATTGTAAATTGTAAAATCATAACAAGAAAAAAAAGGTTTCATTACAGTCGCTCACTACTGAAAACAGTGCAAAGCACTTTACGAGTTTTCATGTCGAACGTGTCGATTTTCCACTGAGAAGCTTTCACTGTTTCGATTACATTTTTTTATTTAAACCAATTTTCATGAAAAAAAGATTTTGTATATATTTATAATAATAATTTCACTTTGGTTTTAAAGTGTGTTCATGAATCTAATGCATGATGCTTAAATTAAATTGAAGCTCGAATTAAGAAGGGAAGTCTCGTCAATAACTTTATGTTTTTCAATGCTATTTTAGAAAACTTCAAAAAATGTAAACAACCATTAGTTAATTAAGGAAGTTTCACAATCATCAAAGCGTTTTAATCGAGTGAATACAGTGACGATGAAATATTATTCTCTTGTGCATTTTGTAATCCTCAACTAACAATCAGAGTTTAAACATTGATATGAAAAATGTCAAGAAGCGAGAAATTGAATTACGATTTAAGTCATTTAAACACAGCTTTTCATTTTTAAATCAACTTCATTTTTCTTATTTTCGACTTCATGCAAATCAATTAAGTTAATGAAATTTTGATATGAAACGAAATGGAATTAATTAAAATTGTCTCTCACTGAGGGGTCTTGTCTTTGAAATCTTTTTGTTTTCACTCACTTCACTGCTTGTTTCATTGCTTGTTTAATGACACAACGCAACGCTAGCCATCGTATGTTATCGGTTTAGCAATTTTTCGTCTTGTTTTCTCGCCTTGTGAGTCTTTACTTTTCGTGGTAATGAATAAGATACATTGGCCCGAATTAAAACAAGAAGAAAACATCGACTGATTTCCACATGCAACACTTCTTGTTTCGGATTCAATGAAAAAGAAGCAGTAAAAATCACTCACAGTATCTCGAATACTTTGAGATAAAAAAGAAACCATATGCAAGCAATTCTGACAATGTTAACGCTTAAGTGAACTTAAATTGTATAAATACGTCAAGACGATTAATTTATCGTCGTACTTCGACAGCCCTCAAACTTTGATCCGCGATGGTTCGTTTCTCTTAAATGTGCCAAAAAACTCTTTAAAAAAATCACCGTTCAAGGATAAAAAAATTTTTTATCGCTCCGCAACAAGAGAAGAAGAAAAAATCGATACTTTAAGTGCAGGCAGAGTCAAACAAAAAAAAACTTAGCCTCCGAGATGTTTACAAATGAATCACATCGCAACTATGAAGAGAAGTTTATTTAAAGATTTCTGATCCATCTACAAAAGATGCTTTGGGGGTTTAAAAGTCAGAGCGTACTCTTAGTAATGATTCTCATGGCGAATTTGTAGACATAATTAGTGGAATCGGCGTAGATTGAACAATTGTTATTGCGTCAGCGCTCTTGATCGTTTTTGTTTATATATTTCAAATAATAATAGTAAAAAAATTAACATTAGTGAAGGTAATATTTACTTCTTATTGCACAGTGAAGATCCACGAAATTGTTTTTGCTATTCTCTTGGTAATTAATCCTTTTATCACTTAGCCTCTTCTTTAACTCTCACAAGATCACAAAAGAATAAGAAAATGATTTTTATTTCTTTCACTCTTTTTCGAAATATCGAAAAACAATTGAAAACTTTTTTTTTAAGAAATTTTAATTAAATTCTTAGATACAATCTGACTAAGAGACCAAATAAAATCTTTTCACATTTATTTGTTTCTGTTTCGCTACTGCTTCTTTAACATTTACTTTTTTTTAATATTTTTTAAAAGAAATCACTTTTTGAAACTATGATTTTATTTCTTGTCTCTTGAATTTTTAAAGTTTAATTAACGACCATTCGACTAATCACGTCTGAACGTTTCGATATCTCTCCCGATACTGAACAGCAGAGTTAACTTTCTTACTGCAAGCTGTTTTGGTTCGTTCATGAGAGAGAAAAAAAGAAAAACAACAACACAACATTATGAGAGAGAATATGTACATTGGAAGGTGATTGCTTTGGCGATTATGACGTCACGGTTACGTGAGAGAGCGGAGAAGAAACTACGACATTTGGTAGTGTTAGTGAAGTCGTCGGAATAATGTCTTACGATGTAATTTATGCATTTGTAAAGTAATTCTGAAGATTTTCTAAGAAACATGGAAAGAATTCGTCAAAATTGATTTCCAAGCAACCAACATGTTGCCAGATTTTACCTTTTTATTCTCAACACTGAAGTAAAGTGCATAGCGAGACATGAATATTGTTGAAAGGAAATGCAAATTACCAACCTTTAAGCTGAAGCAGCTGCCATCTTTAGAACCAATAATTGTTTCAAAATATTTAAATACTGAAAGTTATTAACAAGCAAATGTACGAGTTCTTAATAAATTAATCAATTTATGGGGCTTTTTCACTGAACCAACCAGATTCGACTTTCATCCATTCATCTTTTTTTCTTCGTAATTTCGGTGGTAATCGCGCATCAATTCAATAAATTTTGCGGCACGCGAGAATTTTTTCCTGACAATTACACAGGGAAATAGTAGAATAAGAGTTTTTGTCTTCGAAATATTTGTTTTGGGTTGCTTTATTTTAAGCAGGAAGTAATTTATGGCAATTAATATTTGGTTTGATTTATTTGTATTTCTGAAGTGCCAAGGAGCATGCAAGAGAATTGCAGCTTTGGCTTTAAATGTACTTTGCACGCAATGATGTTTTTGTAAAGCCTTGAAAAACTTTTCATTCTACATAATTAATTTTTGAAATAAATGTTTTCTTTCGAAAGTGTAAAGCATGCAGTTAAGTTCAAGATTGCAAGGAAAGTTCATTATTTTTTCATGTTTGTTTCTCTTCCATTTCATATCTAACGATAAGTATGTTGAGCATTGAAGAATTTTCCTTCATAAAATTTTCAGGAGAACATTGACGACGTCATAAAATTTTATTTCTGTGCCAGAATCCTCCAGGAGCTTTTATTAAACTCTCCCATCTTCTCTCTTTGCGCAGATCAATAAAAACATGTTTTAGACATTCTTCCTTTTTTATTTTCATATCATCGAATAGCAAATAAAGAGAAACAAAAATCTCATTACACGAAAATCTATTTGAATTGTTTTTTATTACTTAGAATCTCCAGACGACAAAACAAGTGTCGTGAACGATTTTATTGAATATTCCTTTATTCATCATCATTGTTGCAAACCAACTGTTCAAATAAGGATATGCATGATTGCAACAACAGAAAACATTAAATGAATAAGTAGGAAGTGCATTATAGACAAGAAAATTTACAAGTTGAAAACGAGACGGAAAGAAATTTTTTGTTAAATCATTTAAATATAATTTATTAAATTTATAGACAATAATCAATCGATTACTGTAGGTGGAGATGCGACTGGACGTTCTCAACATTTCTCGCTTTATAAAAAATTAACAAAGAAAAAGAAAATTGAACTTAAAGGCATTGAATCATGCAGATATGAGACTTATCAAGGTCACGTCGGTAATTAATTTCTTCCGATGAAACTTTGCAATTTACCGTTCCTTTCGTCATAAATAATATGACATTCCAGCTCCATCTTAACAATATCTATGGAAGCAAGAAGCTAATTTAGCAAATCAGCATTCTCAAGAGTCTAATATGCTTTAATCTTTCTGTTTCTCCAAAATATGTCTCTTGTTGTCGTCACAAACATGGAAATGTGGTTAAACTGGAGTTTGATATTCAGTCTGGAGTGTTGAAAAAATGAATCTCTTTGATGAATCTCAAAGGCATAAGTGAATGGTATTAACATGTTATAAAGAATTTAAATAAAAAGACAAAGCTTGACGTTGCTTTTGGTTAATTTAAAATTTCGGTTCTTTAATCTTTTCTGCATTATTTTTTTTGCAATGTTAAATATCAAATGTTTTAAGTTCTTCTTCTTGTTCAGTTTAGATACACACTTAGACTCAAGGCACTTCTTTTTGCTTTAAGCCTTCGTCCCGCGTACTAAATTATCTTATTCTTTGTTATGTAAATTAAATTTCAACTGTCTCTGATCATCTTTTGTCGTTGAATGTTAAAAGTCGAGAACGTTCAAAAAGAAAAGGTGGAACAAGGAAAATTTGTTTTGTGATGAATAAAGCTAAATGAAATTAATTATTATTAACTTCACATCTGCATTACAATCTGCGCAAGGCAAGCAACTTAATAAAGGTTCTTCTTACTTTTAACAAAGAAACACGAAGTAAGTTTAACCCAGAAATTCACTCCGGTTTCTTTTACTTCCCGTTCTAAAATGGACATCGACAGATATTCATAAATATTCACATTAAATTGCATTTCAATTTCAAAGTTAATCGAAGTAAATGGAAGCTTCTGTATCGATCAACAATTGTTTATTTAAGTTTTCATAAATTACATAGCCACATACATTGTTAATAATTCCATTACTTTGCTAAGTCATGAACAAAGCTCATCGGATCGAGATTGGAAAATCAATTTTCAAATACCCATCTAAATGCTTGTTTTAGAATAGCCAATTATCATACAAAATAAACAAATCTTGAAAAGTCAAGTTACGATCTCACGACTCTCATTCAATAGACGCTAAATAATCATCGGGATCCGATCTCGTTTGCAAAAATAAAAACAAAAGCCATAAATTTATTAGAGCTTAAAAAAGCATCAAAACGTTGCTAGATTTTCCACTTAATTTCAGACACGAAAAGGCTACCGAGAGAGCTTCCGACATTAAGCCAAATATTGTGTCGCTTGTGATGAAGTTTAAGGTCGTCTTTATTAGCTTTAATATTAACAAAGCTCTGAGTTACCACTTTTTATGCAAATGATTTTGCTTTCTCATGAGACGACCTGTCGTTGTTGACAACTTTATACAATACCGGAAAAGCGTGAACACAAATTTCACAAAGTAATAAATCGTAATTTGCCGCGTTGTTCGACTTTTCACAAATTAGTTGTAAACAAAGTCTCAATTCTTGACTAAATTCATCATCACGTCTTGGAATGGCCTTTGAATTTATTGCCATTATTAACGGTTTACTGTATTTTGCCCTCTCAATCCACCGCTTCAAGATGCATCATACTATTGATGTCGACCAATTTCACAAATGATTGCAACATCCTTTAAAAAACTTCACGATCTTGAGATGGTTTGCGAACGAAAGTAGTCTCAGTTTGTTTAATTTTTTATTATTTGTTATGTTTTCATCTTTCCTTTCTCTCGTTTTCCATCAATAATAAAACAGAAATATGACTCAAAAAGCGATCTTAAGAACCGTTATGCGATTACCAAGTTTGAAATAGTCAAACAGATTTGCCTTCATCTACATATGACTCGACTCGAGTCATGTCATGGTATGGTCGGTCGACTCATTGCGGTTTTGAAACGTGAATTTCATAAAATGTCGATTATTTACATGATGAGAGAAACATTTCTTTTTTTTTTTTACATTTAGAACATTAAAAGGCTTACGAGTCAAAACAAACAAACAAACAAAACGGATTTATTTTTCTTCTTCATTCACAATTGTTCTTCAAAATATTCATTATGATATGTAATTGGTCGAGAATGATTAAAATCGGAAAAAAATTTAGATTCTCATCGTAGCAATGTTTCTCAATACTAATTTCATTATTCTTATGAAATCTCTTTTACTTTTATTCTTTTTATTTGCTCATAACTCGATCCAACGATTGTTTTCCCGTTAGACAAACTTGACGTCAATCGCAAGAAATAATTCCAGTACTCAACTAACTGTCGCTATAAAATTTTCTCTCAATTTTTCTTCTTTTTTTTTCGTGAATCGTTTCATGTGTGTAGATTTTTGTCTATTTTTTGAGCCTATAATTAGATTAATGGTCATTTCATGAATGACAAAAAAAATGAAAGAAAATATAGCAACAGGTCGTACGATGGCATTGTCATAGTTGTTGTTCATTTACATTAACTTGCCTATGATGAGAAGTTCATTGAACTCTTCCATTATTAAATTGATTTTAATTAAAGCTTCGATGGTTGTAGGATAATTGTGAATGAGGCTATCGTCATTATAAGCAATTAAGTGCGGCAGAATAATGATAAAATTCGTTATTCGAATGTTTAGCGAGAAATCAGAGTACACACAAGTCACCCTCATCAAACAGTCAATCACCCTCATAATAACAAGAAAATAAAATTAATTTGTCTTCTAATAGTTGAAATTGAAATTCAACTTCTCCATCGGTATCGTCAGCCCACAGTCGAGAGATCAACCAACCAGCTCAATATGTGTGGTGACTCATTTGACAGATTCTCTAAATATTATTTGAGAAACTTTTATAAAACTTTTTTTTTCTCTGTTTTCTGCTTTATTCAGGGTCAATGAAGCAAGAGATGACTTATCAAAATTTGTGAGAGAAGATTTGCATTAATTATAAGTAAACACTTGACGCGATCGATTCTCATTTTATCAGCATCGGTGACATCAATTAACTATTGGAATTCCGATGGTTATTCAACGTCTTTTCGGATGAAAATGAAATTCCTCGATGGAGATCGTTATTTTAACAAGCAACTTATTTACATGAAATTGAAAGTCTGTGAATTGTCTGATGACTCATTGAGTTTTGTTCAATATTTCTTTGCCAGCTTTTTAACTTAGTTTACTTCACATTTAACAAGTACATGAGACTATTCGATTTTAAAGATTTTTCGCAAAGTCTTCTCTTTCTGCTTAATTTCTTCCACATCATGAAGGTGGACGACAACTTTTAATACGTGAAATATTTTTTCCGAAACTCTTAATTAGATATTAGCTATTTAAGATTCTGTTTTGTCTTGTTTGGTGCTAACGCTTTGAATAATTTTTGCTCACCTGAACTTGTATCATCTTTAAGAAACGTGTCCAAAATAAGATGAGATACAAAATTAAGTCTTTAAGTCGATATATCAATTTGTTTACTGATCCGCTTTTACACATTAAAAATGTAACTTTTGAGGTTTCAAAACTTTAACGAACTTTTATATTTTAAATATAAAAAGTTCGCATGCTTTTCTTTTGAATTTTAAATTAACGTTAGGCACAATCAATCTAAAAGTTTTTACTTTAAAATTCACTTGTCTCCTAAGTATTCGATCTGATCTTTTTGCCTTCGCTGAAAGTACTAAATTAAAAAATAATGAAACGTAGCTATACAGTTTTTCAAATGGTCAAACAAACTGTCACATGTTAAAGACAAGTGCTTTCAATATTCATTGAATCATCACGATGTTTAAGCGGATTTTGTAAATTTCTTGCAAGTCAATCACGTGGCTTATATCAAATGTCTTGCAAATTAAATTATTCACGTCTTTTAAATGAAAATTACTTGTCGATAAGTGTCACTTTGGTATAATCGATATAAAAACATATTCTGAAACAATGACGCAATTTCATAAACAACTGTTTTCACTCACACAAATTTCTGTCATAACTAACAGAAACTTTCGTGTTTTTTACGGTTTCGTTTTTTACCATCAATAAAATTTTAAATATCTTAAACATGAATCGCTTTTAAATGTCACAATAATAAATTAAGTTCTTTTAAAATTGATGAAAAACAAAAATAAATTACAATTATTGTCGAGTTTTACTTATTTATTCGTTTTGTTTGCTTTTACTCACATCTTTAAAATGAAAATTAAACTCTCCTGATCGTGCTCTGATGTACTTTGGCTTTATATTTCGCATGACAATATTCTTAGGAAGTTTTTTCTTTTGCGACAATGTATAAAAATATTTTGTCATTATTAGACCTTGTTGCAATGATTTTCTTTTTATTACTTTAGAATCGCAATGCCATTTAAATGTATTTTAAACAATCAGAAATAACTACAACCTTTGAGCTTCAATGAACCTTTATAACTGGATAATCTTTCATTCCATCAAGAAAAATAATTTCGAAAACATAGAAAACCTAAAATAGATTTTGACGATAATTCATTTTGTTTCCATGTTCATGATAATAACAAAGCTGAGTTTGGCAATGAAATCTAACTAAAGTCGCAGAAGTTTAATTGGTCGTGTACAATGATAACGATTAACATTTTTTTAATAAAGTGTCATAAAAGTAAGTTACCAAGTGGTACAAAGAATTTTGTTTTTTTCTTATGATGGAAAGTTTCTTTTGATAAACTGAACACAAATTCAAGGTATTTCGACTTCTACAAAGAAAAGTTTCAATTTTAAATGTTTGAAAATGACAAATGATAAAAGAAAAATATTTTTCTCATTGTTTGTGCGCATGAAACTTGCCAGCCCACATTTTATCAGCTCCTCAAACATTTGACAAGGCATGTGCTCAAAAAGAAGACGTCGAATGACGTTTAATATCAACCACTTGTCTAAATAGATTGAAAAGTCGTATTGAGAGTTTATATTACTCATGAGCCTTTAAGCCACATCAGCAAAAAGATATCGACAAGAACTTCTAAAGCAACAAAGTAAGAAATATCTTTGAAAATCTTAATTTTAACATCAAATACAATTTTTAATAAAAGAAGAAAAGAAATGATCAACTTCTTGAGAACCAATCTCTGTTATTTTATTGATTCCATTTTTCAAAAAAGAACATTTTATGTAAGAGAAAATTAAGAAGTTATGGTAGTTTGGCGAGTTTCTTTAAATCGTCGAATCGAAGAATATTTCAAGGAATTGGAAGATTATCGTTTACGTTTTCCTCCGTCATCACCTTCAGGAGCTTCACCACCTCCTTCACTAGGTTTGCTCTTCCTTCTCTTTTTGCATGGTGGTCTGCATCCACCTCCAGCGATGTCAATTTCCAATTTGATTTTCGTACCTCCACCTAATTCTGCACAAGCCTTTTGTAAATCTTTTGCCTTTTTCCTTTGACAAGCTTTGTCACAACCCAAAGTTACTGCTACACAGCAGATAACTACTAAAAGAATAGTCAGTTTCATATTGGATAGAACGAACTAAACCGATATCATGAAGTAATTTAGCTTTTATATGCCTCAATACCAACTTTTTCTTGTGTGTCTTCAAGTTCCAACACTTTAAAAGGGATAAAGTTTCAAGAGTAAATTTATTAGTAGTTAAAGGGTAGAAGTTTATTATAAACTCTCTCAAAAAGTTTATCTTTATAAGATGGTGGTTGTGGAGCAAACTTTCAAATCAATTTCATACTTTACACGTAAACTTGATAGCAATTTAAAAAGATGATCACAATTGACGTCATGATCATCTCAATAAGTGTTAAAAAGGCTTCATCTCTTCATACTTCCATTGTTCAAGTATTGAGAGACTTTAACTAACACAATTTGAAATTTAATCATTAATTTTATATTCAATAAATAAAACCTTGGATCATCCATTATTCCATTTCATTCTCGTTTAGTATTTTGAAAAGAAATATTCATAAAAAATGAATTTCAAAATTTTGCTGGTTTTTTGCATTTTCTTGTTCGCATTTGTTGTTGCCAGGCCCGAAGGAGACAACGCTCCAGATACTCCTGATGATGATCCCATTCCAGATGATCCAGAAGATGTTATTTTGAGGGAAGCTATTAGACGACCAATTAAATCAGGCAGAATTACCAGAGGACAGAGAACAAGAATGAAGATGATGGGAAATCTTCCAACATTTGTAAAGCCCTTTAATCGAGATTAATTGCTCAGTGTTCAATTTCGAATGGAATTCAAGCATTTTTGTTGTCACATTATAAAATAAACTTTAAAGGAAAATGAAAAATAAACAAAATGTCTTTTTAACTCTTGAGAAATCTTTTGCAGGTCGATGTAATAAGATAAGAAGAAATGTTGAAGATTGTTGGAAAGATTTAAAGATTGTAAGAATTTTGACAGCATTAAATTTATTTGAAAAATTATTTCTGATAATAAAGTTCTCATTATGACGTCATGGATGACGTCAGACAAGACTTGAAAATCCTACTTAAGAGTGCTGTAACTTCAATTATTCATTCAGACCATCAAACTTTATCAAATCTGTTGCAATATGTTTAGAATATCTAAAATTGATTACAATACTTTTTTCTGAGACTTTTCATTTAATTCTTTATTAAACATTTCACAGAAATGCTTCATTTACTCACAAACACATAGAAAAAGTATAAAAAGTTGCTTAAAGTTTACAAAGATGATATCAATGATACTTATAGTTTTAAAAACAGAATTCTACATGATAAACAGCGATAAACTTCGCTTTGAATATGGCAACGATGACTCTTTTTCACTAAATAAATTATTTAACTTAATTGAAATACTTTCGTGTCCTTAAAACGTTAAATTGGCAAAGTTTCTGTTTTACTTGTGAACTTTTAATTGCAAGAAATGCAAATTGCATTAAGATTCTTTATGAACACATTTCATTTGTTTTTCATGTTGTTTTCGTTATAAAATATTTACACATTAAAATAATTTATTTATTTCTTAATGATAAAGAAGTTTTGTACGTTTCAAATGGCAATTAAGTGGAGAATTTCTTCATTTCACTTTACACCTGAAGGACATTCGTTAAGTAAAACATTGTGAAGTTGATCCATGTCTGTCCAATCCACAATTCCCATTCCATTAATACCTGAACTCAATTTAACATTTCTTATGCATCCTTTGAAGTTTTCTCGCATCATAACAGTCCGACTTGGTGCTGATTCTATGAAAAGATTTAAAAGTGAATTTAAATGTTAGTTTTGAAGATGTTTAAGCATCATTTGTTCAACTTTGTTCATAATTTTCCTTCGAGAATGAACACTTTTGTTATGATCAAAAAAGTTGACGTCATGATTTGAAGCACGCAGTTTACAATTGTTCAAATAACTTTTAATTAGAGACGATAAATTATTTTCAACAAAGTTTTTCCTTACCCGGCATTCCACCAATGTATAATGGAGACTTGGTTTGGAGCTTTCCAATGTTTCTTGATGAAGCGTAAGCTACCACAAAAGGTTGATCATCTATCCTAATAGCAACTTGATGAGTATCATAAAGGGCAGATATATTGTGCCATTTGTTATCACAGAGAGAAAATTTAGATTTGAATTTAGTTTCAGCGCGGAATGTTTCACCATCGCCAAGGTCACATGACATTATCACCTGATCAAGAACAAAAAGAATAATTTTCAAGAAAAATTGAAATTAAATTCATTTTGAATTACCTTTCCGTTAAACACTTCAATTGATAATGAAGGTGATCCGATGTGCGGGTCAGCAATGCTCAATAAAATTCCACTCAATTCAGAAGACTTGAAATCCATTTCAATTTCCAAATGCTTTCCAACGTTAAACTCTTTTTCTGTGAGATAAAATGAACAATAGCAGAATATTCAATGTTTAATCAAGTGTTTATTTCTTGTTTTGTATGAATACGACTTACTATATTCTGCAAAAGCATCGCCTGAGAAATATGAGCCTCTTTCGACGCGTGGAAAACATTGCCCAAGATTATTGTAACGACGTGCAAGGTCCTGAGTAATTGTGTTGACATGAAAACGTCGAATGCATCCCCGAAAGTCTTCTTTCCGACTTGTAACATCTCGATGGAATTTCGGAGGTTTTTGTGGAAGTCCACCAATGAAAAGTGAATTTGCTACGAAAAATTTCTTTGGAATTTTAATCTTTGCTTGGCTAACAACATTGCCGGGACTTTTTCCATTTCTCGAGACACTTAACGTCACTATATGGTTTCGAGAATCGATTGTCACATGATGCCACAAGCCGTCATTGATTTTCACTGGTAATGAAATTTCTTCACGTCGCCTGCTTCTCAAAACAAGAATAAGATTTCCATTGCGCAAGTACAAGTAAGCGTAATGCTTTGGTTTCTCACGTGAATCCTAAACACAATGAAAAGTTAATTTCATATTTAAGTAATAAAATTCTTCAACTCACCGGCGCAGCAAATAAAAATCCATCAGGATAAAAAGTCCGGAAGTCAAATTGAATGTTAAAGTTTCGATGCCATAAGTTTCGTGATGGAATCTGCACCATTGAGAAACTGTGCGGTCCATTACCGAACTTAAAAGCGTTCGGTTCATAAGAGTAACTGCCGACCTGTTGGCACGAAATGCATTCGATCATGTCAGGAAAAGACAACAATTGTTGTTCTATGAGCTTTATTTGTGCAGTGATGTTAAACAATAAGAAAGCATATTTTACAATATGAAAGATTAATTAATTTGAGTGAAAGAAGAAGAAATTATATTATTTATTCAATTTACTGATTGTTAGTTTAGTGCTTTTATTTAAGTAATGGCAGTGCATTTATCTTTATCTACATGCTTATCCCGCAATCCTCCTAAATATCAAATTAATTAGTTTTGTCAGTAATCTGATTTGTTAGTGAGAAAGTGAAATCATTTGCAACTCACCCTTTGACAATCTTCAGTTGTCTCTTTAAACTTCATTCCAGCTGGTTCTGACTTCATCAACATTGTTCCCATTCCCATCGGTGGTCCCAAGCCGCCAATATGAACATTCTTAAAGCTCATAACTTCACCAAATGAAATCGTTTTGTTATTAAAAACGATATCTTTGATTGCGCCATGTAAGCCAGTGAATGTTGGTGCGAGATTATCAAATTCAGGGAAGTCAGGAACGCCACCAACAAACAAACCACCAAATTCTTCTGGACTATTGACCAATGCTGGTGTAGCTGCAAGTGTGTTGGTTGTTTGAAGATTATCATTAATCCGAAGTTCAAATCTTCTTCCAATTTTATTCACATTCACAACATGAAATTCTCCATCGTTAAGCGTCAAATTAGATTCAAGCTCAACTCGTCCTTTACCAGCATCAACCCAAACATTAACATGACCATTAATAAGTGAAACAGAAAAGTTTCCACGAACATCTTTCGCGTCATAATCTGCCATTGTTTGTGGTGGATAGCCAGAGAATAAAAGTAAACAATCAGATTGTAAAGTTCGGAAGACGAAGCCAAAGTTTGCGCGTTTTTTAAGTGAATGTGATGGCAACTCAAGATAACCGTTGCCATTGAAGCCTGCTTTCGACACGACTTCCTTACATGATGGTTCAACACCGAAGAAGCTTTGACTGTCGAGTGGATCGAAGTTCTCGCCATTTATCAGAACATCTCTCAAACAGCCAAAGAAATTGTAATCCGCACCAGGTGCCTTTGTTGTTCCTGTCTTAAACCCTGGTGGAACGCCACCAAGATAGAAAAGCTCCCTCGATACATCAGGAAGTAAAGCAGACGTCACTGGTTTCGTTGGCGAACCTGTTTGTGGTTCTTCATTGTCGACTTTTAAGCTTCCATTTTCGGTGCTTCTCTTCGGTGTGAATTCTCGTGCTGCTTCTACATTTACCCAATTTCCGGTGTTGTAACGATTCGTCGTGTTAATTTCCAATTGTGATTCACCACCATAGTCGATTCTAAACACAAGTTTACCTTCGTAAAGTGTCAACGATATTGAACGATTCTGATGGAAATAAAAAAGAAAATTAAATAAAAAGAATTCTTAAGAAAATTTTCTCACATTTTTCTCGTCAACTGTTAGGAAAATCAGCGCATTTTCATCGAATGTTTTGAAAGTGATTTGAAGTGAAAAAACTTTCTTAGGATGCGCTCTTGAACTTAAACTTCGAACAACTGAATAGCCAAGTCCATTGAAGTGACGCGAGCTCTCAGAAGTTTCCGTCGCCCCCAACATTGCTCCTTCACATTTCCCTTCGGATGATGCAAAATGCCAGAGACCGACTTGAAGATGATCAATAAAAAGTTGATGAACAATCACAGCAAGTCCATTGATGGATTTCATCTCAACTGGTCTGAGACTGTCAGGAACACCGCCCAGGTAAACACGACTTGTTGTATCAGTCGTGATTCTTGTGTAATCTTGACTCGTCGCTCCCGACACTTCATTTGATTTAGCAAATTCACCTTCATTAGTCATACGACGAACTGTTAAACTTCCAATGTTCATTGTTCGTTTCACTTCAATTTTGTACCAAGCGTCGTCGTATTTTGGATCTCTTGGTTGAATCTCCATCGGATGCATTATGATTCCAGTGTCAGCTCCCAAATTCCACAACAAATAAATCTTCCTGTTGATCATTTCTAAAGCGATGAATTTCTGATCTTCACCTTGAAGGAATAAAAGCGGCGAATTAGAATTCTTTGAACTTAAAGCAATCGTCATGACGATAATGTTTGATGTTGATGGTCCGATGGTTGTTGGGAAATATGAACGAACGCAATCTTCTTCTGTTGACTCAACTGACACTCGAATCTTAAAGAGAATAAATTGCAAATTTAATCATAAATCTGGAAAATTTAAATGACAAACTTACACTTTCAGCTGCATGTTTCGCTTGTGCAATTTTCGCTCTTAATTCTTGCAATTTCAACGAGAACGATTCATTCCATGCTGCAAACTTTTCATTCTGTTGTCTTATTGTTGGTTCATTAACATGCCATGTGTTGTTAGCTTCACGAATGTTAATTAATGACTTCGCAACATTTTCTTCTGCTAAACCGTATTTGCTGTCCCATTCAGGATCCAAATCTTCCAATCGTTCTTTCAACTTCTTCACATCGTCATTCATATCGAGAGTTTCCTTCTCAATGTTTTTCATACCTTCAAGAATCTCATCAGCATCAACTGACGATTCTTGAACAGTTTTTCTCGTCTCGCTGTTGCCTAATTTCGTGATAAGTGCTGACATTTCATTGTTGGCTTTTCCACTCGTTTTGATTAGATTACTCATGTTCTGAACAATTCCTTGCTGTTCATTAAGCATTTCCTTCAAATCTGCAAATTAAATGAAATTAAATGAAGAAAGAAATTTCCGCAATTCTCACCTTTAATCTTTGAAATTTGATTTTCAGCATCGCTCTGAATTGCTTCTGATTCGAGTGACAAGTCTTGACCTTTCTCAATCATCGTCTCTTCTTCAGGATCAACTGGATTCAATTTGTCATTACTGAACACTGCAGCTTTATAAGCTTTGTCGGCAGCATCTCTTGCAGAGTCAATCGCATCTGAGATATTCTTATGAGCAGTTCCAGCCAACATTGCAACTCTCGCTCCATCTTTACTATGTTGGAAAAGATCGACAATAATCTTACTTCGTCGTGACAAATCTTCTGCATGGTCACGTGCTTCTGGAATTATTGTTGTCTTCATCAGTTCAAGTTCATTTCCACGCTCATTAATTGTTTTATCAACAACATCATTTAAATAAACCAAATCGTTGTTGTCAATTTTTAGCTTTGCGATGGTATCGTGCAACGACTCCATCATTGTGTCACTTTGTGCAATGATTTCTTCATTTAAAAAGTTTTCAACTTCATCATTTTTATTATTCAATTCATTTGCTGTTTCCTTTAACTTCTCAAAATCTTTTCTATTCTTCGTTAAGAACGCTTCAGTTTCTGAAGCATCACGGAACGTTCGATGTGTTAAATTCTTTAAGTCGTCTAGTCGTTCGTTGAAAATCTTTCTGGCAGTCAAATAATTTTCCAATTTTTTATTTTGTTTGGTTAAAGTTTCAAGTTCATCAGACCAGAAGTCAAACTTTTCATTGGCACATTTCAATGATTCTTGTGATTGTGGCATGTTCTTCGATCGATGTTTAATGTCGTTTAAATACATTTGAGCTTCTCTAAGTGCGATTGGAAGTTTAATATGATGATCATCGCTGCCATAATTCTCTAGATTGATGATCGTTTCCTGAACAACGCCTGTGATGTCTCGAATATCCATTAAAATTGATTCAGCATCAATCTTCATTTTATCTGATTTCTGAAGTCTTTTATCAGAATATGCGCTGACTTTACTGGCTCTGTTGTTGATGCTTTCTGCTTTTGTCATTAACTTAAAAAGACAAGAAATTGAATTAACAAAACTCAATCTTAAAGTTCACAAAACTTACCTCATCAGTTGCAAGATCATTAAAATTATCAACAGCATCAACAGCGTCAAAATATTCGTCAAACTTTCCACTCAACTCATCAGTTTCATTTGACAAAGTATAAAGTTTGATCCAAGGAGCTTTGAGATTATGTAAATTTGTGTCTTGTGTATTAATCTCAAATTGATACATCATTTCATCGATTGTATCGAGGAGAGTTTGGGTGCAATTATCGCAAACTGCAAAATAAAACAAAGTTTTAAAAATGAAGAATGAAACTTCACAAAAGCAACTCACGTTGACACTGATAATCGATTAATAAATGTCTTGGCAATTCACATCTATCGCATCGTCTTCCTATTACTCCTCTCTTGCAGTTGCATTGCCCAGTCAATTCGTCACATTCATCTGACACAATTCCTTCAGGATTACAGTCACAACTTTCACAATAACCATCGACATGCTGTGGATATCCAAAGAATCCTTTATCACATCGATCACAAAGCGGTCCAGTATAACCTTCTCTACATCGACACGAAACGCTGGTTTGTGTTACATAACAACCTCTGGCGAAATTTTTGTTAGTTTCAGGACATGGGCATGGTGAACATTCTTCTTCTGGATGACCATAATAGCCTTCAGCACAAATTTCACAATAATCTCCACCGGTATTGTGTTTACAATTCTGAAAAACATTTTCGATGTTATTCATTGCGAAATTTTTGTTTAGGATTTGTGCTACTCAAACGCTACTCAAATATTAGAGTAGGATTTGAGTAGCGAATGAAATCATTAAAATTACCAAACATTTTCCATTCTCTTGATCGCAAATGTCACTTCTTCCATTACAGTCACAAGGCAGAACTTTTCCTATTAAATCTTCTAACATCGTTGAATGTATCGTTTCGTTTCTCCATCGATAGTAACCATCAGCAGGATTTTGACATGAATCTCCTGAATACATTTCAGGACATTCACATTTTTCAACTCCAGATGCAATAGCTGCATTGTGATTACCATTTACAGGCATTCCATTGTGTAAAGTGACATTAACAAGACTGAAAATGAAAAGAGATTTAAATAAATGAAGAAATTGAAGTTGTTGTCAGCAACTTACACAACTTCAGTGAAATCTGGACATGTTGTTGATCTAAGGAAAATATGTTTGATATTCTGAAGTGCTGTCATCATAACAGCACGACTGATGTTATAACCATTCGAATTATAACGCCAATAGGATTCATGAAGAACGACATGATAAGACGAACTCGTCATTGATGTGTTGAAACTTTCAGGATGAAAATAATCCAAAAGAAGTTTGTAATGTGTGTGAAGTTGAACGAGGGGAAATTCTCTCAAAGTTTCGTCATTCAATTTCGAACTGCAGCCTTCCTGATTTATTGAATAATTTAAAAATCCACCATAGCTGCGTGTTCTGTCGCCGAGAAATTCTTTTGGCAATTGAAAGTAGAATGGATGATGAAAAGCTTGTCGAGAGCCGATTGTGACGTTGCCACTGTAACTTGGAAATACTGCAAGACCATTGAAAGATGTAATTCTTCCACCTTCACGATAGATTTGATTGTTTCTGAAGTGAGTGACGACAACTTGAAGAATATCTTTGTTGCTACGTCGATCGTTGATATAATGAACGGTGACATTTCTTGGACCCATCAATCTTATCTGTCCCCAAATGTACGGATTTTGTTTACATTCTTGTGATCTTCCAAAACAGAAACAACGCGTACATCCACTGGGATTAGATTGCGAAAGACCAAACGTTGCTTGACGACACTCATCGCATTTCAATCCAGTCGTTAAATCTTTGCATGAACATTGCCCACGATCATCGCAATCAATTATTTCATTTCCTTCTAAGTTAAGTGATCCACTGGTATCACAATTACATTTCTGACAATTTGGATATCCATAATATCCAACCGCACAATAGTCACACGTTCTTCCAATGTAGCCTTCTTTGCAAACGCACTGACCTGTCTTGACGTCGCAAGATTGCTTCAGTGATCCGATTGAATTGCAATCACAATCTTTGCATCCTTTGATGTACTCCCATCCCCAAGTATTTGGATAACAATGTTGACATTCAGATCCATGACTTCGAGGTGGACATACACAACGACCAGTTTCCTGATCGCAAGTCTTTGCAGAACTGTCACAAATGCTGCATTCTAATTTCATAAAATTATTTCATTAAATTAATTCAAGTCTTGGATCTTTTAGAACTTACGTTTACAACCACTTGGAGAATATCCATAATATCCTGGACGACATCGATCACAATTTACACCTTCTACTCCTGGTTTACATCTACATTGTCCAGTGTGAACGTCACATGGATGTTCTTCACTTCCATTAATATTGCACGCGCATTGTACGCAACCTTTCTTTGAGTCGATGTTCCAATAGCCACGTTCGCATCGATCACACGTTCGTCCGATGACATGAGAGCGACATTTACATTGACCAGTTCTCGTATCCCAGACACGATCTTCCGATCCGCTTATGTGACAGTTACAGCCTATAAAACGGAAAAGAAAAATCAAAATCAATAACTTGAAATTAAATATTTTAAATGTCTGTCTATTAGTTTAAGTTTGTTGCGTTATGATTTAGGAAAGAGCCATGAAGCTTAGCCTACGAATTGGTCAATTAAATTTATTCGATTGGGGCCATCATTGTGTGATCGTTTTTCAAGAAAAAATATTTTCAGAATTATCACTTCTCGGAATCGGAAAAGAACTCAAGCGGCTGATGGTTTTCAGCTCTCATCAGCTCATAAATTTACAACAAAATTCTTCACTACTTTAAGCTTTTTCATAATTCGATGAAAGCAAACAATCAATTTCGAGGAAAATATAATTGACAGAATTTGAAACAAAATTATGTTGAATGTTGGAAATATTTTTTTCTTAGAAAAACTTTCGAAGTGCAAACGAAGCATGTAAAGAATTCTTTCCACAATTTAATTAAGGAATATTGTCAATTATATGATTGAAAATATCGACTTATTAAGAGAGAAAACTTAATTATTTTACCATTAAACATCTGTTTATGGTGAGTGCTTCGTATTTATGATTTCGATCATTAAATAACCAACTAAAATCTTAAATACTTGCACAATTACTCACTGCTGCTGTCTGCATCTTGCAGCTCACGTTAATATAAAATATTTAATTAAAAAGTCTTAAATTATTTATTTGCGACATGAATAAAATAATTATGGACAATAAAAGTTTCTTTTAAATCACATTATTCAAAACGTTTCAGAGCTTCAATGAAATCATAAAATAAAAATATGAAAACGTTCTTTTCTCATGTTCTTTTTTTACATGAAATTTATGTTCAACTTTCACAGTCCAACTTTAATCAATTATTAATCATTTATTTATAAACATCGGCTGTTCACCGACAATCATTTCTCTCCTTAATCGTATTCATTTAGAAGATTGAATGGCGAAGAGCAAACATACAAATTGGTGTGCTGCCCACGTTCAAGTCAAGCCCTTCGAGTTTCTTCTCATTCGATGCGTTGCTGTTGTTGTCATAATGTGATCTGATAACGCTTTTTAATCTCATTGAGGTAAGTTATGTTCAGTCGTGGAATCGTAAACTCACGAAACCGTTTAAAGTCGTAGAATAAATTTGAAAATTTCTTTCTTTCATTTTTTTTGTCTTCTCTTTCAATAAATTTCGTGCATCTTAAAGAATAATGAACTTGATGCTGTATCATTCATCAACGTTTGTTTGTTTATTTAAAGAATCGTTTAACTCCACTGTATTCAAATGTTTTCATGCCAAAAGTGGATAATTTCTCTTTAAATATCTCTCGATGTGAATTAAAATGAGTATTTTGTCTGCAACCTACGTGATGTTCGCTCGCACATAACTTTTACTGCTTTTTTCTCAACTTACAGTGAGTAGGTTAGAGAGATTTGAAATACGAGTTGTTTCTTTTCTTTTTGTTTTGTTTACATTAAGCTTGATTTCAGAACTACCGCTTTATATGTCGTGGGATTAACTCGATGGACTTAATTGCATAATCTTTGATATAAAATTTAAAGACTGTTTGAGATATCTGGTTTTGCCGGTAAAATTAAAATCGCATTAAATTGATTCTGACGTGTTTAGATTCCGAATGTTGATGGTAAATGGCATGATTCATTCTTTGTCTGTTATTCCATTTATTTTCACGACACATTTCAAGCCAATAAAATAGAATTAAATCAATGACATTTCGCGCATGCTGATTGCGCATACAGACATTAATTATCCAATAAAATCGCATCTTAATGTGCCATTCATGGTTAATGTTTAATGATAATTGCTGCAACATAACAGATCTTGAAATAAAACTCATAAATTTCAACACGTAATGTCTTGTGAATTCTTCTTTCATTTCTTTTTCATTTTTGCTCGATTCTTTCGAATGATTCGGAATGAGAAAGCCTGGAGAAGATTAAGAGAAGAAAGACAACCAGTATGGGTTATTTCTGTGATTTATTGATAAGTATCCCACTGCGAAGAACAACTTTTGTTCTGTGTTTACACCTGATTTTCACTTCCTGACTTCTTCACAGCTTAAAACCAGCTACAACAATTTACAAATCGATTATTGACTTTCAAATTTATTCATTTCATTGGCAGCTTTTCTCTTATCTAAATAAATCTTTTTTCTGTTTACTTATAAGTAGTTTTGTGTATTCTTATGAGAATCCTTCTTCCCATGCATTACAATAGAAATTTACTCATGGGAAGATTGCATAATGATGTCATATCATTTAATGTTAATATCATGTAATAAGTATTGCAAAAGCGTTGAGCATATGCTCTTAAAAAAGCACTGCAGACAATAGCCAGCCGATATGAAGAGTGGAAAGCGGAATGAATGAATGAATAAAATGTTGTCATAAAGATACGAATCAGCAACTCAACATCGCAGACATTCTTTCGTTAAAATTTATTAAATTACGGCAAATGATGAAGAAATTAATTCAATATTAAATCCTGAAGTAAGATTATTGTGTTATCAGAGTAAACGATGGCAAACAGCAGACATTTCACGACATGAACACAATGACCCAGAAGTCTTAAACGAATGCTTCGTTTATTGAAGAAAGTATGATGTATAAAATTAACAATTTGGTGTTCCGCCTTTTCGTTTTCGGAATGATCATAAAAGATTTCTTTGGTTGATTTCTATTATCATCAATCATCCACTCGTATTACTTGTTTCCTGATGTTCGTTGAGGTAAAATTGAAACTTTATTAATTAAAAAGTCTTCGGACAGATTGCAGTTTTCCCTACAGATAATAAATTTGTTAAGAGAATTCAATCTTAATTTATGACTTAATGGTAACTGCCTGCGTTGGGTAAATAAATAAGTTGTGCATAAGTCGAAGTTGAAACAAACCTGTTTTGAGTTAAAGACAACTCAATGAATGATTTTTGGGTTTCTCGTTTCTCAGTTTCAAAGATCACAAGATAAGAAAATAATCGCTGAGGTACTTCACATGAATGTTGAAAATTGAAACACTTTATTCAAGATCGTAGCACAGAAGAAGTGTAAATGAGATGAATTGAAGAATTTATTTAATTGCGCATATCACGATGTCACTCATGATCATATTCAATGATCTTCATTCAATCTCAATCAATATTTGGCAGCTTAATTTAAGCAATCATTGAATGTTCCACATTTCTATATCACACGAAGTATCTTTTCAATTTTCTTCGTATTTTATTAATTTTTTAATTAATTTTCCTCTTGCCAACCCAACCAATTTTAATAAAAATAAAATTCGATGACTCTTATGACAGCACTTTAAAGATAATTTCTCGCGGCGCTTTTGATGACAGCTTTTGAAAAATCTCATCAATAGCCGTAAATATTTGCATTTAAATGATAATGTTAATGATTATTAAGCGGCAGACAACATTCATTCGCGTAATTTAGAGAGAACAACATTGAATCGATAATGCGAACAAACAATGAACGAAACAACTTTTAAGTACATAAAATGAACTACAAATTATACGAAAAATATTTTTTTACACTTCATTGGCTTCTCACGAATCATGTTTGGGAAAGTGTTTACAGATTAATCCAATATTTGTCACATTTTCCAATCTTATTTTGATATGTCTGACATCGCTTTAATCTCTTTGATGCATTCATTCATTCATTCATTGGAGGTTTTCAATCATTTTTTTCATGGCTAAAGAAGTTGATCTTAGTGACGGCTTTAAAATGATTTCATAATAAATATTTTTAAGAGTGTGAAGCTTCCATTAAGTCGCTCGACAACCACAGAAATATAATCTAATTCGAATGTTGGCAATAAACGGTCAGATTGAATTTCATGAAAAAGCAAAAATCAAGAGCCAATGAGTTTGAGAACAATAACACAATAGAATGTTTCTTATTCTTTTCAATCTCTCGAAGCGCCGTCAAACTCAACTTAAATGCTCCATAAAAGGCTGGAATTATTAAAAATGGAAAAAATGTTTTTTTTTTCTTGTTGGGGACGCGACGTGATGAACTCATCGATATATTTAAAACGCGTGATTGCTGCGAATGAACGTTAAAAAAGGAAGAAATAAATTGTAACAAAACGAAAATGGTTTAGAAATCATTCCAATTATTGTAGGAAACAAGAACATTAAAAGCATTCACGCCTCAATGTTATCACGAAATCTAATCATGGCTTTAAAGAGTGAGATTTTGATACTTAAAGTAGATACGAGAATCAGCTCGAGTTATTAAAGTTATGCTTTGGGAACACGACTGACAGCTTCCCACATAAGACGAAAGCAATCGAAAGAAGCTTGAAAATACTCTCACATTTTATTATGAAAAAAGAAATGAATGAATCAATGATTGTAGTCAATTTTTTGTAAAATGGAAATGAAAAATATTAATAAAAATTTTAATAAAAGATTCATATGAGGATAAGAAAATTTCATTGATACTTTCAAGTCTTCAGATTTTATTTCACATACAACTGAAGCCAGATAATAAATTAGCAGGCACTTTTGTTGAGAGGGAAGCAGGGTTGTTGAACGATGTAAAATGATATTTGTCGGGAGATGTGGAAACCAGTTTTGATATTTCTGCGAAAAACCTGATCTACAACATCATATTTAAGCGATTCCATTTACTATACAGATCGCAAATTTATGAATGAAATTGCATTTATAAATGAGATTCCCGTAAAGCGCTTGAACCATCAATAAATTGACGATTCGACAGCCGTGCGAGATCTCAACTTTCCATCACGTATCTAGATATGTGACTTGCATTTAAATATAATAAAGCATTTAATTTTTGAAGCGAAAACATGATCGATTTATGATTTTTCTCTTGAGATGTAGCTCATCATGAGTCATGAGAAAAGATGAAGTTGTGCGATGAAACAATTTTGATAGACATGGAAAGGAATTCATAAGAAACTTACTCGATCTATGACAAGCCCGTCAACATTGGAATCAAACAGTTTTAAAGTAATAAACATTAAAATTTGCTTAGCTATAATAAGTTATAAAATAATTTTTACAGATTAATTTATTGATTGTTGTAAAATGTTTTCAGATAAAATTATTAAAATTTCAGTTCAACTTTCCCGAGCGGCACAAAAGGCAATTTCTGAAGAAAAAGCCAAAGGGAGTACCAATGTAAAATCGTCACAGTGCAACCGTATGCCTCCGGCACACACTGCTCGGGAATTTACAATTGCTTTTCCAATTCTTCAACAGTTTCATTAACAATATTTTCAATTTCCGTCTTTATATTTGATACGAATTGATAGATATCAGTTAATTCATCTAAAATGCAAGAAATTGGATAATCAACAGGATCAACCAATCCCGCAGCAACTTCAGACACGTAATTATAATTTGAACCAGTTTCACTTGCTATTTGTTCAAGAATTGAAGTTAAAAATTCAACAAGAAATGTATCCATAATATTTAAAGTTCCTTCAAGCTTATCAATTTTCTTTTGAATTCCTGTTGATGTTAAGCTGTTGACCAGAGTTAAAGTTGCTGTTATGATGTTGTCAAGAGAAATTGTTATTCCATTGTTCGTGAACAAAGTCAGGACGCTATTGAAAATATCTATAGTTTCAGCCACCCTTTCTTGGTCTGATTTTTCATCTTCCTGGCCTTGGAAGAATGGTAGATATATGTTGGAAACATCATTGACAAAATCCTTAATGTTTGATAATCTCTCAGCAATAGCACTGGGACTGAACGACAAAGGTGGACTTGAACACAAATTTTCTCCACCAGAGAAAACTTCTTTAGTAATAATCACAACGATTAAAAGATGTAACAACTTCATAGTTAATATTGAACTGATATCATTTACCGTTTGAACGAATTTATATAAATAAATTATGCATTCAAAATGTTTCATATTTTAATTTCGATGTCATTGTTTCTGATTTAATTTTATGAGAATTATTTAACAAGCTTCACGACATTCCTTTTTTAGTTTAATTATTATCGTGTAGAGCATTGTCACAATGCTATTCGTCACGATGGTTATAAAACTTAAAAGTCAATTTAACAGCTGAAACAGGATAAAAATAAAGTAAAGCAAGTAAAGTTTGGGATTAGTGGGACATCATAATTAAATTTAAGAACCTTTAAAACAAAATTTTTACAATGAAAGTTACATAATCAGAACTTTAAATTGTTTACCTTAATTAGTTTCATTATCACGACTCATTTCTGTCACACCGTTTAGTAATAACGTTCATCATTCAATTATCTTTTAATGTTATTTGAACACCACAATTTCACTAAACTTGAAATGAAAATTTCGTGAAAAGCTTTAAATATTTCTAATTAAATTTTGAAGCTTTTTTAATAAACTGAAAGGATCAGTGAAAAGTCAGTTCAGTTTTGACTATCAGTTCAACATTAACTGCATTAACTATGAAACTTTTACATTTGTTCCTTGTTGTGATTATTGCTGAAGAAGTTTTCTCGGGTGATGGCAACTCTTGCTCAAGTCCACCTTTGCCATTCAGCCCAAGTGACATTATTAATAGATTGGAAAGCATCAAAGACTTAATCAATAATCTTGTAACACAATATTTACCATTTTTCGAAGGCGCTGATGTCAGCGGTTTCGATGGTACAAATGAAGAAAAATCGGATAATGCTTTTGACCTCCTAATTGAAATTCAAACTATTCTCTCGGACAACGGAGTACAATCTTCTGTAGCAAGTTTCTTGTCAATTCTTGATATAATTCATGCTATAATTTTTAATACAGAATCAACTGGAAATGAAAAGAAAATTGATGAAATTATAGCATCAGTAAATGCTGTAAACCAAATTCTGTTAGAAATTTTGCAATCAATTGTTGATCAAATCGCAATTGAAACTGCTTCTTCTGTTGATTACTTGAGTGGAGTTATGACACAACAAATTGATCCTGCCGATTATCCGATTTCTTGCATTGCTGAAGCATTAATTCAAATGTATCAATTTGTATTTAACACATATGGAACGATTGAAGACACTGCTATTGCAGCCAAAGCCAGTATGGAAGCAATGCCATAAGGCCTCCATCATNAAGTTTTTTTAGTATAAATAAACTGAAGGGATAAGTGAAATCTCAGTACAGTTTTGACTATTCAGTTCAACATTAACTATGAAGCTTTTACATTTGTTCCTTGTTGTGATTATTGCTGAAGAAGTTTTCTCGGGTGAAGGCAATTCTTGCTCAAGTCCACCTTTGCCGTTCAGCCCAAGTGACATTATTAATAGATTGGAAAGCATCAAAGGCTTCATCAATGATGTTGTAACACAATATTTGCCATTTTTCGAAGGCGCTGATGTCAGCGGTTTCGATGGCACAAATCAAGAAAAAGCGGCTAACGCTGCTATTCTTCTGAATGCTCTTGAAACTGTTCTTTCGAACAACGGAATACCATCTTCTGTAGGAGATTTCTTGCCACAAATTAATGATATAATTTTTAATACAGAATCAACTGGAAATCAAAAGAAAATTAATGAAATTATAGCATCAGTAAATGTTGTAAACCAAATTCTATTCACAGTTTTGGATTCAATATTTGATCAAATCGCAATTGAAACTGCTTCTTCTGCTGATTACTTGAGTGGCGTTATCACACAACAAATTGATCCTGCCGATTATCCAATTTCTTGCATTGCTGAAGCATTAATTCAAATGTATCAATTTGTATTTTCCACATATGGAACGATTGTAGACACTGCTATTGCAGCCAAAGCAAGTCTTGAAGCAATGCCATAAGGCCTTTATCGTATCCCAAAAACTTCATTCAAGATATGAATTGTTAAATAAGAATGTTATTAAGTAGATGATTCGGTTATCAAATGAAATATAATTTAATTGGCTAATCAAAACATTAATTTGATTTTAATTAATTTTCAATGAAATCATGAAAGCAAATATTTTGATATTCAGGTTAATTATAATTTTTATTAAACTTTTATGCTTTTTACTATTATTTAAATTACCTTTAAATAGTTTTTTACGACAGCAAGGCTGTCATCATCAGAACGATCAGATTGTAGATTGAATCGTTCTGATGTTGATTTTAAATGATTCTTAAAGTGAGAATAACATTTCGTTTGTAAAATTTGCTACAATTTCATCAATTCTCTTTGGCGTTCCTGTTAATGTTGTTGAATTGGTAATCATAGTTAGTTTGGAAATAGCACATGAAATATCATTCACGGGAATTGTTATTCCATTGTTTTGATAATCTCCTAGCTTTAGCAAGAATTATCTACACTCGAGGAAACTTCTTCAGCCATAATCACAACAAGGAACAATTTTAAAACTTCATAGTTAATGTATGCAGTTAATGTTGAACTGATATCATTTACCATTTGAACGATATCATATTTTAAAATTATTCGTTCAAGATTTTTATATTTTAATTTCGATGTCATTATTTCTGATGTAATTTCATAAGAACTTTTTAAAAATGTCCACGAAATTCCTTTTTAAGTTTAATTAAAATCGTGATGAGCTTTGTCACGATGGTTATGAAACTTAAAACTTTTAAAAGCTGAAAAGGATAAAAAAGTATTTAACAATCCTCACGAAATTCCTTTTTAAGTTAATTAAAATCGTGCAGATCATTGTCAATATGGTTATGAAACTTGAAAATCCCATTCAACAGTAAAAAAAAGGACAGAAATTCAGTATAACAAGTAAAGTTTGGGATTAGTAGGACATCATATTAAATTTAAGAACCCTGATAACAAAGTTTTTTTACGATGTGATATTTCTGCGAAAAACCTGATCTTCAACATCATATTTAAGCGATTCCATTTACTATACAGATCGCAAATTTATGAATGAAATTGCATTTATAAATGAGATTCCCGTAAAGCGCTTGAACCATCAATAAATTGACGATTCGACAGCCGTGCGAGATCTCAACTTTCCATCACGTATCTAGATATGTGACTTGCATTTAAATATAATAAAGCATTTAATTTTTGAAGCGAAAACATGATCGATTTATGATTTTTCTCTTGAGATGTAGCTTATCATGAGTCATGAGAAAAGATGAAGTTGTGCGATGAAAGAATTTTGATAGACATGGAAAGGAATTCATAAGAAACTTACTCGATTTATGACAAGCCCGTCAACATTGGAATCAAACAGTTTTAAAGTAATAAACATTAAAATTTGCTTAGCTATAATAAGTTATAAAATAATTTTTACNCCACGAAATTCCTTTTTAAGTTAATTAAAATCGTGCAGATCATTGTCAATATGGTTATGAAACTTGAAAAGCCATTCAACAGTAAAAAAAGGACAGAAATTCAGTATAACAAGTAAAGTTTGGGATTAGTGGGACATCATATTAAATTTAAGAACCCTGATAACAAAGTTTTTTTACGATGAAAGTTTCATAATCAGAACTGTAAAATGTATTCCTTAATTAGTTTCGTTATCACGACTTTTGTCACACCCAGCTTAGTAATAACGTTCATCATTTAACTATCTTTTAATGTTCTTTAAACGATTTTCCACGATTTCAATAAACTTGAAACGAAAATTTCGTGAAAAGTTTTAAATATTTCTAATTAAACTGAAAGGATCAGTGAAATGTCAGTACAGTTTTGACTATTAAGTTCAACATTAACTGCATTAACTATGAAGCTTTTACATTTATTCCTTGTTGTGATTATTGCTGAAAAAGTTTTCTCGGATGAAGGCAATTCTTGCTCAAGTCCACCTTTGCCGTTCAGCCCAAGTGACATTATTAATAGATTGGAAAGCATCAAAGGCTTCATCAATGATGTTGTAACACAATATTTACCATTTTTCGAAGGCGCTGATGTCAGCGGTTTCGATGGCACAAATCAAGAAAAAGCGGCTAACGCTGCTATTCTTCTGAATGCTCTTGAAACTGTTCTTTCGAACAACGGAATACCATCTTCTGTAGGAGATTTCTTGCCACAAATTAATGATATAATTTTTAATACAGAATCAACTGGAAATCAAAAGAAAATTAATGAAATTATAGCATCAGTAAATGTTGTAAACCAAATTCTATTCACAGTTTTGGATTCAATATTTGATCAAATCGCAATTGAAACTGCTTCTTCTGCTGATTACTTGAGTGGCGTTATCACACAACAAATTGATCCTGCCGATTATCCAATTTCTTGCATTGCTGAAGCATTAATTCAAATGTATCAATTTGTATTTTCCACATATGGAACGATTGTAGACACTGCTATTGCAGCCAAAGCAAGTCTTGAAGCAATGCCATAAGGCCTTTATCGTATCCCAAAAACTTCATTCAAGATATGAATTGTTAAATAAGAATGTAATTAAACATACAATTTGGCTATCAAATGAAATAAAATAATTGGCTCATCAAAACATTAATTTGATTTTAATTAATTTNCAAAGCCTTCATCAATGATGTTGTAACACAATATTTACCATTTTTCGAAGGCGCTGATGTCACCGGTTTCGATGGCACAAATCAAGAAAAATCGGATAGTGTTGCTACCCTTTTAAATGACATTGAAGCTGTTCTTTCGAACAACGGAATACCATCTTCTGTAGGAGATTTCTTGCCACAAATTAATGATATAATTTTTAATACAGAATCAACTGGAAATCAAAAGAAAATTAATGAAATTATAGCATCAGTAAATGTTGTAAACGAAATTCTATATTCAGCTTTGCAATCAATTGTTGATCAAATCGCAACTGAAACTGCTTCTTCTGCTGAATACTTGAGTGGCGTTATGACAAAAGATGTTGATCCTGCCGATTATCCAATTTCTTGCATTGCTGGAGCATTAATTCAACTGTTTCAATTTGTATTTAACACATATGGAACGATTGAAGACACTGCTATTGCAGCCAAAGCCAGTATGGAAGCAATGCCATAAGGCCTCCATCATTTCCCAAAAACAACATTCAAGATTTGAATTGTTAAATGAAAATGTAATTAAACATATAATTTGACTATCAAATGAAATAAAATAATTGGCTAATCAAAACATTAATTTGATTTTAATTAATTTTCAATGAAATCATGAAAGCAAAGATTAAACAATTCAGGTAAGTTATAGAGTAAAGTCTCGAATTTGACCAGTGATCAATTGTCGCCACCTGTTTTTGTGACTTTTCATTCCTTATAAATTATTTTCAACAAAATAAAAGTGTTTGTTGAAAGTTTTGGACTCTCAACAAATACTTTTTTTTGGGGTGGCGACAATTGATCACTGGCCAAATTCTAGAGTTTACTCTAATTTTCTTAATAATTTTTGCGTTGATCTTTGAAGATCAATAACAAAGCGGAAAATATAAATAATTTACACTTGAACTTTATTTCAAGCATGTAAGGAAATCAAAACATTCTGACGTGGGTTAAAAACAGTTCAGACGTGAGCTGCAAAACAGAAAAGTTCTCAAGTTTTAAGACTTGAAGGTATTCAATATTCAATTGATTAGACAAATTACTTCAACAATGAATTAATTCACGAGATGATTTGAAGAATGAAGGGAAATGAAACTCAAAATGATTTCTCATCTCACACAGCTACCATTTGAAAAGCTTTATAAAGACACTCGAAAGAAAGCTGAGTTCTCTCAAGAAAGAAATAAGAAATATGAAAATAGGTCAACAACAGTGTATCATTATTTTCACGTTGTTACTGGCAAATACACATTAGATATTTTCCGTCGTCTTTCTGAAGTGTTTTAACACGTAACGAAGCAATAAGAGATCATTAATAATAGTTTTTTTTTTAAATTATTATTCATTTTCAAGATTGTAAATTGAATTCTCGCCTTTCTTCTTTTTTTTTGTGTTTCTGTTCTTGATCAATGAGTGAATGTTCTTAATGGATAATTAATTGAGAAGCATAGCTTATTAGATTTTATGTTATTATTGGAAGAAAATGTAAGAAGCGAAGCTATTTGTTAATTATCATTAGAAGAATGCGGGAAATAAAGTTATGAAGATTGTAAAATTTCTCAACTGTTTTTGAAGCTGCTCGACATTTCGCATGAAATTTGACCCTTCACGAAAGCCATTCACTCATTTAGCTTTCAACTTACAATACGTTTTTTATATTCCATGACAAATGACTTCAAGAATTTTGAGTGATGACATCATTGCTTTATTTTCGAAACAAATTTCTGTTTGCCATTGACAAATGTTTGACGAATCTCAGTCTAAGCTGCTTTGTGTTGATGTTCATCTTAGAAGTAAAAAAAAGTTGTTTCCAAGCTTTTCTTAAGTGAGTGTCAACAAAACAAAAAAGTAATCAATTCAGGTTTTGCAACGCGAGACTTTCTTTTCATTCAGAAATATCATTTTTTTCATTCATAAGTAAAACATGTTGAAGATAACTTCAAAGCGTAAAGGTTGAGTAGACACACCGCCTCGCAAACATCTTTCGCGAGAATCGCATGGTGAATAAATAATCTTGTCAGGTTGAAGTCTTTTGCTTTCGGAGACTAAACGTGGGCGGTTTTACGACAAAAAGATATTTAAAGTGGCTTTCAAAAGCCTCTTAAACGAGAACTTGCGCGCTTAACACTTTATTTCTTTCAAAATCATTCTTTAAAGTTAATTTGTGGTTTATGCGATTGATAGGAGAGAGACAATAAACTCGTGACAAAAACTAGTTTGCGATAAGAAGTTGTAGACTGACTTCAACAAGAGAGAAACACGACCGACTACTTCCCACTTGCTTACACACATGCAAAAGACGTAAAACAATAATTATTGGTGAAGTTGTGGAAGGAGAGAAAAAAATTATTAAATAAACGAAGTTGGTGACTTATTTCGACCGTATGAGAAAAATTGGCGAACTTGTTTATGTGGGTGCAATGTACAACAAGATTCATTGATACTTTCAATCGTTTTGGATATTTATAACAACAACAGAAACTGACATGACAATAATACAAACGTTCACAAACATACCAAGTCGCTTACGTGTTCTGCGGTCTGTAAGACCTTCTGGACCTAAACGTTCAGAAGATTTCGATGACTTCCTTATCGGCACACATTTGTATCCTTTGAAGTAATAAATGTCGCCATCTGAGTGACGATGTCGTAACAGCTGATTTGAGTTTTGTTGTCGACGAATTAATTTTAAGTGTTCTTTATCAACTTTCGGATTGATATCACTGTCAACATTATTGAGACTTTGCACATTTTCCTCTTTTTTATCAAAATTCTTTGGTATTTCAACAAAATTTTCATTAACGTTGTTCTTATCTTGCGACATTCCAACGCTTCTTTCTACTATTTTGTGATTCCACGTCTTATCGTTTGATTCACTTTTAGATATTTGGTCTTCAATCGACCCACTTTTATGTACCTGATGATCATCATTAACAAAAATCTCGAGCAATTTTAAATTGTGCTCTTCGTGGGCACCGGAAACTGTTTGTGTCACGGCGTATAGGCAAACAGTCAACAATCCCAAAATTCCGATTGTTAAACATGCACGACCATAACTCAACCAACATCTCTTTCTTCGTTGATAAATTTCATTTTCCAAATTTTGTTGCTGCTCCATCATTAATTTTCGCTTATTCTTCTCATACATTATTTGAATTACTATTTGACGCCGTGAATTGCTTTCACGATATTTACTTTGTCGCGGTTTCACTTTACCATCTTTATAAGTTTTAACAAAATTCCTTCTATAATTGCTTACATATTTAGCACAACTGATAAGAAATTTGTTTTCACAACTATGAACATTGTTCCACCTCGTTATCAAAAATATTTCTCAGCTATTTTATTCTACTTCACACTTATGTCTCCAATGCCGATTTTAGATTAATTTTCTTCACTTTACTTCTTCCTTCTGCTTATCATCGCTCTATCACAAGGTAAAATAATTTTTTTTTCTTTTCAACCATTTTTTTCATATCAGCCATAAATAATTAAATCATTTTGTAATGCATTGCTGTGAATTCATTTCGAATCATTTGTCGAGGTTTTAATTTTCTTCCCACTTATTTATAAGGTGATTTTTATTGATTTCCCAGTACGATAGTTAACGATTTAATGAACTGCTTAAATATACAAAAGAATTGAAAATATTTAAAACCTCCATGCAATTATCGAAATATCACGAAGCTTTCGAGTATAAACACTCAACTTGAGAGGGCAATGATATCAGTTTTAAGGCAACTATGGAAGCAAAAGAGTTGCTTTTATTTGTGATAGTTGCTCAAGATGTCTTATCGAGGCAATGATGGAAATGCCCACAAATAAAAAGTTGAAAACCTCGTGGAAGTATTAAGTAATCTAATCGTAGAAATAATAAGAACATAAACACAGAATAAAAATGATATTGTGAATTAAAGTCAGCAATTAACTGAAGCTACACAATTAACTGAAAATAAATTTAATCAACTCGAGTTTGCCTTCGGAAGCAATCAAAATTTCGTATCACTTGATTAGAAGTTTCATTTCAGTTTCAATTTAAGTTTTGAAATTTCTACCATTGAAATTAAACATTCTAAAAGACTTTCTTTACATTTAAATAATCATTCGCGTGTTTAACTTAATTTATGCTTTAGCACCTTCTGAATTGTCGTTTTTGTCTTCACACATCTTTAAACTATTAAATTGTCAGTGAAATTAACAAACTTCTTTAGATATAACAACGTTTCACAATTAACTTCACATATTTATCTTATCAAAATGTTCTCATGAAAAAAGTTTAAATCATTTCACAAAAAAAACCGAAAGAAAAACTTCATGAATCAAAGATTAAAAGTGTCTGCATCGAGTTATTTATTGATGAGGAAACATAAATGTGAGAGAAAAAACACAAAAAAGTAAGAATTGCTGTTGGCACAAATATTTAAGCCATGTAAGAGGAAAGACTGTAGGCAACAACTGATATGTGTTTATAGATGGGAAAAATAATTTACAGACTTTTTAATTGACTCTGTGCACGATATCCAACTGCGAAAAATTGCTTTCTTATTTAAGAAACTGTTGTTCGAAGTTTGAGGAACAAAACGAAAGGCATCAAATAACTAATTGAAATATCTCCCGATTCATTAAATATACGCTAAGATAAGATCAGCCAGAAAGTATTTAGTTTGATATGCGGTTCTGACAATTAACTGCTGTTTGTTTTTCGCCCTAAATCACTGGGTTTCCGACATGTTGTTTACGGTGAAGCAAATTCGCGGCATGCCAATGGTGACTCATGCTGTGATGTTAGATAAACAAAACGATTTAAGAGAAACAACCAAGAAACTTCTGTTTGTTTGGAATCGCGAGGATTCGTCTGCATATTGAGTGACACATTTTTATTTGTTCTTTCAATTGCGTGTGAACGCGACAGTAGTTGACAAGTTCAATTTATTTTACGTTCACTTTTTTTCTTTAAGATTCATCAGAAATTCTACTGTGACGTTAATTATGTAAGAATAATCTTTTTGTGGTTCCTTTTTTCTTCGGTTTAAACTTTCTTTAAATAGAGCATTTGGAGATGGAATTGAAAATTTTCACTTTAACGTCTTTTTAAAAGCAAACGAAGTACAACATAAACAGGCAGTTTCAATCAATTTAATTTCAACAAGAGATGGAAGACGAGGAAAGATAATAAATTCATTGAACCGTGTAATAAATTAAGTTGAAAAGCGAATCTAATAAATTGAAATAAAATCCAACATAAATAACAATACAGATGACGATCAAACGTGTTTTAAATAGCTCGTTTAGAAGGAAGAACCTCAAATGTGATGTCTGAGCACGAGTGGATGCTTAAATCGAAATTGAAGTAATGTTCTCATCACTTAAAAGAAAAAGTTTATCAAAATAAATCAATTACAAAGCACAAATCAAAAGACTTTAGAATGCACAATTTCTTTTTTGAATTTGTTAGCGATGATTCTTGGTAATGAAAATAAGCATTGCAATGCTTTACTTTCAAATACTTTTCATTCTTCTCATCGTCTTATCATCAACTTCAATCTGAAGCGATTGGAAAAATGTGAATAAAGTGAATTTTTATGTATCATACTTTAAACAGCAATGCAATTTGAAACAAGATGGAAGAAGAAATCATGTTGATCGGGATTCTCGCCCGTGTACAAAGCACTCAAAAATACAACACATCACGATAAATTCTTTGAACAATTCTGAAATTTGATTTTAACTTCCTTCGAGGTGAATGTTTTTAAAACGATGAATAAGAACAAAGAACAGAATTTCTTTTGGTGCTTTGCATAATTTTTCAATCATGTTCGCAAGTCTCAAGCGCGATTTTAATCGTCGTCTTGTGAATTAAAATTCGCTCCATGGTGTGGCTTTGTTTTTTATTCCATTTAATTCGGTAGCAGAGTAAAAAGCTATAAAAAATTATTTATGATTACTCTTCTCAAGAGGGAGACCATCAAGATGAGTTATTAAAATCCTGTGGGTTTATTTATTTTAGATTCTTTCGATTATTGGGGACAGACCACCAGTCGACTCTGAAAGGAGTTCTTTGATTCATTAAGCCAATCGCTCGCGCAAAAAACGATAAAATTCCATCATTGATGATATCATTTTTCAATGCCACATTAAAAAATTATTTTCAAGTCTCTCGATATCATTTTATGATTCCTTTTGCAATCGAAATAAAATCACAGCAAGACTGATAAAATTATTGCTTTTCATTCACATCACATACACAAGACATTTTCAATGGCAATTTTTTTATTGGAACTTGCGAAGCATTTAATTTCTCTTGAAATGAAACACTTGAAGATTTTTAGGCGAACACCGAACAGAAATATTATTGACGTGTAAACTTTACGATCAAACTTCGACGAACGCAACAAGACGACTAAAGCAAAAAACTTTTTTAAGAAAGAAAAAATTTAACATGAAAACAATGAAACATTGAAAACATTCAACAAGTTAAACATTGCAATGTTTTGCGAGGTGTTAAGAAAAGGCCGGTAAAACATCAAAGCATTGTGCTGAAACAATAAATTTCCATGAAACAATCGTTGATTGCATTCAACTTTTATGGAGCAATAAAAATATTTTCCACAATACATTTATTGCTTCTTACCATCAACATGACAATAGGTGCTATGAGTTAAATTCAAAATTTTTTACTCCTAGGTAGTGTAGCAATTTATTATTTGTTTGTTATGCGGTGAAGTTTGGCGGTTTTTACCTTTGATAATATTAAATTACAGAAATGTTCAAACGAAATGTTTCAAACGCAGTGAAAAAGATAAGTAATTGCCAATAAGAAAGAAAAACACGATGTTTTGTCGAATTTAAAGAAGTTATTCTCTCATTTTATTTTAAGATTTAAATTCAGTTGCAATTGTTAAATACTTTCATGTTAAGTAAGTATTTATCAATGTTTAAGGAAACATACAGAAATTCAAAGTTTTCTTTTCTGAAATACTCTTGAATTTCTTAGAATGGTGAAACGTTTAATCTCAAGCTTGTTCAGTGCTTAAATATTTGTTCTGTTTTTGGTCGAACGACAAGGTGGACATTACTAAATTAAATACTAATGAACAAGCATTCATAATTCGTTCGAGCTTGCGGTTTCCTTTACGATCGTTCAGCAAAAGTAATTAATCTTCTCGATTCGTTGAATTTGTTTCTACTTAGTATAGTTCAATTTTCGAACACGTTACATCGTTGAAATCATTTGCTATTTTCGCTCAATTACATTCCATATTTCACGTTAACCGACATTAAAAGCGAGTTGAAAGGTTATTTTAATGAAGATTGTCCCTGCCCAGTTATGAAGTATCGTTTTAATGATCAAATACCTTTGATTTGTGACCGCATCATATTTTATGTGAAAATTTCTTGTTCAGACTTTCCTCTTCCTTAAACTTTTGTCTTTTATCTTCTTCCCTCAAATATTTATCGATGTTTAAAAGCTTAAAAGAAATGCTTTTTAGCTCTTTCAACATATAAATAAATGGGAAGATTGAAAAAGCATAAAAAACAAAATTTCTCATATATTTCTTTATAACTTCTTTCTTTATCAGCATCTCGGATAAAAACCATCACTGATTGCATATTTCATTGCATGTTTCCTCTTCATGGGTGCGTTGTGTGAAATTTGCATATTAAATTAATAATATAATCGACAGGTATGAGGGTCATCAATTATGTGATTGAAGTTTGACTTCAACTGACGCCGAAAATTCGAGAAAATTAAGAAGAGAGTTTCAAAAATATATTTCTGATCTAATTTCTCAAATAAAAAATTGTTATGTTTTGCTAATAGCACTTAATGATGATCTTTTCTTCGTCTCTCTTTTTCCAGACATATTTGAACCTTTCAATCAGAGAACTTTAAGCGAAAAATCGAATAATTAGTAGCTTCGAAAATTGGATTGCTCTCGATGAAATGTGTAACGCAAAAAGAAAAAAAAATCATGAAAAGAACTCATCGATTAGGTTTTCACCAGTAGACAAATTATCGTAACGATAAAAGAATGAAAGAAAAGACTTTTGAAGAGTCGCCGCTCATTCATGAGCTATTTTTCTTTTCCTGCCTTCTTTTTCCGTGACTTTGATCTTTTTTTATGTTTCTCTTCTCCACTTCTGGTGTTCACATTAGGACAGTAAATGCTACAATATTATTTTAATCTCAAATGATGAAAGATGCGAAGAACCTGTTGTCGCACGCCAATTCATTTATAGATACATAAAAGAACCAGCTGAGATTTCATTTCTTTCAATTCGACACATTAATTGCAGCTTCATATGCAAGCGTTAATGAACATTTGCTTTTAATTGACTTTTCTGTTCCTCGAGTTGTCTAACTGATGAAGAAAGATTTCTTGTAAGACTTAATTGCAGGGAAAGAAAAAAGGAAATTGGCTGATAGTTGATACTGTCAACAAAGTTATCGTTTAAAGATTTCCGTATTCATTTAATTACCATTACAACTGAGATTGAAACTTAAGCACCTGAAGACATTTGATTTATTTAGTCGAGATAAGCGTACTTATACAATTTATCTTATCGAAGAACATCATTTACAATCAGAAGCATTTCATGTTTTGTTTCACAATCTAAAATCGCTGTTTAAAAATGTGAATTGTTCAACTTCCTTTTTCTGCAACGCACATTTTCAACTAAAGGTGTGTTTAACTTTTAAATATTTCATTTGCATTCCTAAAGCAGCAGAAGCGGTATGATAAATAGCATTCTATGAAGTATTTCATCCCGAGCTAACAACATGATTTCTACCGTTTGTGGAATAAATCAAAAACGAAGACGAAGAAGAAAAAAATTGTATAAATTCATTAAAAAATGTGTGTGAAAAACTTGTTTAGATTCATCAATTAAGTTCCTCTTTCTTCGTCTTCTTATTTGCGTCTTTATAATTGATTCATTTAGAGTCGTTAAAGAAGTTAAAGAGTTTGAAAGATTGACTAACATTTAATTTTGATATTCTATGATCAACGAGAGATAATCGAGCCCTTTGCTGTCTTAACTTTACTTCTTCATCCTGATTGGACATTAAAATGAATCAATAAATCTTAACTTAAATGTTAAACATTCAAAGTGAACATTTGTGATTAATATTTTATCACCTTTTTAATTAAGCCCACAAAAAAGTGTTTTCTCTCTTCTCAAATGAATGTTTGATGTTTAAAAATGAAAATAAATTCATTTCACGTATTCAAAATTCAAGATGTTTCTCATTTGAAAGTGATTAAGACAAAACCACAGAGACTCGTGTTGCGATAAGTTATTTTAGTGCGTCAGCTTCGAGTCGATGTATTTGCCTGATTAAATGATAATTTCAAGTGGCACTCGAAAAATAAGCTACAACAGTCATCATTAATTTATTTTGAATTTCGCCTTACATGATTAATAAAGCGAATGAAAGTTGGGGTCATAGTTTGTTGGTTGTAAATTATCAGTAAATCCAAGACACGCGTGTTAAATTATATCTCGGCACTCATTGCACGATAAATAGAAATTAAAAAAACTGAGAAATTCCTTAATTTGATATATTGACTATTAATACAGTTACATTTAACAGCATTTCAGTGATTTATTGAGTCTTGGAATTACCGACGACTTTAGAGAGTTTCTCAGCTGTTCGCTTTTGTAAGTTTCATCAGCCAACTTCACATGCATTTTTGCATATTTACCAAGAATTTCCCTCCTCGACCTACGGTCATCTGTCATACCTTCCTTCTTTTTATTCTTCCTTAAACCTGCCCCATAGCAGAATCATAAATCTTAATGCCTCTATTATCAATTTCTTACACAGACCGAGAACTCAACTTTTCCTCTTATTTATTTTTATATTTTCGTGTTTGCTTACAAAAGACGAACGAACACTTTTAAAATAAAATAAAATAAAATAAGCACATTATGATCAACATACATAAATTATGATAAATTACAAATAATAGTTGCATACATAAATAAAATGCTTCACCTCCCCACTTGTCTTCCCTTTCTTGCAAAATTATAAATTTAAATTTGTTTACTCGCGTAGACATTAATCCACTCATGAGAAATAAATATTTTCCCGGTAATTTACTTTCAGAAGTACATTTCTTTTCATCTCTTACAAAAAAGACGCAACGTGAGACGACGATGAAAAAGAAATATAAAAAGCATGCATTAGCACTTTGACATAATAAACGATTGCTTAACCTTATCGTTTCCTTTTATGTTAAAGTAGTTTTTATGTATTTTATCATAAATTAAGTGACATCATTTACTGACATATTGATTCAAGTGTTGTGATGTACAACATAAAGATGAAACTGTAAAACGCTTTATCATTAATCATTTATTCAACTTGAATAACATTTTAAGACCGCGATCGATGCTTTGTTTAAGTGCAAGTGTATGTTCGTTTCTTATTTCTGCAAATGGCTCCAGATAGTCTGATCATTTGAGATTCGTTCAATTATGGCAAAAAAAACATTAACTTAATGAAAATGTATGAAAGCAACTTCATTACTTATTGACAATTACCATAGCAATAAATGTGGGTGAGTCTAGTAAAATTATCACATTTATTGTTAAAATATGTCACGGTTTAATTAAAATGAATTTACTTGAATATTTCTTTAAACGAAAGATTAAAAAAATAATTTCATTTGCCATTCAACGATCGCTTTATTTGCTTCGTTTGAAAGAAATGTCATTTGAAGAAGAGACATGAGGCATGAGACATGGAACATGGGAGTGGAAAGGTATTCGAGCGTTTTCATCTCTAAAAATATCTTCTTGTTGACATAGTTGTTGTAGCAGGCTTGCCGTCAGCAAATATTTGAATAATTACTAAAAGAATTCTATTCTCACGTCTCGATGTTATGCTTCTTTCACTTTTAACGAAGAATAACTTTCAAGAGACATCGCAATGTCAGTGACACGAAAAACGATCTTATGAAAATCTTGATAATCAGCTGAGAATTCCTCGGGGAATCAAAAAAGATTTTCAAAGATGAGTCCAAAACAAACTCATACACTCTCAGTTAAAGAATTCGACGTCATGTTACAAGAAACAAAATTCATCATAAACGAGTTTTCATCTCGTTGAGAAATTCCTTTCAAAATGATCTTGTTATGATTTTTTTTCTGTTCTCCTTTTGACATTCTTGTTGAAATTTTTTTCTCCTTCATGTTGTGCCATTATCTTTTATCCGCAATGTTTCAACTTAACGGTTCTCAATGTTTGTCATCATTCTCGTTTTAACGAATCATTTTCATTTCATCATTCGCCTTCTTGTCATCAGATCAAGAACTTCACATACTTATTTCTTGATCCAATTTCTGAAAGCAAAAGTGATCCGAATGATTCTCATGAATTCGAAGACCACCGTCGAAGGTGGACACGAAATGAGATCGCTTTTCATTCTATTATTCATCCATTGTTATCAAAACAGAGAAATGAAATAAATTAGCTCAACAAATATGTAAGCATGTCTTAGAAGTTTACTTCAATAGCAAAACAATGTCTCGTTTCATGCACTATTTGTCTACTTGAGCGAAGCTTCTTTTTTTCCAAAAGAAATTGATTGATATGGAAGAAACATGGAATGCTTTGCTGAATAAATTTAATCCGATAACAACGTCTATTTGTAGACATGACGATTGCTTTAAGCTTCGTTTTTCCTATTATTCTCGCAGCATGCGGATGTTACGCGAACAACAAAGAAAATTTATCGCGAGCGATACTTAGCAGTGGATAATTGGAAATGTCATAATGTAAAGTATTTTCCCTCATGCAGCTTCGTTGTTGAGATTGTTAATTGCATTCGCTGTCGTTCATGTTGAGGTGCTAAGTTTAGTCTATTCGCAACTATGTATGAATTATCCAACATAAATTGATGAGATTGCATGCATGAAAATCGTGAAACGAGGAATGAACATTAACGTGGGCAACATTAAAATTAATGGATTGGAGATGGAACACTTTTTGGGAATTCTCGTGAAACAATTTCATTTCGAACTTTAATTACCTTTAGTTGGCAATTTAATCGTTAAAGATCGTTAGAGTTGCAAAATAAAAGAACGTGCAAGTGTCGAGATATCTTAAAATATATTTTTATGTTGTTTATGCTGTAGAAGAAGCATGAGACGGTTTTCATCTGATTAATTTCTCACTTTTTTACATCTGATCCGCTACAAAACTTAATGCAAATAAATCACTCAAGATTTGGTCGTAAACTTGCTTTCCTGCTTGCTTCAGCTACAGTTTGAAGTGAAATAAACCGTTCACGACTGTAAAACATCATCCACTATAACTTGATGTTGATCAACAGTGTAGATTGAGATTCTTCCATCTTTTGCTGTTTGTTTCTGAACAAATTCAATTAAATCGTTCAATTTTTTTTGGACTTGCAAAAGATATCTCGTAAGAAGTAAACGATAATGAAAAATCCTTTTCTGAAAACGATCGCGGGTCAATAAATCAATTTGTTATAACGGAGTAACGAAGAAACTGATAACGATGGATCATAATTAATTTTTCTTCATCTTTTTGATGTTTCAATGTTTTAGTTTCATTCACGACTTTATGGTTTAAAACGAGAAGAGAGACTTGAATGAAATATTTTAGGAGATAATTCAACTGTTTGCAAAATTTATTGCCTACTTTTAATTTCAGGATGAAAACTTTAATGACTCAAACATATTTAAGTAATTCATGAAACAAATTTGCCAGACGAACTCTCACTTTTAATTAGAAAACATAACTTTTTATAATATGAAATGCAATTAAAAAAGTCACAGACGATCGGTTTTTGATTCAACTCCAACGCAATTCTTCCTCTGTTTTAATTAAATTTAATTTACTGTTGAGAGATTCAAGCAGACATGTCCCAATGTCTTTTATGATGATTTAGATGAAACAGTTCAAAGCATAACTTTTTTCACATCATTTTCCGCATAATGAATGAACGTCTTTTTGCACATTAAAAACGTGTGAAATGAATTTTATTTTTTCATCTTTCCGGCCTAGTTATTCTCAATTTTATCGTGGATCGAAATCCGCTTGTCATAAACATAAATTCTTTTTTTTAAATCACGACATGTTCGCTTTGTGCAGGTTTCGAAATGTTTAAACGTCGACCACCCCGAAACAAGTTTTATTTTCTTATATCGATATTTCAGAGAATTATTATCGAGAATTATGATGATTAAGTCTTCAAAATTATAAAAGCTAATAATAATAATAAAAACTCACCTTCGCATCCATTCGCCGATAATCCAAAATATAATTCGTCACATGTGTCGCATTTGAGGCCATTCACATTTAATTTACACAAGCATTGGCCACTTATCGGATCACAATTTTCATCAATCGATCCGTTTTGATTACATTCACATGGAGGGCAATGTAATGAAACGTTTGCATATCCAAAGGCACATTGATCACATAATTGCCCTTCATAATTTGAATTGCATGAACATTTACCATCGCTGGCATTACACAAATTATTCACTGCACCATAATCCGAACATTCGCATATTTGACAACCAACTTTTGGGTCACCAAAGAATCCTTTTTTGCACTTTTCACATCGCCAACCTTCAGTGTTTACTTCACATTTTATACACTTTCCCGTAATTGAATCACAAGGATTACCATCACACGGACAAGCAAGGCATCGTGAGCCCAATTCCATAGGATTTCCATAATAACCATCAGCACATAATTCACAATGATCACCGAAATGACCAACACTGCAGTTATTGCAAAAATAATCCGACATTTCTTCGAGCATCACACCATTTGTTTCAAATGATTCTTTAAGTTCACACGTTGGACTAAAGTTGTTTAACTCATCAATCAACGGACACGCACATGGCTTGCAATCAGTTGATGTACCAATCAAAGCATTTCCATAGAAGCCAATTTTACATTCTTCGCATCTGTAACGGTTAAAAATATTTTAAAAGATTCAAATAAATAATGACAGTTAAAATTTAAAAGTTAAACTCACCTTTCACCTATCGTGTTGTGTGCGCATTCACCACATTCATTGGTTTCAACGTTGCATGATTCTGAATGACCGTTGCAATTACATGGTAAACATTTTATAATTTTCTCGTGTGTGGTTGAATTATCGTAAATTTTTATGTGACCAAAAGTGCATTCTTCACATGAAAGTCCATCGTAACCTCGGGGACAATGACACTTCTCGACAAGACTAAAAACATTTGAAGCTTCAACTTGAATGATGTCATTTGAACTGCTAATATCACCAGAATATAGTGTCGCACGTCTTAAAATTCCTTCTGCTTGATCTGTATGATAAGTTCCACGAATAAGAATGCTGTCAACATTGGTCAATACTGACATAAATTGAGTTCTCGTCACAGGGTCACCACGATATTCAGTTCTTCTTAATCTTGTTATGATATCTTTCACTGACTTTGGAACATGATACCATCCATCTTCGGTGAGAAAAATGTCGACACTTGCATTTGAATTCGTAAAAGTTCCATCACCAGAAGCAATTTTCATTCCATTCTTGCCAATTATAATAAAGTTCGGTCCACTTGTTGGCTTTCCACTTGTGTCACCACGAACAATTACCCAATCCATATGGAAAATAAAATGAGATCCATAACTTTCAAGTCGATTTCCAAGATAAACTTCCGGTGCTGACCAATAAACTGCTTCAACATCAGCTAATTCATACATTCCAAACACCATGTAACCAGTTTCATTGTCACGGGTTGGATAAGCGATTTGAGTCTTTGAGATGTCAGTTACTGACCAGCCGTCCAATGTTTCTGTGAAATTTCTCTTAACTTCATAACTCTCACATGTTGTTGCAATACCTGAACAGAAACATTTTGAACATCCTTCAGGATTTTCTTTATTCAACCCAAAATAGCCATCAACACATTTGTCACATTTTTCACCTTTGACAAACATTTTACAATGACAAACTTCATCGCATTCTCCACCTGGCAATATTCCTCTGTTGTCACAAGAACACTTTTCGCAATTTTCACCGCTGAAACCAATGTCACAATGATCACAATTTGGACCAGCAAAACCAGGTTTGCAGATGCAATCGCCGCCAATTGGATTGCATGCGCCCACTGAACCTTTACTGTTGCATTTGCATGGGATGCAAGGTTCTTCATGATCTGGTGGTCGATTGTTTGGACGGAAGAAGTTTGGTAAACATTTTTCACAATTTATTCCTGTGGTATTTTTTGTACAATTCAAACAAACCCCACCACCAGTCATTTTTCCTTTGATATTTATGCTTAAATTGCGTTTATCGATGTCGGGGCTGTAACGACATTCCGAAGCATGACCATAGCATTGACACTTCTCACAACGATTCTCCTTTTGCGGTGTTCCAATACGAAATGGTTTCTGATTGTACATTGGACAACATTTCTCGCAATTTTTCCCGCATGTGTTGTGCATGCATTCACATTGTGGCAATTTATTAAAGTTTTTATCATTTTCATCAATTTGTTCGCGACATTTTCCAGCATGACCTGAACAGTGACAACGACCCAAAACAATGATCGATTGAATTGAATAATATCTTCGTTTTTCTAAATCATCTTCATCTGGTTCCCATTTTATTGAACGTTCGCTTTCGATTTCGCTGATATTTTTTAACATTCCTAATTTAAAAAACAATTTACAAAATTATTTACATAATTTTAAGGAGAAAACATTTTTACATACCCTGCAGGCGAACACGAATAAATCGTGCAAGAGTGAAGTTAATTAAATTTGAAGTTAGCGATTCCATTGGCCTTTGATTGAGTACTAAAAACTTTGCTTCTCCATATTTCAATCTTGTTGATTCTGAGAATTCCGTGCTACAAATGACTTCTTTTTCATCTTTGAAAATATAATTCGCGTTACGACCTGTGATGAGAGAGAAAGACCAGAATTAAATTTTATTACCAACATAATGTTTATTTACTCACCGGATAAATTGTAACGTGACATACAATCAGCATCATCTGCAGCGAAGTACTGCCAAGGCTCGTAATTATTACCGTCAATTGATCTCTCCAAAATCCAAGCTTTTGGTATTGCTGATTCTGCCGATTTAATTTTAAATGAAAAAATTTCGTATTTCTGTGAAAGAAAAGAAAGAAAAAAGTATTGAGAATTGAGATAAGATGAAGGAATTAAAATGACAAGCTTTTCATCTCAAAATGACAAGATAAAGAGTGGAATAATGTTGAGAACATGCACAACACGATAATTTCCGAATGCTATGTGTGTAAACTTCTCCGAAGACGAAATTATGTTAATGAATGTTTATTTTCTTGAGCGCCGCGCTCAGACGAAGCGACAGAGATAAGACCATAAAGTCATGGATGGATGACGTGTCTTTAAGAAATTGGTCTTGTATTACGCACTCGTTTAATAAGAAATGAATGCTTTAAAAAAATCTGCAAGCATTTGTTAAGTTGATGAAGCCAAAAACAAAAAAGAAAACACACAAAGAACGATGGTTATTAACAGCACATAACATTACCTTTAACGACTTTTGGCTGTTTGACCGAAAACCACATAAAAGGGAAATAAAAATTTACATACAAATTAACTTCGAAAAGCCCAGCAAGGAAAAGATTTTTCAAATTACTTCCTTAACATTCTTAACAAGCATTTTTAAAATTCCCAATCGGAGTCGATCGTTAAACCTCAGCATACTCATTTCGATGTGAAAATACAACATTCAAAGAAGTAGAAGAAGTCAGAAATGGTCCGGAACGCTCGTAAATTTGTTTGATAAAAAAAAGTGTTCTGAGACGTCGAGCCAAATGTGCTTTTTGCCGCCCTCTTAATAACTTTCTTTGAACGCCGACAAATTTGAACTTCGAAATCAAACACAGGATCTCGTTCATAAGAAAAACATGCACAAATAGCTTCAGGGGGCTGAAGGAAAGATACAAAAACATTTAACATAAAGTGAAGCAGCTTTTCGTGTCAATAAAGTGTTTTCAAGAAGCGACAGAAGTCTTGAACGAGAAAATTATCGTAATTGAAATTTCTTCTTTCTCATCTTTTTTGTCTTCGCTTTGAGTTCGTACATATTGGACAAGATTATCGAAGTTTTCGAATGGCGTCAATCGAAATGTTTGTCAGGTCCAGGTGCATCTCAATTAAATATAATTTCGTGAAGTTTAAAAGAAAATTGATTGAATATATTAACGATGGCTTCATGTGGAGAAAGAAATCATCGGATTACTTAAGTCCATCGTTTGTTTAAATCTCAACGTTATAAGTGTCAGAAATTGCATAAAGGAAAATTGTAATTCAATCAATTTTTATTAATCACAACACGTTTAAACATTTTTTTATTAATCAGTTTTACTGTTTACGCCAATAAAACTCTTTAAAGTGCATGTAATAAATTCCAACAGCTACAACTGATGAAATAATTGAAATTTGATGGTTGAAAGTGTTTCTCTGATAAGCTTTTATTACCACAATAATTCATGAGAGATCTGTTGGCACAGCTGTATTTAAGACAACCAACAGCAGTCTTGTACAAGAAAGGAATGAAAAATGTTCTTAACGATTAAACTTCGTGTTGATCACTTGTAATATCATGTAATTATTTTTTTCCGAGAGATTTAATTAAACTGGAAGCATCTTTTTTGATATTTTCTTTGCGATAAGATTTTTGCAACATAAATAAATTTTATACAATTTAATACGAAATTTCTAAAGAGGTAGAAATGTAAATTAGAAAATTAATGTCTGGGAAAAGTTTACAAACAGAGAATTCTTAAGAAGTAAACATTTCTAAGATAAGTTTTACATAGCAAACTTCTCAATGTGTCTCTTTCAGAGATGTAGAATTTCATGATAGAATAAATAGAACGCAAAACGAAGAATTTAGTCCAATAAAAAAAAAGAATGTTTAAAATGGAATAGAAATAGTCGACTATATAGGTAGTTAAATTAACATTCGTGTAAGTATATGAGTTACACGCGCATAAATTATTTTAATTAGGAACACACAGCTTTCCAACATCCATTGACATCATCAGCTGAGTGAATACGAGAAATTAAAAAAAAAATTCTTAGATCTTTCACAAAAAAAGAACTTCAATAATTCAATTTCTTACGCAATCTAAATAAAGCCTTAGATATGTGGAATAAACAGTTAGTGGTTTCTTTCTTTCATAGAGTTCATCATCTTTAACTTCACCGATTCGTTCTCTCGTTATAAACAAACTCCTTTATCGAGGCGAGGTGCATAAGAGGGCCCCGAAATTATTTGTTTATAAATATTTGTTATAAATAACTCAAAGAGACTCTTGTAAAGTGGATTCCAATGGTAGTTGGATTCTGTGTGTTTCATGATGATTTCCCTTACGTTTACAACTCTTCTTTTTCTACTCTTTCATCATCACCAAAAACGATTTGTTCTTGCCGGTAAAATTCTCGAAAACGAAATTAATTTAGATTTCGTTTTGTGGATTGCGTGGAAGCGACTTCAAATGAAATATCTGGGAAAGAACCTTTTGACTGTTTGTGTAATTGCATTTTTAAATATTTACAAGCGATTTCGATGCGCTTCCCAAAAAATTGGAAGGCAAACAATCTGAGGTTAAACCAAAAGAATGAAGGAAAAAAGAACTCAATATTTGATCATTGCACAGCGCCAAGAGTTCTCGACTTGAACATGAAATTTCAACTTCCTCAATACAACAGCTTGAGCCATTGAACTCTCCACTCCTCTCTCTCTATGGGCAGCGGCAAAAAGTTTCTTTCAAATCAATAAAAGTGCTTGTTAGCTTTTATCATATGTGCAACAGATTTCATGGAAATTTTCCTCCATTTCAACCATTGAATCGAGTCGAAGCGCGCGAAAAAGATGAATGCGAAGGAATGCTGAAAACATGAATTTAATAAATGATTAGCACACTAGAATAACAACCATTATAACGAGCGATTCACGATATATCGATGTCGAGTGAAATTGAACCGATCTTATGTTGTTTTAAAAGCATGGGAATTTTTTGAATTAATTTTCTTATTCTTTTTGTGTCTTCGAGACAAGGAACTCCTAATTACAATGTTGGTTGGTAACTTTTAAAACTAAAATTTAAATGTTAATTAACATTTGATACAAACTTTGTAGCGAGATGTAATTTTTTATCAATTTTATTTAGCATTTCTCTTCTGTCTGGGAGTCATTCTTTGCACTCGATATTCTCATAAAATAACAAAGAAATGATAAAAAAAAATGAAAGAATCATAACGAAAACCTAGAAAACCGCAAAAATACTTCAAGAAGAGCATCATCAAGCTCCTTTTGTGAAAATAACAAAAGGAGAAAAGAAAAACTTGGCACAAAAATCAGTCATCGATTCTCGCTCGTCTCTATATGGTAATAATTGATCGTCAAGTTTGATTTTTTTTTCTTTCTTTCTTCTCCCTTTTAATGCTACTTGCTTTGACTTTAAAAGGCGATACAGTTTTTCGGGTGATTGGTATTTGGTGAAAATAAATAATTGGATAGAGATGCTTTTGGTCGTTGTCTGATGTTGTGACTTAAGATGCGTTGAATCATGAAAGCGAGCGCACTGTCGCCAAATACCAGAAGCTGTTGTCAACTCTTTTGTTATTTAGATTGCAAGTAATAAAAATGCAAAATAGAAAATTCATTTGTTGGTAAACTACCCATTGAAATTTTTACAGTAGAAGTAGCAATTCAATTAAATTACCTCATTATCACGATGTTCACTTTTTGTTCGATAGAAAAAGCAGAAAAATGTTAACTTTTATATCCTAATTGTGAGTGTGTGTCTGCGCATTGAAACTGCATAGCATTTGCCGTTTATTTTACAATAATTTGCATTCTACGACTTGGGAATTTCAAACGTGAGATTTCAACTTCAAAAGCTATGAAAATTGTTGTGCAATCGAGTTCACGTCAATGCACTGCATGTATGCTTCCGATAGCATTTTTTTTAACGAAGAATGGAGATAGACGAGTAAAACAAAAGCAAAATCAGATCAACATTAAGCTGCGAGAATAAAACAAAGAGCTCACAACTTGTCCTCGCTCTGTGATGCCCATAAACCAACTGCCAGACAGTCTCTGTCGTCAACGGCTCCATTTTTGGACTATTTTAATGTTGTACGTATCTGATTCACTTTCTGCGAGTTCCATTAAGTCGTGAAAAAAACATGGACACTAGACAAGTCAAGTGATTTTGAAATCGTGCTGTTATGCTTCTCATTTTGTTTCTTTTCATAATTATTTAATTTTTAATTTCATGTAAATGTCTACGTCAACGTAATTACGTAGCTAATTTACGTAGCAGGATATTTCATTAAGGTCTCAAAAATTAAGTTGTGACACTTTACAGATATTCTTTATGTTTATAAACATTTATGTCTATATAAACAATCTCGAAACATCTTCAAAATTAGTTCATATCGATGATTTCGGATAGAAGCAATGGAGATAATTCAAGGCTATTCGGAATATCTAATTTTTAAAATTGAACCTGGTGAAAGTTTCAATTAAAAAGGACTTAAAGTTTGTTCAGTTTGAAAGTTTGAGTGTTTGTTTGTTTATTATTAATGTAAGGTTCTCAAAATGTGTTTACAGGAGATTGTCTTAGCCCTTCCACCACCAGGATATATATTCATAATTAGATATGTATAAGAAAAAATAATAAATATCTAAGAATTGTTCATGTTTTAAAGAGTTTTCTTATTGCAACTCTGCATATCAATTATTGTGAAAGTTTTAACAACATAATTGTTTAATAACAAATTGCTCATTTCTGGAAAATGCATGAAAAAAATTGTATTATTACATATAATAGAAAAAGAAATAAAAAATATGAAAACTGTAAAGTTTTAAAGCCAGTTGGTGAACTCAATCTTGGATGAACCTAAATTAAAAACTCATAAAATAATTTTGGTAGCATGCAGTAAGTACTTTTGTAATTAATTTGAAGATGCCTCTGCTGACGTTTCGAACAGTAATTAAAGACTTGAATCCCAAAGTCAGTGAAGATTTATTACTTTTCATTTACGAGAGAAAATTATCGTCTTGTAACTTAATCGACTTGTTAAAGATCTCATCATAATTTGAAAGGTTGTTTAATTTAAAAAGTTTCTGTGAACGAACATTTTTTATTGAGCGTACTGCAACAAAGTTAAGGAAATGTTAAATGCATCACTCAAGTATAATAGTTAAATGCATCAAAATATATGTCAGATTAAGTCCAAACTTAATGTTGATTCCTCATATCTTAATGAAATATTCGATAAGAAAAAGTGTAACAAGGAATCAGAAATAATTAAGCAATTGTTCAAATAAATGTCATGTTTCTTTCTCTTTGTTATTAATCGACTTGAGAATGATTAAAGAATTTATGTTTTCCAATAAAAACATTTAAAATCTTCCATTCATTTTTAGATTCTTAATTAATTTACAGAAAATTTTCGAGGAACCTTCATAGATTAAAACAAATTGATGGAAAGCTAGCTGCAATGGAAGTTATGTGATATTAATTGATTATTGATCGAGAAGGAAAGCATGAGAGATTCAGGCATCAAATTGTAATCTTACATGAAATTCAAGAACAACGATGATTGATCTATGTGAACGGAGAGCGAAGAGATTAAGAATTTCAATTTTCTTCAACTATGAAAGCATAAAAATGTAGATTAATTCAAGAAATTTCATGTTTCACAATGCACAGCAACTTTCTTTTTTTATTCATTTTTTTTTATCGCAACTTGATGTCTTGGAGCGCTATTGAAAGGGTCATAAAAGTTTTTTAGAAAGACATGCATGATGTTGCAATTTCAAAGCAAGATTGTTGTGCAAAAAAAAGAAGTTGTCGAAGTGATCAAGAAGTCAAATTAAAATAAGAAAGAATATTTTCTCAATCGCCATGTCTGGCAATTTTAATTGAATTTTTTGTCCCGTTCTTCCATTTCGCATTTTTTTTTTAGCTTCAACAATAGGAAACTCTTTCCCTACACATTCGTAAGATGAAAAATTTTTTCGCCGAATCCACAATGAAATTCAATTAACTTTGACAATGTTCGTAGCAAATTTCCCTTCGATTCAACCTGTGAAAAAGATTCGTATCCAACTGATAGCTTACATATAATAAAAGCGAACACGAGACTCACCGCAGAATGTTTATGGCTTTCGCTTCATTTTACTTTGTTTCGTTTCGCTGTTTTACTTGGCGACCTCAAATTTGTTTTGATTTTGTATTTCTTTGGAGTTAAATATTTAAAGAATTCTGATGCATTGGACAATTGTCATGATTTTGTTTGATCTTTGATCAGTTCAAAACAAGCATAAACATTTTGTTTTTCGCTGGAATTACAAATCTTAATATCATGAAATGTGATGGATCGATCATTAATTGGCTTTTTAGTTTATTTTAGATTTCAAACCTTAGCCTCGGGTTGAAATCAATAAGTGCGCACATTAATTCAATTAACCTTTCATAGTAATAAATTATGTTTTCATGTTCTCATGTGATTCGCGACGACGAACCTTAAATGCACCTGAATATTAAATATTCTTATTTTATTAAAACTTTTCTCTGCTGTTCTTCTCCTCCCATCGTCGATTGATATTGATATCGATTTTATTATACTCAGACTTCAGAAAAATCAATAAATATTTCTTTTTTTTTACAAAGGGTTCATTTACATAACCGACAGACCTCCCGTGGAAGGAAAAGAAAGAAAAAATTACCGCATCGATGCATCGAAAATAAAAAAACTTTAAAATTGATTTTTCTTATGTTATTTTTAGTGATCATGTTATTTAGTTTACGCGTAAGCTGGAGTTAAAATCACTTTGATGCATGATAAATAAATGACTTGAATGCTAATTAAAGGCAAAAATTGACCCAAACGACTTAGGAAAAGTCAGCAATAATTTTTGATTTGATTTGCTTCATGAGATAAAGCTTAAAATTTTTAAATGGCTAATGACGAGCGACTCATTAATTTGCTTCTTGGAACAGAGAAATGAGAATTCAACCGCAAATGCTTCTCTACCGACTACCAGAAATTATCGCATTTGATCAATAAATAACCACAAGCAAACATGGTATTTAGTGCTTCGAAGTAATTTATCACTTATAAGCTGAAGTGCTTTCAATCTTTTTCTCTTGAAGAGAAATCAAGGCGGTTCAAAGCTTCTGTCACTACTCTACAACTCTTATTACACGATTAAACAACATTATCACAACATAACTTATGCTCAAGTCCCGCTCATCAGAAAATCTTTACTGGGACGAAAAGAAAGAAATAAAGAAAAGGTTTCATCATTTTGAAAAAACTTTATCATTGTTTAACTTGAATGCAGTTCATTTATCTCGTTCTCTGCTTCATCTCTCTCATCACGTTATGTTGAAATCATAAAAAAAGAATCATATCAGATAGGGTAGGCTCATAATTTACAGCATTGTTTTGTGCTATTTTCATCTTCGAAGTGATTTAAAACTTTTAAAAAGAAATTCGTGTATAATTTAGTGAGTTGAAGAGTCATAATTGCATTTTTCTTTCCACAAAGTTATCATCAAAACAGAAGAAGGAAAAAAAAAACTGCATTGGAATAGACGATCCAAAACGACAACATAGAACAAATATGCAGACAAGCAAACACAAGTCTAATGATGGAAAAGAAGAGAAGAGAGAAATGTAAAGTTTATTAAAATAACAAACAATAAAAACGTTGTTGAAATGCAGCAAATTATGGTTTTTAGATTGAGATTTTAAATGAAGATTGATGATTCTTAGGCTATTCAATAAAGCGCAAAGCAAACATCTAAGTATGAATCTCGTTGAACCGTGAACTTTCGCGTTTCATTTAACTTGAGAATTCAAAGGAATCGGTTGCATTGTAATCTCATATCTGTAAAGTTTTGGGACGGTAATGTCGCATTATGAAAGCTATTAAACTTCCGCCGCAAACATCTTACAACGTTTATACATAAATAGGTTGCCCATATGTGCTGGGAACAAGAATTCAAGAATAAACTCAAATGAGCGGAAACAAAGTAATAAATTTCTCATTCATTATGCATGACTGCTTGACACGCGGTTTTCTAATGACACAATTTCGCTATTTGCCAAAAAAAATGTTAGATTTGTCGTGATGCAAACTATGTTGCTTCTTACCTATAATAAACTTTCATTTGTATTTCGAATTCTTCTTGTTCTCAATTACAACCGACAGCTTAATTGTAGTTTACGATCTATTTTTAAAATCAAACTACATTCGAGAAATTCACTTGCATTGTAAATATAAATTAACGACACATAAACAAATCTCATTGCATGCAATGTGCTCGCTTCTCTTATTCATGCAAGCCTGAACCTTAAACTTTCACTTTGTTCTTATAAAGAAAGTTTTTATTTCTCTTTTTCTTGATTTTTTATTAAATCTAATTTGGGCATCAAATAATTTCTTTAAGTAATGAAATTTTATGTTTCTTTTTTAGTATTTCTCTTCAAAAAAAAGTATCAACTTGCGAAAAGCAAGCATAAGAAGAAAACCAAAAATGTTTCCTTCTAAAATTAAATTTCCGCGTCTACCAAATGCACACTTCAGTCGTCAGACTCGACATTTCATGAATGAAATGAAATTCTTGGAAAAGAAAGAAAGAAACAAATGAAGAAAACATTGTAAAGTGAAAGATTCATGTTCACGCATAAGAAGTATTATGAAAACACCGTTTAATTAGCTAACACCATCGAATGGAATGGAAAGAAAGGGAAGAGTTGTAGTCTAGGTAAGAAAAGGTTAAACATCGGACATTTTAAATGCTTCGATAGCAAGAGACATAAATCCCAAAATATTTGAACATTCTAGAGAAAAGCTATTAAAGATTATGTAAAAGGTGCCAAAGGGCGGGCGGGTATCATAAAAAAAATCTTCTGTAACACGAAACTGTTATTACTGTGATCTTCCAGACTTAAACAACGATTTGATGAGGCTTAAGATTGTCATTCGAGACTTGTCAGGAAATAGAAGACTGGTAAAAGGCTTCAATCTGACATGTTTCAGGCACATTTATGATAATTTTCATATGAAATTGCTTTCAAGCGATCAAAATAACGCAATGCAGGCGTCTTCAGAACAAATGTCAGTAATAAACTCACGATTGAATTGAATTTCAAAACATTATTTGTATGTTGTACGTAATTGTAATTATGAAATGATGGACATTTGAAAGCAATTTGAATGACATTTCGCTGCTACTTGAGATCATCTTTCTTTTATTTATATTTTTATAAACGTTCTTTTCAGCTTTCGTTTATTGAAATTTCCTTCCTTCTAAACAGAAATTTCTTTAAAGCAATTCGACATGTGATGTTGAACCTTCTCAAAGCAGCGAGAATTTCATGGAACGGGAAAGAATTCTGTAATTAGTTATGTTATGCCTTTTTAGCTAATCCCATGTTACGATTGTCGCATTCTAGAAAGATTTATGTGATCGACTATGAAATATTCAGCATTTCAATCGTCAAAAGAAGTTTTCCTTCTTCTTCTTTGAACTAACATCGTTGTTGATTATCGTGTAGATAAAGAAAATGACATTGAAAATGTTTTCTCACCTGTTTCAAATCAATATCAATGGTGACGAATTCAAATTGTTTTCCCGATGCAAGAGTTGGACTTTGCCACCATGAATGTGTTCCATCGATGGCGTTGGTTATTGGATGACTTGCTTCAGGATCGTTAGCATCGCATAACTCACATTGTGTTTGTTGTCTGCGAAATATTTTCATTTCTTCAATAAAAGACAATTCGTATGATTTAGTTTCATACCGTGGCGAGTACATGTCTGCCATCCGACAGAATTCTTCAGCTTCTTCTCCACACGTTGCGTTTGCAGTGATCTTGGCCTTCAGAGCTGTGTTAAAGGGCTTCGGGAAAAGGCCACCATTGGGACCTAATTCCATAACCCGCTGAAGCGGATGTGTGCCGTCTGGTAACTGTCGCAGATCTGTAAAACAAAAACATTCAGAGACTTAAAATTGATGCTTTCAAACCATAACATTCTTGCTCCCTTATGCTTATAACTTAATTAATGATCTCATTTATAAAAGTAAATGATCCAATTTTGTTCTTCACTTGAGTCGTTTGCTTCTTTCTTTTCATGCATTCCATTTAATGCTTTTCAGCTTCTGATCTTGAGTAACATTTGATTCTCTTCTTAAATCTTTCTCAATAACAAAGAGAAGCGATTTTTCACTTGCACCATGTCATCAGTCTTAACTCAACAGATGCTTTCTACCTAAAATATTCCCGCTGCGGACCTGACGACAACTTAAATACAAAGAAGAATTTTGTTCATTGGCAAATGACATAAAGATAAAGAAGAGAGATTTATTGTTGAAGGAAACACAATCCTTACTAGATATCAAAGACTATTAAAGGACAATTTATAGAGAAGGATTCAATTTGAACATGTTAACCACCTACAGAGTATTAAGTTACCTAAAGTGGCGCTAAATATTGATTCAAAGCAAGGCAAGTTCTTCTAGAAAATAGTTTTGGGCTTCTGAAAACGTTTCATATTTATGTCTTAAAAATGTTGCACATGAGATCTCTTTAATACCTGAATAAATTCTTCATCAGCTTACAGTTTGTTGTTACGATAAAATAATCTCGACTGCTGCTACCATAAATAGAAAAAAAAGTTTATCACTTTTTAGGAAGTTTTTAATGTTGTTACTATAAACATCTTAAGAGCATTATGTTTTATGTTTTATGTAGCATACGCGAATATTCAGATAGTAATAAAAGCATTTCAATGTCTTCAGATAACTTGCTTGCCTTAAATTCGTAGACAAAAGAACAAAAAAATATTTCATTTCAGACAGGAATCGTAAAAAAGTTTATTAATGTTAATATTTTCGCTAGTTGTCATTCACGCTTTGTTTCCGATGGATATTTGATATTTATGACATGTCGAGTTACATCGATTCCTTTATTTTAATTCGATCAAAAACTTGATCATGATTAGAACTTTTTTTATTTGAATTCAAACGGGATTATATTTTGATTGTTTATTAGCATATTATGCTGATGAGATGTGTCGATAACGAGTGAGTTTTATTGATTTTTACTCAATAAAAAAAAATTAAAATACTTCGATAACATACGATGTGTTTGGCTTGAAAGATCATTAATTTTTTGATTGAGAAAAAAATTAAAGCAAATCAACTTTGAGATTGTCGACAAATTTGAAATTTCTTTTGATCCCAAAGAACTAATTATTAATTAATTTTAATATATTTGGCATAACGAGTTTCTTGTTTTCTTTGAATGTTTCAAAACATTTGATTAGTTTGGCGATAGCTTCTGATCGAAGTTAATTAAATAATGAGTAAGAAGAGAAAAGTTTTTTTGTGACACGATGCTGCGATCGCTCGTTTGAGTGTTTTTAGAAGAATTTTACGATATTTTAAGCGTTTGTAAGAAGAAAAATGATAACTTTTTTATGGTAAATTCCAGAAAGAACACACAACATGTCATCACAATGAATTTCAAGAAGATGATCGCTTTTAAAATGTAGCAGAGTTTTCCATTAAAATATCCTTAACTCAAGTGTTTCTCCAGACACTTGACAAGAAACCGAAACATTGAAATTCGACATTTCAAGAGTCTCTTGACTTGAACGAATCAATCACATGATCCTGAAGCTTCTCAACATCGAAAGTGCCAAGTCATTAAACCATTTACATCCAAGCATGCATGACCACCTTCGGTTATTGATTTAATTAAGGCTTTAAACCCTTTTCATCTTCTTGTTCGCTTTCAACATCGAAAACCAGTTGTAATCGTTTGAATAGAAGAAATCAAAACAAGAAATATCTGAGTAACTCCCTTTCAATTTAAGTCTTCGTTTTGTAGTCTTTAACACAAAATTTTCTCAAATGATTCCGACACGCATCAGGAAGAAGAGTGTAAAAGCGAGTGGATATGTTGAAAAATATAATAAAATTAAGAAAAGAAAAAAGTTGCAAGCAGACAAATTTATGTATTATTATGTTGCCTGTACGCTTATGCTGCCCTTTTTCATCAGGTTTCGTGTTGAGTTTTGATTTCTTCCTGGAATTGTATAATGAATGAAATGGAAATTATGTTACGGGGTGAGAAAGCAAAGGAATCTTCACATAAATTCCTTTTGTTCAATCATTTTACTGACTTTGTTTTCACTTTTATTTTCTTCACATTTTTACAGCCAATCTCAATAAACACTCAAAAGATTCTTTTATTCTATGCTCATGTCTATCCAAAAATTGTCTTAAATTTTATCGCCTCCCAGGACTCAGAATTTATACAAAGAACAAAGTTTTAGAATTGATTGAAGATCGCCGAAACAACAATTTACTTTCCATTCATACAACAAAAGAGAGTAAAAATGTTAACGTCGCAACATTAGACAACGACGACAACATAAAAAGAAAAATTAGCACCAATTACATTCAATGTTGTGGGTCCACTATGTAAACAACAAAGATTCGTTAAACACGAAATTTTTCTACCAATTTACAAAGTTGCAAGTCATTTATTTTGTGACAAAAAAGCAACGGAATGTTGTTTATCTTAATTGAATTAATTTCGATAATTTTCGGAAGCTTGTTGTGAATATTTAAAATCGATGACTTGAGAAGTTCACAATCTTAACTTTGAGCTTATGTTAGAAGAAGTTTCATCTTAATTAAAACAATTTCTAGCTCGTATAAGGAGAGATTATTCCGTACGAAAACGTGACATGTCGTGAGAAAAGCTTATTTTAAACTTCTCCAGTTCTTATAATGGAAAAAGAAATAATATGTAATCTTAAATGAAGATGTTTAAAATGATCACGCAAATCGCTTTTTAAATGCACATATATAGTCATAGAACTATGGAAATGTTATTCATGTATTTAAGCGCCAGTAGGTTCAATGTTCGTCGACTTTGATCTTATCTCATTGCGAAACGGGTGAGATATTGATTTCTGTTTAAAAAAAGAATTAAGAAATTCCAGAAAACGTTTTTCTTTTTAAGCTCATCTTAATAACAAATATGTAAAAGGTGTGAAGAGATGAAAGTTTTGTGTTTCTTTGTTTCTACTTTTGATCTTAGCCAACAGCAAAGTGAAGTCTGCAAGCGATCAAAAATGTTTTCTTAAATCATAATCTTGAATATTTTTTCACATTTCTCTTCTTTTTTTTTCTTCTTCAGCATAATTATCACGTTAATATCAATAACGATATGATGAATATGCAAACATATATTCAATCGTTGTTGTTAATGTTTACATCGTTGCCATATAAACAAAGCAAAACACATCTAAGAATGTTTACAATTCCGAAAAGAACATTGAGATCATTACCATTTATAGAATGTTTGCAATTCCATTTCTAGATCGAATTATTATAAAATTGCATCTAAATCAAGTTGAAGAAATCATATCAGATTGAGCACATCAAGTTCTGCACGCATTATGATTGAAGTGCAGAAGATTGCGAAAGATTTATTGAAGTATTGAGAATAATTCTTGTAAAGTTTCTTTAACATTAACACCTCACCAACATAAAAATGTTCAACAATAAACACATTAGCAGGTTCATGATCTTGTTGGCATAAATGATTCATAATTTTTATCGCAACTTGTAAAAGGAGAACGAAACTCAAAGTGCGCCCTCAAGTGATAATCAAATTGCGTTAATATCTGATGAAGAAACAGTTTCGAAAACATTAACTACATTATGGTAATTTGTAAAAAGCGATTGAATGTTAAAACTTTGATCAATTTTCATTCGTGTTTTAATTTAATTAAGCATAGTGAATGTACGAACAGTGACAACATTGCCTGGTTTCGTGGCTTAATGCTTCATTCAGTTAATTAATTTATTTTCTTTTTTCACTCTTCTCTCTGTTGTACGTGACAAAATTATATCCAAGAATCTTTTTTATTGCTATTATGTAATTACTAGATTGATACAAGTTTTCTTCCCTTTTTTTCTCAAAAAATTAAAAAATTTATGGCTGTGATTTTAATTAGCAACAAAATTCTGCAGTCATAAAATTACGGTCAATAAATGACCATTACAATCTCTCAGAGATTGCAATTTTCGTAAGAACAAATGCCAATGTTCAAGCAACAGACGATCCAAATGTTTTGTCCAGGTAGAAAAACAAAGAAAGGTGGACGACAGTTTCGAGAATATTTAGACCTAAGTAGATATTCTTAATATAATTCAAGGATTGGGGATCATCTTTGTTACTCTTACAAACTTTTCCTTTTTGCATATTGAGAGGTAAATTTTGTTGACAAGAATCTTCTCTTGTTATGTGAGAAAACAAAGCAAAAAGAAACTTCCAGGTAATTGCCGGTTTTATTTTGGTTTTATTACAGCAAATTATGTGTAAAACTTGTTAAATATTTTCGAGCCTCCAGAAGGAACGAAACTTGGCTGAAGGAAAGGTAAGAAAAGGTTTGATTACAATCGGACATTGAAAGGCGGATCGGGATCATGAATTCTTTGAATATCAATCGTATGAACATGAAACTAACTAAATTAAGATGAAAACGAAATAATGTCGATTTGATTAAAAAAGATTCATTAAAATTGCAGACTAAACAAGATCAAAACAAGAAAAGTCCGTTAACAATAAAAATTTATGATCATTTCGTAAGAAAAATGTAATCGCAATGACACCCAATAAAGCAATAAAACAAAAACAAATCATTTATGTTATGCTGATGATCTTTAACGACTTTTTTCACTTCAACTGCTCAAAATAGTATCAGAAAAAAGAAGTGAACGGAAATTTACATTTTGCGATTGAATTAGCACGTTCCTAATCGTTTAAACATAAAGTTTGCTTTTTACTTTTTGTTGTTCCTTTGTTTGCGCAATAATTACAACGCAACGCGGCTCATGCACAATTCATAAAGGCAACTTCCAAGGAATTGTTCTCCAACTTTCAGATTCCATTTGTCGACATGATTTTCAGCTTAAAGCATTGCTAATCAGAGTTTTGATCTTTGTAATCGTTCTTTAAAGTCGTGAGTCAGTTGATACATCAACTCGCTCAGATTCTTAATTATCTCGCTATCCTCTTCGTCAACCGTTTAAAAAATTAATCAAGCTACAACGTGAAGTTAGAATTAAACATGAGGAAAGCGAAATTTCTCGCATATGCTCGTTTTTTTGAAAACAAAATCTGGTTTTGCCTTTTTTTATTTTATTCAATTTTATGAATAATGACGACGAAGATTTTTCGGGTCTTTTTTTTAAGAAATGATAATAATAAAACATTTGGCGCATGTGAAGTTTTTTTATGGGTTTACGCTTCCTTTTTTCTTTTATTTTCATCAAAATCTCATCAAACTTTAATGAATTCCTGGATTTATCAGAGGAAACTAGGTTGATGATGTCTCAATGATAAGATTTCATACATTTTATTCTCTTTTGATCAGAGTCCAATATGAAACGTAAGTGTATGAAGTGAAACTGACAAACATCTCTGAAAATATGATGAAAACGAAATAAGTATTTAAGACGATGATCGTGTCTCGATCACCTGTGGTTTGAATTTTTCTTTAACACTCTCGATGTTCTTTTGATGTTGTTTTGCAAGCTCCTTTCATTATATTTTCTCATCGGCTCACGGTTGTCGTGTTATGTTTTATAAATATTTTTACATTATTACATTTTTTCTGATTAATTTTCACTGATCGTCTTTATGTTTTGCTTTATATTTCAAGCGCAAGACATAGCCGCGGCTTTTAAGACATCATTAAACATAATTTATTTGATATTTTGATTGGATAATAATTTGGGGATGAAAATTAATGACTTTGCCTTCATATTTAGCGATCGAACAAAAATTGACAGCATTGAAAGCCTTAAATTAGATTATCGAAATGGGTATCACTTACCATGATCATGTTGTCTTTGTTGGCTACTCTTCACTCGTTTTCTCTGACCATGACCAGACCGCCTCGGCGATAGTCCATAATTATGGTCTTGACTCGTTCGTTGATTATCAATCCCAAATGATTTTTGTACGTTTTTGCCATTACCTTTCTTTCGATTTGATCGCGAATTTTGACAAGACACTCCACGGAAAATTACACAAATTAAAATGGTAATGAAAAGTAAATTTAGACCTTTAAAATTTTTCATTTTTATTATTATTGCTCTTCAATTTTTCACCATTTTCACTAAATTTTCAATAATTTTAATTTTTTTTTATCAATAAATTTTTCCTTTCTTACTCAAATTTTTTCTAAGCACAAATTAATATTTTTTTAAAACAAGATTCGATTTTATTCCTTACAAATCGATCTAATTTTCACTTTCTTAATTTAAATTTTCTGATAAAGAATTTCAATATCACTTTCATTGCTTTTTAAGTGAAATTTGCACACAGATGTTCTATTTTTACATAGAAAAGATCAAAAATAAAAAACAAATCCGAGGAAGAAAATGCTACACACGTCTTTTTCTGTTGAACAACAACCGGAGACTCATGTGAGAAGATCGAGAAAAGTTAAGAAAAGCGATGAGCATAAGAACAAAATGCACAACATTTGTGAGAGAAGCGAACGATCACGTGCTATGCACAATTGGATAAGAAAAAAACGCGTTTTTTGAATGTAAACAAATGATTTTTCTCTCCCGCTCTTTAGAGCAGTTGAAATTGTAAGGTTTTGAAGCACATGTGAGTTTAAAATTTATTCAACTTATTCTTGCGCAATCTGAAGCTGACATTAACAATTGCGCAATTTTTCAAAACTAGCTAGATGTAATTAAATTATGCGCTTTTTTATGTCAATTATTATTAATATAAACTTTTATTTATTTTAATTCAAAAGTTTTAGTTTGTGCAATTCATAATTGGATAAACGAGAGAACGAATACAAAAGGCAAGACAAAAGGAGATTTGTTGGGAGAACTTTCACGTTGATTTAACCTGAAACTAGGTAGTTCCTGTTTAATTCTGCAGTTTTAATTAAAAAGTTGACAAGAGATAAAAGTAATTTTGGAGTAAAAATGAATTTCGGAGATAAAATAATGAAATTTTATTTTGATATGTTAAATCGTCGACCAAATATCGCTTTAAAAATGGTGAACGTGATAAACGAAGCCTTACAAAATGAACCTGAAGAGAAGGCAGCATTTCAAGCTTTATTATCAGAAAATAATTCTGAAACAAACAACAAAGATTACAAGGAAATTGGCAGAGAAGAAGTTGAATGTGATCCTGAAATTATTATCACAAATCGATTGAAACGTACAATGAAAACGTTGAAAACAAATTTATATGACTCGGAATTTAGGAAAAACGGCGTTAAATCCAATTTTCGTGAAAGAATAGAAAATGTAAGCCGTGAACCTTATCCTATAACATCGACATCATCTGTCAACAAAAGTCTAAAACCTGATGTATCATCAACAAGCTCCAATAAGCCTTCATCTTCATCATCGTCACTTCCATCACCAGCTAAAAAAGTAAAAATCGAAAATCCATCTGAAGATTTATTGGGAGTTTGTAATTCAGTTAACAGCACAAGTGCAGAAAGTTTTGACAATATTTCCAGTCTAAGTAGCTCAACAGATTCACCATCTCCTGAAAAAGTTGCGATGAATTGGCACATTCGACGTTTGATAGAGAAACGCGCTGAAATGCCATCAAAACGTAGCGTCACGGAGAAAGACTTGGAATATCATCCAACTAAGTGTCGTGACTTTCCTGGAACTAACAATCGAACACCAAAAGAAGAACTTGTAAGGCAAAAAAATTCTTTAGCGGCAAGGGTTGCACGAACAAAAAATAAAAAGTTCAATCAACAGATAGACGATGAAGCCGTTGAAATAGCTAGAACAAATCTCGAATTAAAACGAAATCTCGCTGCTAAGAAGGCTCGAGCAAATGCCATGCTACGTCAACAAGGAAAACCGGAAGTCGACTTTGATGAATTATTTAAAAAATATTTAGAAAACCAAAGACAACAGCGTGGCAAGGAAATGGAACAAAGCAAGGGTCAATAAATTTCCCAATTGTCATTGTTTTGATGATTTTTTTTATATCTGAAAATTATTAAAAATGAACTTCGATTCATTTCATTCGATGAAAGACATTAAAATTTTTTATTTTATAATCATTCACAACATTAAAATAAAGTAAATTTCACAGTTGCCATGACAATTTCATTGTTAATAAATTTGTTAACTTTAACATTCAATTGAAGCAAACAACGAAACAATTTCTGATAAACTTTGACTAAATAAAATATATTTTTGTCAAAAAATGGATTACGATGACGATAATTACAGTACTGACTCAAGTGAAGCAAGAGAACGTGGTAAGTAAAAATGCTTTTTATACAATTTAAGCGCTAAAAAGTTTTGATTCATTTTAGACGCTAAGAAAGCGATTGTTGAAGAAGTTGAAGAAGAAGAAACAATTCCACTTCCTGAATATTCTGAAGATCAGTTAAATAAACTTCTAACTTTCATTCAGCAAATTGCGACATGCTACGATTTGAGTGAAGATGACATTAGCGAATCATTTACTGAGAATGCCACTAAATGGTTGATGGATGTCATGGAAACAACTTGTAAGTTAATTAAACATGTTGCTAGGAAGGATAAATTTTAATTTTGTTTTTCAGTGTTTGTTTATTTTGACAGGGGATATTTGTGTGCAAGTTCTGGTGTGCCAACATGTACAGTCAATCAAATCACTTACTTTATCCGAGATGAACCATTGCATGTTTTTAGCATTGAAGGATTTCATGATGAAATTTCTTTCGGGACATTTCATGAGAATGTTGAAGAAACTATTTTGGCATTGATAAATTGCATTTATGGTCCACTTATTTTACAAGACAAACGATGGGATGACAACGTGAAGATGCGACTTTTCAGTGAACTTCATTCCTTCATGGCGCATTTGACTGATGTTAACGCTAAAATTGGATCGATGGTTCTTCTTTACGTGCCAAATGAAGGTCACAACTTGACGGTTGATGAAGCAGTTCTAAGCAAATCTTTAGTTAAACGTCTTGAGAGTGTTTTAGTTTATTGGATATCACAAATTCAACTCTGTCTTAATGATATGGAAAACTTTGTTCATGGTCTCGCTTGTCCATCGGAAGAATACGAATTTTGGGTTTATAAATGTAAGTCATGTTATCGAGTGAAAAATTACTATAATTAACTAACTTTCAGATGAAGTTCTTAGCGGAATTGAAGAACAAATTCGTCATCCGAACGTCGAACACATTCTGAACATTCTTCAGAAATCTCAATCATTGTTCATTGGCAAATTCAAGTCACTTCGTGATGAACTTAATGAAGAAATTGATAAATCGAAATCAAATTCTCGTTATTTAACATTATTAATTAAGCCATGTGAAGAAATCGAATCTTGTGAGGATCCAAAAGACGTTCCACCAAAGCTTCCAAAGATTATTTATTTGATTCGTGTTATTTCACTCAACTCGGAATATTATAAAGAAAAGATTAACACTGAACGTTTATTTGCCTACCTGAGTAATGAGATCATCAACTATTGCAAGTCAAAAATTGACATTCTGAAGATTCTCAACGGCCAACCACGTTTTGGTATCAAAATTTGTGACATGTCAATCGATTGCTGTTTAGCTTATAAAATTATTTTCAAGCGACTTCTTGAACAACTTCAGATGGAAAATTTTCAGAAATCTTGGATGTTTGATGAGACAAAAATATTTAATCAAATTGACAGTTTCATTCAAAGACTTAACGACATTATGGAGATTTGTGAAACGATTATTGTGTTTGGACGATGTGATGAGACGGTGACAATACCACCGATGACTTTTGGATGTTCAAATGGAAAAGAATTCACGATGATATGCAGTGACATGGAAAAGAAGTTCGATGATGGATTGAAAGATATTAAAACAGCATCACACATGATTCTTGATATTCATGATAAGAAATGGTATTCGGAATTTTCAACATTCAAAGTTCTTATTCGATCACTTGAAGAAGTTGTTCAGAATCTTCTCTCTAATGTCTTCATCAGCATCAACAACGTCGAAGAAGCTTTAGACGTTCTTACAACAATGCACAACTTTTCGAAACGAAAAAGTCTTCAAGCTCAATATATTAAGAAAGTCGAAGAAATGTGGATGATGTTTGAGTCTGAAATTGTCACAGTTAACAAAGATGTAACAAGATTAGATAAAGAATATTTGGGATGTTTGCCGAAGAATGCTGGAAAGTCGATGATCTTAAAAATAAAAATGTTGAAATGTAATCGGCTAATGACACTTCTTAGCAATGCGCATTATTTGCCGAAGGTGGCAAGTGTTGATGAAACATTGAAAATGTATGAAACAATGGTTAATAATGTCAAACAGAAAATTGAAACTTACAACAGTGATTGGGGTGTAGAAATCAACCCACAACCGTCAAGCTATCTCACAAGATTTCTTATTAATCGCAGTCCAACACATGGCGGTCTTCTTGAGTGCAACATTGATCGGAATATTCTGCCAATCTTAAATGAAGCTAAATATTTTGATATGATGGAACTTCCACTGCCGGCAGTTCTCCTTCAAACATATCCAAAAGCAAAAAAGATCTTCACAATTTTTAACAAAGTTGTTAATGTTATAATGTTGCACAATCGAATCTTATCGTCGCTGTCAGATAAAGAACGTTTGTTATTTCGAGAACACATAAAGTTGATGGATCGTAGAATTTCTCCAGGAATGTTCCGTTTAACTTATAACGATGAAATGACTGATAACTTCATCACTGAATGCTTAAAACAACTCGATGAATTGCAATATTTTGTTGACATCTATAAAATCATTAACATGGTCAATGTTCGGTTATTTGAAGAGATTTCAAATGGTTTAATTTTGAATCATAATGTGAAATCGATTGGAACTTTGCAACACTTTAAAAAGAAGTTGAAAGAGTCGAGAAATAGTTCAGTGATTGCTATCGGAGATATTTACAATAAAATCATAAAATATATCATCGTGATTTATGAAGGATTTGAAACTCAATTAACCGGTGACGTTGCTGAGAAATGGATTAATTTTATTCGGAAGATTGACGCTTTAGCTGAATATGCAATTTTAAACTGCACTAGGAACACATTACTTAGTGTGTTTAATCTTCTTAACGGAAAGAACGACATGAGTCCCGAACCATTTATTGCTGTTAACATCACGTTAAAGAATCGTCAAATTCATTTCGAACCATCACTTGAAGAAGTCGCTGAGACACTCAACAACATTTATCTGGATATAATTAAAAGCATCAAAATATTTCCACGACTAAGTGAAACATTCAAGTTGCCATTTTCATCTGAAATAAGAAAGTTTCATGAAGTCATTGAACAAGATTCTGAATGTCAAACATATTTGGTGAACATTCGCAATGTTATTGAAGAGAATTTGGAGAAGACGTCTGATTATCTGTATGCTTGGTATCACTTCCGCACCATTTGGGATATTGACGTTGAACAATTCATGACGAAATATCAAGAGAAAGGCATTGACTTAAAAGAGTTTGAAGCAAGCATGTTGAAATACTTTGATGTTGCTAATCAAGTCATAATGCAAGACATGACAGTCACGATAACTTATTTGACTTTTAACTGTTCAAAACTCAAGGATCATGTTCTCGATTACGTGACAGAATGGAAAAAAGGTTACAAAAACACTCTTTGTGCAGAAACATTGAAGAAACTTGAAAAGTTCAATGCAACATTAACATCAAGAATAGCAACATTGAGTCAACAACCAGACACTTATGAAGAGTTGAACTTGGCTTTAGATCTTTATGAACAATCTGTCAATGAAATGAAAGACCGAGAAATGGAAATGAATGTCATTAAAGAGTTTTATTGTAGTTTGGGTAAGTTTATTCATTTTCCTATTTGAAACTTTTAACAAATTATTTAATTACAGAGAAATACAACATTGACATTCCTTTAACAATCAGAAAGAACTTCGAGACTATCCCAATAAACTGGAATCGTTATTGCGAACAATTGAATGAGATCAATAACGCTTTGAATAATCAAAAGGAAAATTTCAAGATGGGATTGCTGAAAAGAGAAACTGTTGCTGAAGTTAAAACAGAAACTGAAAGAGATTCAACAATGACTGTTGAAGACGAGTCAGACATCATAACAGAATCAACTGAAGAAGCATTGGAACATGAACTCAAGGGAAATTAAAAAAAAACATGATTAAATGATTCTGAAAAGATAAATTGATGTAATATTTATACGTCTGGCGTTTATTACTTTATTGAATGATTTAATGAAACAAAAATTATTTTTTTTCAAATTTTTGTATTTTTTTTTATTTTATCATTTTTAATTTTTTTTTACATTTTTTTCTCTTTAAGATAATTTAATTTTTTTAGTAAGATAAAATAAAAAGCTGAGAAAAAAAGTTTATGTGTTAGTCTTTTAAAAGTAATAAATGTAATTAATTAATTTAATTAGAAGTTGCACACGTTGGAACACTTGACACACTAAACGAAAATTAGAAAAATGTTAGTTTTATGAAATAATTAAAAAAGGTTTAAGACATTTGCATGAAGGGGATAAATCCTGCTGGTATATCCACTGGCCTTAGAGCTGATTGAGAGAGCTCTTTATTCTGGTTGTGTCAAGGCCAATGGTGATTGCTTAGGTTGAATTTTCAACACTTGATCGATTTTGTTTTCAAACAGCTCATTGAAGTTGACTTCCTTCTTTCCATGTTTCCTCAATGTGAAGTTGACTTGAGCTCTCAGGAATGCAACTTTGCGTTTCAATTCGAAGTTTTCCCTCATTGCTTCAAATGCTTCTTCTTCCAATTTGTGGGCAAAAATTTTATTTTTCGCGCGAGACTTGAATGCTGCTTCACTATTTTTTTTCCTTCTGTCCACTTCTTTTTTAGGGCGATCGTCAGCTCCCGGAAAAGTGCGAATCATTGGACTATCGAGAGGCATTTTAACAAACGAGACATCAATTTTCGCTTTTTCATTTGTTTGTTCAATTTGTTTTAATCGATCTGAACGTAACGCGACAGCAAATGATGGAATCCCTTCAAATATGTTCACTTCCTTCTGGACTTCCATTTTCTGATCAGAATCTGCTTTGAATCTCTTTGGAGAATTTCCTTGTTGAGAGTCACTATCAGCTGATTTTTCTGGCTTTCTTGCTGATGATGCAGATGAAGTCGATGCAAATGAAGTCGATGCAGGTGAAGTCGATGCAAATGAAGTCGATGCAGATGAAGTCGATGCAGGTGAAGTCGATGCAGATGAAGTCGATGCAGATGAAGTCGATGCATCAGACTTTGTTCGCGGCTTTCTTTTTCCTCTGCCACTTGATGGATACAATTCTGCGTTCATCGATTCGATGTATCGGTAGAAATCGAATTCCCTGTGCAAATCTCCTCTCAAATCTGTGTTGGTCTTCTTTAAATAATCCTTGATGTGATGAACTAAGAAGATTTCAATGTCACATTCGATCTCATGTTTCGGTATTGGCATAGCATTTAGGTTAACTTCAGCAATTTCCAAATTTCTTGACGAGCTAGCTTCTGGTTCAGTTGATAACCTTCTGGGGGAGTTGGTTGCTGTTTCAATTACTGACTCCATCAATGAACTTGGTGTCACTTCCTTTTCGAGTTCTTTCAACGGACTGTGTGCGAAGTCAAATGATGATCGTCTCGATGAAGAGGATGTTGATTCCGATTCCGACGCACTTACAGATGATGTTACGGATGGTGTTACAGGTGAGTTTGACAGAGTGTTCAAACCCATCATGTCGCGATGTAAAAGTGGATCATATGGCAAAGGAAATGAACGCATCAGATCCGGATGTTGAGCCACTAATTTGGAATAATGATCCAACAAATAATTTGAGGAAAACATTATACCGTTGTAGTTATTATTTTGTTTAAACTAAATTAAAAAAGTTTAATAATAAGCTTAAATCTCCAATTTTTAGGCCATTTTGATGTATTTATTTAATTTACCTTTTCTGAAAAGAAATTATCCATTTCAACAGCTCAATTTCCTTTAAATATTTTTACTAATAAACTTTTCGAAATCTTAGGAGTTACTTTTTCAACACTTTACAACTTCTACTCTTCCAGAGGATTTGAAAAGAAGTGAGTGAAATTTAATAATTTGAGCTTTCTTTTATAATTTGAACTTCTCTCACTCAGAAAAAAAATTTACCGTCATCTTTTAAATCCCTTTTCTGTCTCATTTCTCTCATTTTTAAGATCATTTAACCAAGGGGTAAATCATCGTAATGCTTTTGGTGGCTCATTTTTTTGATGAAATGACTCTTGAAGGATTTAATGAAATATCAAATGGCTGAAGATCGTTTCTATCCATCTAGTTTATGCATATGATGACTTTTTAAGGAAACAGATTTAAAAGATGACGATTAATGACAGAAACTTATTACATAATTATAATTGACATTCATTGTACGAATCTGTAAAGTTTGTTATAAGTAACTTAAAGGAATCAATCAAAGACAAAAGCATTCACAGAAAATCAGAATTGCTTCAGCCTCTCTCGAATATTTTCATTCTCTTCCTTTCTTGCAGTTCGTTTTTGTAATGTTTCAACAATGTTTTAGTGCAACGTGTTTCAATGTTTTATTGCAATTTGTGACAAAACTTTTCTTGAAGTCTCTGAAAACGTGTTGCAACTACAATCATTTATCCCAAATTTGAATCTTCAAGGAGTATATCGATGCAATATGTAAATGCTTTTGATTTCATTTCTTCATTTTTTATTACAAATCTTCAGTCAGTAATTAAACTTTGAGACAGAAATTTAACTCTTACTAATTTCAATTCACGTTCACTTACAAATATGTTTATAAAGTATTTTAAATTTATTGTTTCAAATATTGCAGATGTTCAACAGATCCTTCGACCTGTGATTGAAACTAAATTAATTAAAATATGTTCCCTAATTATTGCATGGCAACGCGTTGCAACGTGATCAAATTCATGAGAAAAGGAATCAATTTCTTACCTGGAGCAAATTTCTCTAATTGTCAGACTTTCCAGTCATCAGAATCTTCATGATTATCGGCGACAGAAATATTATATAACTTTCTACCTGATTAAAATAATACGAAATTTGTAGATGCTTTACAAAAAATGATGAAATTATAAGAATTATTTTGATAGTTGAAAAACCTTTTTTACATTTTCAAAAATATTTTATTATTATTAGATTTTACGAAATCATACAAAAGTTCATCATATAATTATGTTTTAATTAATTATGAATCAATTGAACTTATAAAATATTATCAAAGTGGAATCCATCATGTTGTTTAAGACGATTTAAGAGTTGCAATTATAAATTATATGATTAAGAAAATAATTATAACTTATCAATTTAGCTTTTAAGTTAAAGATTTTCCTTTCATTATGAATTGAACAAAATAAATTTCGGGCTTAAAGGATTTGAATTGGGTTTGAATAATTGTCATTGAGAATTGAACGTCTGGTACATTTTTTTTCTATGATAATGTGAGAAATGAAAAATTATTAAAAAATTATGAAAAGCAGCAATAAAGTATTTTTAGTGAAAAGCATTCATCCTCCAAATCCATCATAACGTATTCACGTTATTGCAGGATCTCTTTATTCTGATTCCGTGCAGTTTAATTCTGATTGCTTGGGTTGAATTTTCAACACTTGATCGACTTTATTCTCGAATAGCTCATTGAAGTTGACTTCCTTCTTTCCATGTTTCCTCAATGTGGAGTTGACTTGAGCTCTCAAGAATGCAACTTTACGTTTCAATTCGAAGTTTTCCTTCATTGCTTCAAATGCTTCTTCTTCCAATTTCTGAGCATAAATTTTATTCTTCGCCCGAGACTTCAATGCTGCTTGACTATTTTTTTTCCTTCTGTCCTCTTCTTTTGGAGTGCGATCGTCAGCTCCCAGAAAGGTTCGTTTCATTAGACTATGGTAAGGGAGTTCGTTATACTTAACACTTATTTTGGCTTTTTCATTTGTTTGTTCAATTTGTTTTAATCGATCAGCACGCAAGGCAACAGCAAATGATGGAATCCCTTCAAATATGTTCACTTCCTTCTGGACTTCCATTTTCTGATCAGAATCTGCTTTGAATCTCTTTGAAGAATTTCCTTGTGGAGAGTCACTATCAGCTGATTTTTCTAGCTTTCTTGCTGATGATGCAGATGAAGTCGATGCAAATGAAGTCGATGCAGATGAAATCAATGCAGATGAAGTCGATGCAGGTGAAGACGATGCAGATGAAGTCGATGCAGATGAAGTCGATGCAGATGAAGTCGATGCAGGTG